AAATAACAGACTTCAGTAGATTTAATGCATTAATGGAAAGAATGATAAAAGGTCTAGAAATTCCAGCTCCAAAACCGCCTGAACATGTCGATGATCCGATGTTTCCTTCTGAGGAGCAGAATGCTTCTCCTTCAATGTCGTTGCCAGCTCTTCCATATTTATTGAAACTTGCTAAGATTGTAGATGTATCCCCCTTTCTAACTCCAGCAATCCCTAGAAGGCTGGATTCCATGTATAAGATTGATGTTTCTGCATTTAGATGGGTCACTACTCCTCCAAAACCAAACACGGTAGTAGCTGGGTGGCAAAATCTAAGCGCCCTAAGGGCACTCTAACTACACCTCCAGATAGAGAGGGCAAGAGAATTGATTCTTTAGGCAAAAAGGCACATATTGCAGCTGGGTTGTTTACCCGTGTGGCCCACTTTGCAACGTACATGAGTGGATATCAATCATTTTTATGGAAAAAGATTTTACCCAGTATTGAATCTCTACCTAGGGACGAACAACACCTACCTAAAGCCCTCCAAGCAGAGGCTATGGTACTCTCCAGATTTCAAAAAGACTTTGCTAAACACCTAGCAGAGATTGCAGGGAATTTATTTTCAACAGCTACTGCAATTAGAAGGCACGCATGGTTACGTGCATCTAACCTATCTGAAGAAGGAAAGGCTTTAGCGGAATACCTTCCCTTCCATGAAGCAGGGCTTTTCAACCCAGACACTGATGTCAACATAAAACAGAAACAAGATGTCCGCCAGGCCGCTAATAAGTTCGGCTATACGTGGCAACCCTTCCAGCAACAAAGGCCTAGATGGCAACAACCGTCCACCAGCTACCGCAGATCGTATGGCACTTACTATACAGGCCCCTTTAGGAATAGGGGCAACGGAGCTTCAAGGTTTCAAGGGGGAAAAAGAAATTCTTACTTCCCTAGGAATAGGGCACAACCATATCAAAACAAAACCAAGGGCCAATTTAACCAAAAGAAACATCTTTGACGTCATGGAAGTAGAGGACGACACAAACTACATAGTTCCCTCTTTAGAAAATAGTAAAGTTAATGTTGAGTTTAATGTGGAAACTAATTCTTCTCATTGGAATTCTAAGGTTCCTATGTTTGGGGACAGATTGAGTATGTTTTATGATGCCTGGTGTAATATTACCACGGATAAATGGGTTAGGTCTATTATTGGTTCAGGTTATTGTATAGAGTTTGCTGACCTACCTAGAGTGGGCAATGTTAAAAGAACACAAGAATCCACTCCTCTGTTACAGGAGGTACATATGTTACTTGAAAAGGGAGCAATTTCTCCTGTGAGTGTTGATGAAGTTAAGTTCTGTTTTTTCTCAAAATACTTTCTGATTAATAAACGTGGAGGTGGTCTACGTCCAATTCTGGATCTCAGAGCCTTGAATACTCATATAATCCCAAAGAAGTTTCGAATGGTCACACTTACCTCAGTTTTGCCCCTTATTCCTAAGGGAGCGTGGTTTGTTACATTTGATTTAAAGGACGCATATCTCGATAGCCCACCAACATCGTAGATATCTTTCATTTATGGTAGGACAGAATGCTTATTGTTTTAACGTTCTTCCCTTTGGCCTTTCGACGGCACCACGTGTTTTCACAAAATGTATGTCTGTAGTGGCTGCATGTCTTCGAACAAAGGGAATAACTGTCTACCCATACATTGACGACTGGCTGGTGGTAGCTAGGTCGTACAGACAATTACAGGACCAAGTGTCTACCATTTTGTTTCTCCTCCAGTCGTTGGGCCTCGTAGTCAACTGGGAGAAGTTGGTCCTAACACCCACCCGCAAAATCCAGTTCATCGGCGCCCTGTTGGACTCCGTCTCCGAGAGAGCGTTTCTTCCAAAAGACAGGTTTGCCAACCTTCGAGTTCTAGTCAAGCTAGCAAGGACCTCCTCTTGCATTTCGGCAAGGCAGGTCCAAATACTGCTAGGTCACATGGCAGCCACTACTTCTGTCAACCATTATGCGAGACTCAGAATGAGAACCCTCCAGTCATGGTTCCTGTCAGTGTTCGACCCGTTGACGAGCAGTCCCGAGTTGAAGCTCTTCCTCCCGGCTGTGGTCCGAGACTCACTACTGCGTTGGGAGGATGAAGCATGGGTCTGTTCTGGGTTCCGATTCCACCATTTGTACCCTACAAGAGTTATCATCACGGACTCTTCCCTTACGGGATGGGGGGCACACTCCCAGGGACTTATTGCACACGGTGTATGGTCAAGGCAGGAAAGAAACATGCACATAAACATACTGGAACTTCTCGCAGTAGAAAGGGCTCTACACTCCTTCGAAAAGGTCATACTGGGTCAGGTAGTCCAAATTATTACAGACAACACAACAGTAATGTTTTACTTGAACAAGCAGGGAGGTACGCATTCGAAAGATCTGCTATCTTTCTCAATACTGGTGGATAGAAAGAGGAATACATCTCTTATCGAGTCATCTCCCAGGGGAACAGAACACACTCGCAGACGCACTAAGCAGAAACCCACTAGTGCACCACGAGTGGTCGCTGAATCCACAAGAAGCCCACAGACTATTCCTAGCGTGGGGATTCCCGGAAGTGGACTTATTTGCAACGAAAGCCAATTCCAAGTGCCCTCTGAATTGCGCTCGACAACGAGCCGATCCAGAGAGCGGATGCTTAGGGGATGCCTTTCTAATGAGGTGGACAGGGCGGCTACTGTACGCTTTTCTACCAATACCCCTCCTGATGAGAGTCATAGCAAAGATTCAGGGAGACAGGGCCACGTGTATAGTGATAACGCCGTGGTGGCCATGGCAACCATGGTTTTCTCTTCTCCACCAGATGGCCAGAGGGGTGTTCGTTCGATTACCATACAGGACGGACCTTCTGTCCACACAGGAGGGTCGGGTCTTGCACCCAGAGGTAGACAAGTTGAAATTGACCGCATGGCGAATCCTCCCAGAACATTAATGACTGTTTCTAATTTGCCACAGTCAGTATTGAAGTTTATTGAGGCAGCGCATAGGACGTCTACAAGGCGTTCTTACGTCTATAAATGGACACGTTATTCCAATTATTGTAAAGGGAGGCAGTTGGATCCAATGGAATCCTCAATTTCTGTTGTTTTAGAATTTTTAGTTTCTCTAATAGAGGCAGGACTATCACATTCCTCCCTCAAGTGTTATCTAGCCACGATATCATGGTATAGAAGGAAAAGGGGGTACCCCTCCTGCTTCACAGACCCAATGGTTAAGACATTCATGAGGGGTGTAGCTAATGTTAGGCCGTCTGTAGCTCCAATTTCCCCAGGTTGGAGTTTGGACATCGTTCTGTCAAGACTGGTAAAACCTCCCTTCGAGCCTATGGCGACTATAGACCTTTCCTATCTCTCCTGGAAAACGGCATTTCTGGTGGCTATCACCTCAGCACATCGGGCCAGCGAACTGAATGCGTTGAGAGTAGATCCCCCGTACCTGAGATTCCACAGGGATAAGGCTGTGCTTCGCACAGATGCTGCCTTTTTGCCTAAAGTATCTTCGCGATTCCACATGTCCCAGGATGTAGTACTTCCAGCATTCTATCAGAATCCCACGTCACCTATTGAGAGGAGCTTGCATCTCTTAGATGTCCGTAGGGCCCTGGCGTTTTATGTAGATAGGACATCCTCCTTTCGGCAAACACCTAGGTTATTTGTGAAATACCGTAGGGACACACAAGGTATGCAACTGTCCTCCCAGAGGCTATCTGGGTGGATTGTATCTCTAATCCGGTTGTGTTACCGCTTGGCCGGGAAATAATTGCCTCAACAGGTCAAGGGCCATTCCACGAGGTCGGTGTCAACGTCAGCGGCTTTCCTGAAGGTTGTTCCGTTGGACGCTATCTGCCGAGCAGCTATTTGGTCGTCACCACTGTCGTTCGTGACCCATTATAAGCTGGATGTGGTTTCCAGAAAGGACACGGAGTTCGGCAGAGCAGTTCTGTTTTCGGCAGTGGCATGACTCCCACCATCCACGGTCAGTTGCTCGCTAATCTACCATATGTGCGATTCACAGGATTTACGACAGGAAATTATAAGTTGCTTACCTGTAACTGTAGTTTCCTGAGTAGAATCCTGTGAATACGCACATCACCCGCCCTCCTCCCCTTGAAGGTCATGCCATCTCTACTGCTTTCTAGCGGAAGAGAACTGAGTAACGGCCACTGCCCCGGGCTATATATAGGATAGGGGAGGGGGGCGCGTGGCCAGAGGGAGTCTAAACGGTCATTTTACTTTTTAGAAGGTTCCGATCGCTGAACTGCGCAGGCGCAGGATTACCATATGTGCGTATTCACAGGATTCTACTCAGGAAACTACAGTTACAGGTAAGCAACTTATAATTTATTGACTTGTATTGGGGAAAATAGTAGAGGAAGGTTACATGGAGCAAGGTAAGCAAGAGTTCACTCCATCCAAAGAGAACGTAAAAGAAGCACACACCCCTCTATTCTTTCTGCTACTGATTCTGGACTTTTAAAATCCTTGGGCAGGGAAAAGGTAGAGCCATGAGCAACGTGTGTGTGTCTGTTGAACTATGAGATTTGTACAGGTAGAGAATCACACCTTTTAGAAATCCTTGATTAGGCAGGAATGAGATCATTGTCATTCAACTAGGTGTACAGACTGTATGTTGCCTCAGGTCCATTTTGTCCCCATCTCAGCCAACCACACAATTAAGAAAAAAAACTTTGAGTCAGGAAAAAACGTGGCCACCTGAGTTTGTATTTTGTGAAAAAGGGCCGCCGCCATAGTTGCCAACTCGTAGACACTCGCAGTGTTCTAGCCTTACTAGAAGCTAAAGGGCTGGTAAGAGTGCTCCCATTTTTTTCTGATATACATAGTGTGGCAAGACACTTGGGCTGAATTTCTGTTCTTTAGAGTAGGGAAACAGTGAAGATGTGATTGAGTTTCTGCAACTTCACGTGTGTTCAACTTATTCTCTTCTTTTCCTTTTCCTTTGAGGATTGTTTGAAAAATGCCCCGGAGAAAGTTTGCTGATGAAGAAGTAGTAATGGGCCGCTGGCCTGGAAGTGTTCTGTACTATGAAGTTCAGGTAACCAGCTATGATGATCGTAACCATCTTTATACCGTGAAATACAAGGATGGAACTGAACTTCAGTTGAAGGAAAGTGATATGAAGGTAAGTTTTCTCCTGAATGAATAATTGGACTTTTGTTTGGTTTGTTCCTGCAGCATTCTATTGGGACTTAAACTGTGAGATTTTGCATACATACAGTGATCATTATTTTCATTTTGCATTTTGTTTGCTTATTTAGCCTGTTTTGAGGTAAATTTTTTGACATTGTATGTTTTGAAATACATCCATTTTCTTTAACAACTCATGTAGAATTAATATTTTTTCAAGAGCATGTACATTTCCTTTTTTAAAAGGATGGCAATCATGCAGGATGCATTTCCTATAAAATGCATGGAAATCATGCAGCTATCAAGGTATTGTGGAACTGCAGCTCAGCCTTCCTCTTTATTAGTTATACTGCCTAGGATTTCTGGGATGTGTAGTGTAACAATATAGCTGCAGCTCAGGAATATTTATTCAACTCACAGTTCATGTTTTATTATTCAAGATCTCTCTAAAAAGAGAGTATTTGCTACTGTCTTTTTACTGTCTCAGTTAACCTGCAGCATTGTACTCTTGGTTGCAGTGGAGGTTGGCATTCCCTCCCAGATCTCTCATAGAGTCATTGGCTATGCCTCTAGCCCATACTCTTTTTAGAGAGATCTTGAATAATAAAATATCTGGGTCCCCAGATGTTTTGGCCTACAACTCCCAGAAATCCCAGCCACTTAACCAGCTGTTAGGATTTCTGGGAGTTGAAGGCCAAAACCTCTGGGGACCCACAGGTTGAGAACCTATGCTCTAGCCAGATGTAAAGTAATTGCATTAGCTGCTAAGAGTTCAAGGAGATGCAGCATATGATACAACTGTTTTCGTTTGGCTACAAGGACATAGCCAGACATATCTGTTAACCTGCTGGATCTTCTGAGGGCATGAATGCCTCAGCAGCTGTATCTTAGGACCTGAGGTAATGTAATGTTGTTAAATGACAATGAAGACTAGATACAGGCAGTACATTTTAAGTGTAACTCCAGCCATATATGTGTGTGTATATGTGTATTTATTTATTAGGAAATTTCTATATCACCTTTCTCTGGGGACCCAAGGTGGTTTACAACAACAGATAAACATGCAATATAAAATTTAAGCCATTAAAATAATCCCATATGTTCCCGTCGAACATAAAATTGTCATTAAAAGGAGTGGATAGATAGATAGATAGATAGATAGATAGATAGATAGATATGTAAACACACATAGATACTTGTATGCATGCTTTGGATAGCATAGGGAAGGGTTAACACCTCTATGGTGTTTGTTTTGTTATCTGTGCCCCTGTTCGGAAGGTTTCACCTCACTTTCTGTCCCTGTGATAATTGGGATAGCTCATGAATAAGTGAATTGACTTGACATTTAAAGATGCATGGGATACATTTGGCCAGATACATTTGGCCAGTATGGAGCAATTAGCTCTATTGATGCTCTCTCACTGTATTTTGAGAAGAACCCATGGTATGATATGTATAGGAGGGAAAGCTTTGTGACCAAGAAATTGTTAGTGCATCATCAGCATGTGTACTTCCAGTTCTACCAATATTTTTTTAAAGCCTGAGAGTTTTTGGCCATGACAAATCCTTCTACCTACAAACGGTCCCAATTTCTTCTGAAGTTGTTGAAACACAGGGAAATTAGGAGATAGTTATCGGAGCATAATCTATTCAGACTCAAATGATTTGTTTGGATTTCGCTCTTTCCTTCCAGATATGTTACTGTTCTTGAATTTATGTTTCTATCTGCCCGTTGAAACAATATGTCTGACTCTCTCATTAGAGTCTCAATGCAGACCTACTTGATTCAAAACATAAGTTTGGCTTGTCATTTTTTTTATCCAAACTTGTACGCTGTACTCCTGAACCTTATGTAAAAATAGCAGCACTAGTCTGTCAACTTCTAGCTAGTTGTACTTTCTGTTTGAAACTGACCAACTGTTTTAAGCATCATAACTTAACAAACTGACTCTGTTTTAACATTTATTTTATAAACTATCATCAAAAACATTCCAACGTCAAAGTTTAGTCTTTCAACCACAATTGTAACCGCTTTCCTGCCAACTCATCTCTGATGATGTAGTAATAGTATTGGAATCTTCTCCTGGGAAGTAGTCCTGTTATCTCAGTCATCAACATCAAGTTCACCATTTATTTAGATAATCCCATTCTCACCATTTTCTTCAATATTATGTGATTCTAGGTGCCAGAAAAAGAGCACCCCCAAATGAGTAATTGGGATCCTTCGTTGCACACAATTTTTCTTATAATTGAGTAAATAGTAATTAATTACTATTTTGAAAAACTGAAATAGTGTAAGCAATCTCTCTCTCTTTTTTTTAGGCAGTGTCATCTTTTCGCCTTAGAAAAAGCAGCTCTTCCTCAGGTTCTCCATCACGACGCAGTGGTAGCAGATCTAGATCAGGTTCTAGATCTCGATCACCTGGTCGACCAGCAAAACACAAAAAACGTTCTTCCTCTCAAAGCAGAGAATCAAAAAATGAAAAAAATATGGTTGAGGAGCCGAATTTTACTCCTTTGGTATTTAATTTTTATTGATTGATTTGAAGTTGTCTAGTTTACTCTCACTTGCTTGTAGCATTAGTTTGCATTAGTTGCAAAATCTATTTTTTTGAAATATTTTCCTTAATAGAAACACTTATTGTTCTTCTCTATCTAGAAACCTCATGAAAACAATACCAACCAGTATAATGGGGAGCCGGAGATAAAAGAAGTGAATTTCCCTTCTCCTCGCAGCATTTTAGAGGTATGAAATAACAAAATGGTAGTGTCATACATATAGATTACAAGGAATGCTAGAAATCCTGTGGCTAAGTGTCTATGCTTATTTTTTTCTTTTGGAAAGAAACTCTTTATATTCAAAGTATGATTTAGTGAACTATAATTCAGATTAAACAACGGTCTTCGGTATGTTGCAAAGCATTGCCAATTCTAATTATCCTTAAATTCTGTTCATTAATATTATATGAAACAACTGTGGAAAGTGTCAGAAAAAGGGAAAAAATAAGGGAAGCATTTTAAAAGAAGAATGTTTGAGCAGAGGGCTTGAGTTTGATTTTCAATAGATAATGTTTTAAAATTGTAATTGTCCACTCTTTTTTACCAATTTTATTTTAGCGCCAAAGAATTGATTCTGAGCAAGCCAGAGAGCGCATTCTGGAACGATACAGTTTATATCCAAGAAAGGAGGAAAAGAAAACAAAAGAAAAGTATTCTGAAGAGAGAATTTTTGAGTCACCAAAACCCATTGGGAAAGTATGCCCAAAGACAAAAGAACTAGAATTTGGAGGAAAGATTGGTATGATAATCTTGGAAGTGGCGATTTATAATTGTAGATTATTTCAGAAGCTTGTGGCATATACACTGCAACATTCATATGACATTTCTGCATTTGGAAACTCCCAAATCAGCTGAGAGATAAGTTCTGAAAATACAGATTCTTTGTTCACAGCTATCATTTTAGTTGAAATAAACTGGAAAATTTACTGACCTGTCACAATTGCTGTGAGTGACAGAAGTCTGTTCTTCTATCAGTTGGGATGCGGCAGACTGACATTTTCACACGTCTCCCATAACAATTTGTTGCGTGAAAAGGGATCCTGCTCCTCACTTTTGCACAGGAAAACACTTTTGGGAGGTGGAAACATTGGTTTGCTGTTTCCCAGTCAGTTGGAGCACAGACCCCACCCATCACTTGCAATGGCTGTAGGTGTATTCCTTATAAGATTGGCCATAAAGGACATTTTTATAAATAAACCACTTTTTATAAATGTTGCTTTTCACATTGTTTTTACAGAAATAATCAATCAGAGATATAACTGTGAGTCTATATTATAATAACCACAGTTCCATCTTGGATTCAATTTTTCTTTGTAAATACTCTAGTACAGTGGTTCTCAACCTGGGGTCCCCAGATGTTTTTGGCCTTCAACTCCCAGAAATCCTAACAGCTGGTAAACTGGCTGGGATTTCTGGGAGTTGTAGACCAAAAACATCTGGCGACCCCAGGTTGAGAACCACTGCTCTAGTATTTTATGTTTAGGCTTATAACAAAGGAAGTATTGTTTATGTTGAAATCAATTGTTCTTTTGTTTTCTATTTAACTTCTAATTATGTTACTTTTAATGTACTCCCTTTTGTTTTTGTTGTTTTTTTCTTCAGGTGCCTTCTTCATTATACTTCTTCAGCCTGCAACAGTGCTTTATTTGTTGGTGTTGTGCTCACAGAAAGATCCCAGTGTTCTAAATTTACCTCCTTCCCTCCCAGCTTTTGAAAGTCTGTGGGAGGCAAGAGTGTTTGGTGTCTGTTTGCTTTGGTTCTTTCTCCAGGCCTTGTTTTACTTACTGCCTATAGGAAAGGTAAAGAATTTCAGCAAATAAAGATGTGGATTTGTATGGTGTTAACTTCAGTTATAATTTTAACTGCCTGCAGTTTTAAAATGGTTGTAAATACCTATAGAAACAATTATGGTATAGACAGGCAGTCCCCGAGTTACAAACATCCAACCTACGAATGGGCTCATAGTTACAAACCAGGGTGAGACCACAGGAAGTGAAGGACAGAAAATGAGGTGAAATATTCTAAACAGGCACAGGCAGCTAAACAAACACCACAAGGATGTTAATCTTTCTCTTTGCTATCCAGATATATATTTATGTATATGTTTGGTGTTACACTTAAAAATGTACCTGTTCCAACTTACAAACTAATACAACTAAAGAACAAACATACAGAACCTATCTTGTTTGTAAGTTGGGGACTGTCTGTATATGGTGGTGAAAGACAACTCAATTTGCAGTTTTCATAGTTGTTGCTATAATTTGCCCCAATTCGTACATGTCAAGTTAAATGGTTTATTAGGAACTCTAGATCCAATTCTCTTTGTGCTTTAACATGTAGAAGGACAGTGCTACTTTTTCAAAATATGGTTGTTATTGATAATATGCTTCTTGCAGTTCTTTCAGTGTATGAAAACTGATGTACTAAAATTGTAGTTGAAAACTGCTCTTATGTTTATTCCAGGTTGTAGAAGGAACACCCCTTTTGGATGGAAGTAGATTGCTGTACAGGATAAATGGTAAGTATTATTTAAAAACAGTAGCTTTAGTGCCAGAGTACAAATACTATGGAAATAATAGTAATAGGTTAATGTATTACAAAAAATAAGAGCCATACATGTGTTTCAACAAGCTATTTATCCAGAACTAACAATATACACATGTGAAACTAAATAACAATGTCAGGCAATCCTTGCATAAAAAAATAACATTTTGAATCTTCTAGTGACTACTTTGAAGTCTCTTCCAAAATGAATCCTAGAGGGTTTTTTTAAAAAAAACTTCCTTTTCAACAGCTTGCACTTATGATTTCTATTTTGGTGTCCAAACTTGTAGACCTATGCTTTTTTAATATGCCAGGGTAACTGGTGAGGGAGGCTAATGTGCTCTCTCCCTTTGTTTCTGTTTTGCTCTGTACATAAAGATTCTGGAGGCAGCTGTTTATTTTGCCTGTTGTATGTAAGCGCGCACATTTAAAGGAGGATCACATAGAGTAGAATTCCATTCCTATCCAGGTTAAGCATTATTGCATTATTTTCTGCATACACAGTATTTACCTAACAGTCTCTTTTTCAAGCACTCCTTTACCACTTTCCCAATGTTCATGCTGCAAAAAAGTAGCTAGAAAGAGGACAAGAAAATTGGGGCTAGAGTGGGCTCTCAAAAAGATTGTTTTATAAAGGAGCTGCTTTGTCAGTGGCTTTGTTAACTGAGTTATGCCTATACTTAGATAAGCCAGGAGAAATGGGAATTGAGGGTTGTAAATGGGGTGACTACACACACACACACACACACACACTGAAGTGTGCTCAAGATGTTTCTCTGCTATACCAGATTAGAGGCAATTTGAAGTAATGGGATGATGAGGAGATGGTAACTCATTACTTTCCGCCTGCAAATGACAAAGCTGAACAAAGAAGGCTGTTTGCATGGTTCAAAGTCAAAAGCAGAATTTTTGTTCTGCCTGAGAAACTTATATTAAATTTCAGGTGTCAAGAGGCCGAGAGTGGAAAAAGTTTAAGAAGCTCTGGTCTGCCATACCAAACCATGATTTGCAAAACTGTTCACCCACCTTCTCTTGATTCCTTGTTTGCCACCCAGTTAAACTGCTGGTTTAGCAATTCATACATTCATTTACACCACAACTGGTGTAGAGAACTTAAATATACATTATTCAAGATGGAAATGTTAGAATGTTGAGGATTCTGTACCAATCTGTTTAAAAACCAAGACAACTGAAGAACCAATAATCTTTTATATGACTTATAAAGTTTGTGTTAGCAATTTAAAGTGATTTTTAATTTCTATTTGGTATTAAGTTTATAGTAATGGCTGGTTTTTTATATGTCTTGTTTTGATGTAATTGTTAATAAGTCTCTTTGTTCAGCATTGAATGTTTGCCATATGAGTTGGAAACTGCCCTGAGTCCCTTCGGGGAGATAGGGCAGTCTATAAATAAAGTTTTATTATTATATTTTATATATGAAGGATTTTAAAGCACTAAAAGTATAAAACAAATTTCTAATGTAAGCTGAAGCTATATTATAGATGGATTTTTAAAGGTTTTGTTATGTAGTTTAGGTCATACATGTTAACACAGCTGAAAGATACCTGTTTTTATCTTATGGGATGCCCAACTTTTATTTAATTACTGTATTTATATACTGCTTTTCTCACCCCAGGGGGGACTCAAAAGTGGTTTACAACAAATAATGGCAAAATTCAATGCCTCACATACATATAAACCAAACTATTGGGGGTTAGGGTGCTGCATTTGTCCCTAGGAGATGTTAAAGGATACCTTCCCCCAAAAGTGAAACTTTTTTGCCCCAACATTTCAAATCTTCTATAAGCCATTCTTTTTGGCTTTATATCCAGAACATTTTAAACCCAACACATGTATATTTCCCACTGGAAGTAATCTACAAGGTCACCTGCTCTTAGGGAAGGCCTCTTTCCTGGGTCTGAAATAGCTGCAGGGACCAAAAACAGGTCAAAATTGCCTGCTTCCTCCAGGGGGAGTTCATGGGCATTATGGGTGATTTTTGTTTAAAATGGCAGGGCCATACATGGCTGCACTTATTCACCTATGCCTTGTAATAACAGATTTTTGACCTGTACCTTGTATTAATTGTGTGGTGTTTTCCTCCCCCTTCCTTTTAAGGATTCTACGTGTTTATCCTAACAGCTGCAGCAATAGGAATAGCTCTCTATTTTGAAATAGAATTTTATTACATATATGACCATTTCCTTCAGTTTGCTGTCTGTGCCACAGTCTTCTCTTTGGTATTCAGCATTTATCTCTATGTCCGTTCCCGGAATGCATCTGGGAAGGAATTGTCATCAGGGGGAAATTCTGGTAAGTTAGCAATCTTGAAAACCTTTCCTGCTTTCATTTTTGTAGGAAGTGTTTTGTGAATAAGTGTGAATAAATATTGTCATGCTATGTTGCCTTTGCACTAAAGTCACTGGCCTTTCAGTGGAACTTTAATGGGAATCTTGAATTTAATTTCTTGAACATGATTCCATGCAAACGATTGCATTTTCTTTAATCAGTCATTTAGATATTCTTTACTAAAACTGTACTATGTTTGAAAGGATACTGCAGAAGAATGTCTGCTTCTTTTCTTAGTATACTTAAGAATTTGCGATACCTTTTTCATAAATATGCCTTGTAAAGAAGTCCATCAGGCATGGAAATAATTTCTACATTGCATTCTACAGAACACTTATTTGAACTAAAGGTTTCACATGGGAAATGGATTTCATGAATAAAGGAGAAATCATCACATTATAATTGTCTGAATGGGAAGGGAAAAATGGAATGGATCAAGTAATTCAGTGGCTAGGATTGAATAGCATCAGCACTGTTGCCTGTATATTGTATATAAATATGCCTACTTGAAGGGCTCTGAGAGGAGTTGAATTTAAATACTAATGAAACAGATCTTTACTTAGGAATCCAAATATTAATGAATAAAATATTTTATATAATTACTTTTAAATTTAGGATTGGGATTTTTCAAAGTTTTTCAGTTGGCAAAGTGTCCAAATATGACCTACAATGCAGTGATAGTATCCCCTTTTCCGAAACTCCAGTCACCCATCTTACCCCCCAGTTGAGAAGTTGAAGCTGCATGCAGAGTAATGTTGCCGTTTCCCTTGATCTCAGTTAAGAGAGCTGAGGGAACAGGTTGAATTCTAGAGAAGAGGAAATGGTGTTTGAGAGAAGTGGAGTTAGGGGATACCTTCTGAGGGGTACAATGTGGGTGATCCCTATTATAGCATTTGGCCTCATAAGCCAGTTTTAAACCTCATAAGCCAGTTAGCTCTCCCATCTCTGATTCATTTTGATGATCAGAGTGGGGTGCATAATGGTGAGAGAAAACAACTTGAACAAGGAATTAAAATTGCTTTAACTGCAAGTGAATTAAACACAATAGAAATGCAGATTTTCTGAGGTAAATTGATCCATTTGTTGCTTTTTAGTTTTCTCATTCTAGTCCTCTGGTTAATGCAGTTCATGCCAAGCCCCTCACTATCCTAATTGGATGCCTTTTAAAGTTATTTACCACTTTGAATCTCAATTCTGAGAAAAATCAGGGTAAGAATATAAAAACACCAACAATATGTTATTCAATAGCTTGTGCTGAAAATATTTCACTTTACAAAAAATATCAATAAAGCCAGATGAAACAAACTTTTGATAAATCCAGTAGTACAATAATCAAAGCTTAATACATAATTACAGAGTAATTGAAATTAATACTAATTAATTAGACTACAATAAACGTTTTAAAAATGGACTCTACTGGTTTTGCTGTACTCCAAAGGCTACAACACTTTGGAGGAGGCCTTTAACCAGGCTAAATGTGGTTCCTTTGTCCTCCATAGAGAAAACTGATGCCAGCAAAAGGGGAAAGGGATACAGCAATAATGGCAGGAATATTTCTCTAGTCTTTCTAATGTCCTGGCTCCCAATAGTGGTCTTATTGCACCTATCAGGCCAAGACAGCCTGGTGATACCAGGCTTGATAGAAAAACAGTTCCTTCACCCAAAATGAGTTTGGTAGCTCTAAGATGTAGATGAGCTGAGTAAAAAAGGGAGGAAAAAGGCATGTTAGCATGGGATGGAAAAATACAGAAGCATGAAAAATAGAGCATGGATTTTGCATGGGTTAGAAGTGTTATCTTCAGAATGAAGAGAATTTTGCGAATGCCTGGATATCTCCTATTTTCTATAAATGTAGAGCCTTACGTTGCAGGAACATGATGCAGTGTGGCTTCTGCCCACCCTTTTATGCAAAAATATTGACAGTTGTCTCTTACTTCAGTAGGACTCTGTTGGATTATAACTTGTCTGTCTAACCCTGCCTATTTAGCTTTTTAACTTTTCTGTGTGAAGAATTGATTCAGATAAAAAAAAGTTTGGTTGTACTCAAAAGCCTAAATTTAAAGCAAACTTTGTTTGTTCTTGCATGTGTTCCTAGATAGCTAACATGAAAATAATGAATTCTTGTATTGGTGCTGTTAAGCATATTCTAATTGCATTGTGAAGGAATTGCTTCAAATTATTAAATGCTGGCAGAAATGCCCTCAGACTGACAAATCCTCATCATGATATTGGTAGATATTAACAATATGCAGCTCATTTAACATGAAACAGTTGTTCAAAAGTTATTTATTTTAACAGAGGAACAACCAAGTAGTCATCAGTAATATTACAGACTAATATATTCTTTTTTTATTTGTAGGGAATATAATTTATGATTTTGTAATGGGACGCGAGTTAAATCCCCGCATTGGAAATTTTGACTTGAAATATTTCTGTGAACTACGACCAGGCCTAATGGGATGGGTAAGTAAAAATAGAAATATATTGTTGAATATTTTATTTTACAAACAGACAGCAGTTACTAAAATGAAAATTACTGTGAGTAAAGTGTGTAAAATAATGGAGTGATGGAAACATCACAATAATCATGCTGGCATTACTTGTATGACAATCAAAATACAAAGATCACTGCTTTAATACATTTTTATAAAGATTAAAATAGAAAGTATTGTGAAGCAAACACAAACATGAAATAAAAAACTATACAAATGTTTTTGTACATATGTTAAAATAGTTTGTATTCAGGGAGAGGTCCTTTAAAACAATTCAGGAACCAGATTTATGTCACTGCACCTGGGATTTCTGCCAGTGTACTTTCTTATCCTCCTGCCCAGTGAAAGCCCTATCTGAGCCCTTGGAGGTGTGTTGTTGGTGACCATGCAGACCAGGGGACTTCACCATTCACATTTAACTGCCCAAAGAACTTCCCACTTGCCTAAGGCATTCTGCACTTGATTTTCTCTCATGGATAAGTAAATGAGGTTTTGTAATGGAGAGGGAGTGAAATCTTGATTTAAGAATATTGATATACTGTGTTTTTATTTATTTATTGTTTATTGTTTATTGTTTATTTAAATATTAATATATTTAAATATATTAATATATTTCTGCCCTGCTCTTTATCAGATAGACTATATATATTTTTAAACTATGAAATATTGCACATATTATGTATTACTCTATATAAAACCAGATCACCTTGTCAAGCAATTATGCTTGAACCTTTGTGCAAAGTAAAATTGTAACTTAATGATGAATTGAGGTTGGTATCTGCACCAAATTGGGCTCCATGGGGAGTTGTATCCATACTTGGGGTACCACTACAAAGGTATTCCTCTGGGGGCGGGAGGGGGCGGGAACATAAGGCACTACTCTCATTAGTAGGAAGCAAATATGTGTTTCTGTTATAATGTCATATCTGATTTGTCTCCTGGTAGTCAGGGAAGCTGTTGGCAATGAAATAGTCTCCGTATAGAGATATTTGAACATAGTGACAGTATATTTTGATCATTCTATCTTTTGTAGCTGTCCAGCAGAGGGCAAAGTCACATGGGCTGTGACAGAACATTATACGGCCAGCTATCTACTTGGGGGGGGGGGGTAGGAATGCAAGGGCGCAGTTAAAGTTCACAAAGAAAATACCATGAAATTGGGTGTAAAACCTGAAAATATGGAAGGCTGTCTGTATACTTATGTTACAGAGCCAAGTGTCCTGATTAGAATAAGGTTGTTTGGGATCAATACTGATGAGTGCTGGTTATTGACTGTAATAATAAATTGTCAATTCCTTGTTGATGGATGGAGGTAGTGCTCATGGTCTTGGAAGAGATTTGTAGGGAACTGGGACCAGGGAATCTGCATAATTTACTGCATAGAGAAAATTATGGCAAGGCTGGCTGAAGAAAGATGGAGGTGGCAGCAGCAAATACTGAAAATGTTGAATAACTCCAACTCAGGTTGCAAGGACAGGGAGTGACAAGTGAAGACTAGATGAATTGACAGGGATGAGGGTGAAAAAATGGATGGGAGGATGATCTTGGGATAGAAGTTTGGATGCAGAAGAAGGAAGAGATTCAAAACAGTGAGAAGGAAGGGATGGGAAAAGCTGGAGGAGGTGAGAAAACGTAGGCAGAAGGCAGGAGCAATAGTAGTGAAGAGCTGCAGACATGAACAAGAGGAATTCTGGATGGGAGCTGAGCATGCTGTATACTGCCTTAGTCCATGAACATGGGAGGGGGCGGGAACTAAGACAAACTTAATAAATGAAAAAAGATAACAATCTATGAGATAGAGGTGCTGGAGGAAGTCCATTGCTGGACAGCAAATCTCAGTTAGGGAAAGGAAGCTTTGGAGAAGAAAGGTGGAGATGTATGAATGGGATAAATTGGAGAGGGGTACTTTGTGAGAGGTTAGAGACTAAATCAGTAACTTAGCTTCTCTGGAAACAGGTCTATGAGAATTCCCATTCAGTCTCAAATAATCTCTTTGAGTAAACGATCTAAAGAAACTAGTAACTGAAATAGTCTTGAGTAAGATAGTGGATTACATTTTCTGAGAAAGAGAAACAGAGTGGTTTCTTGTCGATTTTCTCCAGAAGTTCCATTAACCAGGATAGACCAACTCTCTGCTTCTCCTTCACTCTGCGTGCATCCCACTGTCAGCTGGTGAAAGGGGCAACAACTGTGCTCATCAGCCCCTGGACTATTGTTGGACACTGAGGGATGCTTCCAGGCTCAAGTGGCTTCTATTTAGCAGTAGAACATGCCATTCAAAACTGGATATTATTTTAATATTGCTACCTACTTTAGGACTTTTAATAAATGGAAAAATACATAAAAATGACAATATTAAATTTTTGAAATTGTAGGCTTCAGTGGTCGTTTACAACTCTGTTATTTTAAGAATTACAAATAATTTTAAATATAAACTGACATTAATATGCATTTTGATTTTTAAGGCTGTTATTAACTTTGCAATGCTCTTGACTGAGATGAGAGTACACCGTCTGGATATGCCCTCTTTGTCAATGATCCTAGTGAATAGCTTCCAGCTCCTCTATGTGGTCGATGCTCTTTGGAATGAGGTAAATTTGCTTTAGGATTTGGAGTTATACATATATTCAAATTGCTGAAATAGCATATAGTGATTTACGTATTTGTTATATCTCCAAACTTCTGTTTATATTTGTTTCTGTGAGTGTAACGTTATTGCGAGACCATGCAGCCAAGACAAGAATAAGGCCCTTCCTCCTCCACTGAAGGGAGTAAAATCTATCTTGAAATTGGTTGCTTTTTCCACTTATTACACAGAACAGACCAAATGATTCACTGAAAACTCCAAATCATCACAGGCTAATTGGGCTTAAATTTAGAGTTGTTCTTGAGACTGTTACATTATTGTGTGAAATATTCCTCTACTTTTCCCAGTGTGTGTGTGTGTTGGGGGGGGGGGGGGGGGGGTTTGTAGCTTTTCCCAGAGTGTTGCATCATGAATGAGGGATTAAAGACTATTCCTTGCTGAAAAATACTAACCTCTGCTATCATGTTGTGATGCAATAGCAAAATCAAGGCAGGTGTAAATCTGACTGAGGCTCTTCATTAGGAGATATATATGTGTCATGTAGCTTTATCTGTAACTGCATCTCCCAATGCTAATTGCCCCAAACCTACCTTATAAGCAGTATTGGCTCCACCACCCCAAACACAGCCATTTACATGATGTTGGATAACAGGTGTTTCAGTGGGGACACATCTGGCTATTTTCTTGTAATATATGTGCTGCAACAAGCCTCTGTGGGGACTTCCAGTGGTCCTCAAGAAATCCCTGCAGTTGACATGTGCTAACAGGATACCAACCTTTGCTCAGATTGACCTGAACCAGACCTAAGAAGGTTGCTATCTATGTGGCACATATCTGTGCCTCCCACCCTCACCCCATATTCCCAGAACCCAAATGTAAGTTAGGAGTTTGAAGGATTCAAAAGGAACTTTTTTCAGAACTCCTTAACTATCTTTGGCTGAACAATGTGAACAAAGCTCTCACTTGTGTCCCCTTTCCCTGTTTTAGTCCTGTGAACATCCAGGTAAATGTGTGAATGGGGGTTTTCTCTTTGCAGCTTGGTGTAATTTCAGCTTGTAGATACCTAGAACTCTGCAGCAATTATAAATAATAATGAGAAATACGGTGGTCATTTGTAAAATGTCTGTCTAAATGCTAATTTAATTTCTTAGGAAGCTATTTTGACAACTATGGACATCATCCATGATGGATTTGGCTTTATGCTAGCATTTGGAGATTTGGCGTGGGTTCCCTTTCTCTACAGCCTACAAGCTTTCTATTTAGTGAATCACCCCAATGAGATATCTTGGCCTACGGCGTCAGGAATTATAGCTCTGAATTGTAAGTGATGAGTTAATGATTTAAAATGAAATAAGCAAATGAATTTTTGTTTATTTTTAAACAGTCTTAATTTTATTTTTTGGTCTTTTTTGAAGCATGATCATTTTTATACTGCAGTTTTTCCAGGATCCTTGTGAGCAGAAACACAACTCATAAAATTTATAACTGTTAAATAATAGGTCAATATATGTGTAGTGTTTCTTGATTTTTAGTTTGTTTTCTTCTTCTTTCTTCTGTTTAAGAGCCAAAAAAAAGAGAACACATTCTTTCACCTCCTTAGTGTAATATATAGATATTTTCCTGTAGTGATGCTTTTTACGATGTTCACATATAGTTGACAGAGGAGTGTAATAGGATGGTAGTTACTAAAGTGTTCTGTGTCTCCTTTCCTCATTAGAAGTATGGTTTCAGATGTTGTCCAATCTTAAAACAAATAAATGTGCCAATATTATTGAAAACTGTTTTTCTGCAGCTGTTTCCATGCTGTTCAGCAAACGCTTACCACATTGTGACTTGCCTCATGGCAGCTTCATCTCCCCACCTTCTCCCCTTGCACCTACGGTTCTTCATCGGGTTGAGTCCAAAACCCGACTTGCATGGATGCAGTACTAATGCCATTGTCACTCAACCCAATGAAGTGCATGCAAGAGGAGGGAGCAGGTGGGCAGATGAAGCTGCCATGAGGTCAGTCACTCAATGTGGTAAATCTTGCACCATCCCACACTAGCTTAACTGCACACTGACAGTGTACATGCGCTGAGAATTTTAAGCTCAAGCCACTGGTAAATGCATTGCTACTTTTAAGTGGCTTGACGTACAGAATTTCCCATGCGACAATTAGGTGATAAAAGGCTAAAAAATAATTTTGGGACTGTGTCTATGGAAACCAGGATGTCACTAACCTATTTAGTGCAGAAGCAGTTCCATTGGATTAGTGATTATAGAACTGAAAAATAAATTCACCAAGGAAAATAAAGTTGTCTATGTTGCTATTACCAATATAAAATGAATAGGCTAACAGGATGTAAGCTGTTCTTAGTGTAATTTCTACAGTGTAACACTTCCTTTTTTCTTTTTATGAAGTTCTTGGATATTACATTTTCCGAAGTTCAAATTCACAAAAAAACTCATTCCGAAGAAACCCAAAGGATCCAAGACTTAACCGTAAGTACTGTTTTAGGCAAACAAGTATTATTCAGATTCTGTGTTCTTCTGGGTAGTATAATACATGTTTATCTCTTACAATACAGATTTGAATATTATTCCCACTGCAACTGGAAAAAACCTCTTGGTTTCTGGCTGGTGGGGCTTCGTGCGTCATCCTAACTATTTAGGGGATATTATCATGGCCTTGGCTTGGTCCCTACCATGTGGTAAGATCATAAAGTGTCTTCTGGTGGCATAGCATTTTTCTTTTATTTTGTTTTTGCCTGAGCTGCTCGTTTTCTGCCTTTTGCATTGTTGTGATAGTTACTGAACCAAATAATTTTAGACAGATTGGATGAAATGAAAAAGAAAGGCATTTTCATAGAACTTTGTTGAGATAATATTGTTGACATCTAAATGCAAGTTAGTTAGCATAATACTCCCTTTTTATGCATTGTCAGCAATGTTATTTACCAATTGTTATATAAACACAAAATTCAGAAATGACAAACATTGATGATTGCATACTCATAGATAGTTTGCTAGACTGCAATGTTAATTAAGGAAAAGACTTGAATTTTTGATAGGTCTTGGTAGTTGGACATTACTGTGTGTCTTCAAGTCATTTCCAACCTATTGCAGTCCTGAGACAACCCTCTCACAGGATTTCCCCCCTCAAGATTTGTTCAGAAGAGGTTTGTCTTTGCCTCCTTCTGAGGCCAGAAGAGTGTTGCTTGCCTAAGGTCACCCAGAGGGACTCAAATTCAAATCTTAGTCACCAGATCCACAGTCAAAAACACTATACTGCTATGGCTCTCACGCATTAGGTTTTTTTTGTTTTTGTTTTAAAAGGCCACTAATATTTCATACCAGCTGCCTTTTGCAAAGCAAATTATTTTTTATTAAATTGTTTTGGAAGCTGTGATTATATTGTAACTCATTTTGAATTATCAGAACTGGGTGGACAAACCAGTAACATTTATATATTTTCTTTCAGGAGTCAATCACATTTTACCATACTTCTATGTCATATATTTTACTGGTCTGCTTATTCACCGTGAAGCCCGTGATGAACGTCAGTGTAAGAAAAAATACGGCTTGGCTTGGGAGAAATACTGTCATCGTGTTCCGTATCGCATATTCCCTTATATCTACTGATCCCTCTTAACCTGGTGGATAATAAATATGCAGTTCCTGCAGTTCAAATTTTGTTTTTGCCATAAACAACATACCTCATACCATTGCACTTGGCACATAAGTTAATTCTGCTGCATTTTCTTAAAGATGAGTTCAGGTATCTTTACCAATAATCTTAAGAGATGCAATCTTTTCTGTGTTTTTATTGACTTGCCCATTTGAAGCAGCAACTAATTCTGGTTGTTTAGTGTGTTAAAAAAAGAAAAAAGATCAGGTGCTTTGTGAATTGGTTGTCCTGTAGATGACTTAAAAATGTGAATGAAAGGGCAATTGTAAATTTAAAACTCAGACCTTGCCTAATCTGTAATTTTATTTTTTATAGAAGCAACATATATAATAAATTAACCCTGTAAGTTCCAGCAGAGCGAATTTGATTAAAGCCCAGCCCCTTAGTTGGAGTGGTGCTTACTCAGGTCTGTCAAGCACAAGTTCCCTCTGACTGTTTGCACTGGTGGCATTAGTAGGAGAAAGTAGGATTTCCAGGGCAACCAGCACATAGGTGTCTTTTTATATCCCTATTCTATATAATAGGGAAACATAATCCCCAATTTAAATTTAGAAGGGCCATTACATGCCTGTTGGGAGTTGTTAGTGGAAAAAATCCATGCCCTATGCATTCTGCTATAATCACTAGCTGAGTTTGTGATGTAAATGGGCTTTTAAAAATGTTCTTTTCAACTCACTCTTTGTGTCTCGGGCCTCAAATGCAAGTGGCAAAAAACAAAAGTGCTTCATCAAGTTATTAGTTAATAGTGCAAGGTGTGGCTTATTGTACAAAGAGTGAAAAAAATATAGGTGCAGCTGCTTTTTCCAGTTAGGATTATAAACCAATGCTTTGTACCATAGCTTTCCTTTATATTATGACATTGAAATATTTTGATGTACAGATTGGAAGATGCAGTAGTTTTTTAGGACTAGATGATTTTTAATTTTTTACTAAACCATTTCCAGTATTTTTGAAACGTTTTGTAAAGTATTGCTACGAAATAATTTTTTCAACAATTGAACTGCTCTTTTAAATATTGTAATGACAAATGCATTATGAACATAGGAAATTTATTGAAAGTTGTGTGAACTGGCATTGCTACCTCTGTAGGTTATTTTGCCTTTTTTGATACTGTTGGAGATAAAAAAAATGTTGATATCTCACATTACTATTTAAATCGGTTTTCTAACGTGAATTAGTGATTAAAGTGTGCCACTTCTCTACTAATATATTTTTGTATATTTAATTATCCTAGCCTCTTACTAAAGCTATGGATTGTTTTTACTCCTTAATAGCTTTAACATCTGAATATTATTGAAATATTTTTACCAAATTGGCTATGATTGAAAGTGGAACAATTGTCATTTAATATATGAAGTTAGAAAGACAGATGTATTGAAATGATTTCTTCATAGGACGAATTCATAGGACGAATTCACACACTTTCTTCATAGGACGAATTCACACACTTTTTGTAGTCAATGAAAGACTTCCCATTTGATGACAATGTGAAAGTAGCAGTTTTTAATTTGAGTAGTGATATTTTGCATTAATGTATTTGTAGCATACATCTTAATAACTTTTGGGGTTTTTTGTTTTAGTTTTAAAGTATGTGTAAGGGTATGCAGGCACTGTGACAGGATGTTATGGGTGGTGTCCTTTTCTTGTCTAACCTGGAGATTGGCTTGGTTTGAAGAACAGGGCTCCCTTTTTATGCATTTGAGTTGGGGAGAAGCAGGATTCGTATGTTCTGTGGTGATGATCTTTGCTGTGTCCTATATTTTTATATGAGCCATTTTAGTTACTACTGTACAAAGTTATTTTTGTACAAAATTGTATTAGTTTGCATATGTGGCATAACAGTTCAAGACATTATCATGACAACTTTCTTCAAACTGCATTATGCCTTCCTGTAACCTCTGTTTGTCTTGGATTACAAATTGTATCATCCTGATCATATGCAGTGCTGCCTGTAACTGAAGGAAGTTGTAACCTAAAACATTTTGGGGACGCCAGGTTTTAAACCTTCTGTGCAGCAGTTCAAATTATTTCTGTAAATAGTTATACGAAGACTGCCTTGCAATATAACCATTTTAGACATATTACTGTTTTTCATGTGTTTCTGGAGGAAAAACCCATCTAAAGGAAACCTGGGTTCTTTTCTGTTTTTACATAAGCATGTTTCTCCAGGAGTGTAGTTCCTGACTAATATAAACTGCAGTTTGTCATATTTCTTATTTTTTATACATTTACAATGTATATTCTTTAGATTGAATGAAATATATTGTATAATTAAAAATTGTCCAATAATGATTTTGTAGAGGTCTGATTGTTTTACTTGGAAGATACATTTCCAGCATTTTTGTTTGTCTTCTTAAGCAAGTCCTTTGGGGGAAAGGATGCATTCTTTCCTAGGAGCAAGGACTTGGGAAATGTAGGTGGGATGCCTTACTAATTTCCTGCCCAGAAGACGCTTGGGAGAAATTATCTAGCTGCCACACCTATTCCTGACATTGGAAAAAGCAAAAGAGCACAAGATTTCTTCTCCCAGTTTCAATGTAAACTTACAAGATATTATCTACAGTGCTATTCAACATCTTTATTAATAATTTGGACAATGGAAAAAAGTCGTACTTATCAAATATGCAGAAGACACCAAATTGGGAGAGGGACAGCTAATATCTCAGACACCAGGATCAATTCAAAACAAGAGCTGGGCCAAAACTAACAACATGAATTTCAAGAAGAAATGTACAATTATATACTTAGGCAATAAGATGAAACACACATGTATAGAATGGGTGGCACCTGGCTTGAGAACTTCATGCGAAAGAGATCTAAGAGTCTTAGTAGACCACAAGCTGAACATGCATCAACAATGTGATGTAGCGGCTAAAGCCAATCTGATTTTAAGCTGCATAAATAGAAGAATAGTGTCTAGAATAGATTGAGGGAATTCATAGTCCCAGTCTATTCTGCTTTGGTCAAGTCTCACCAGGGATAACACTGTCCAGTTCTGGGCACCACAGTTCAGGATGGATATTGACAAGCTGGAATGTGTCTGTGGAGCAACCAGAATGCTCAAAAGTTTGAAGGCCAAGCCCTATGAGAAATGGCTTAGGGAGCTGGATATGTTTAGCTTGGACAAAAGAAGGCTGAAAGGGGACGTAATAGCCCACGGATGGATGGGGCTACTGCTGAAAACTTATGTAATAGCTCTGGACAAACTTTGGCTCTCCAGCTATTTTGGACTTCCAACTCCCACAATTCTTAACAGCTAGAAGGTAGGCTGTTAGGAATGGTGGAAGTTGAGGGCCAAAGTTTGCCCATGCCTGTTCTAGAACTTGTTTTGTGCCATGTTATTTTATGTGGCCTGTGAGGCTTTCAATGCCAGAGCAACAGTTACATTTCTAAAGTCTTACAATTTTAACTGGCTCTTTGAAGGCTGATGTCCTCTGTGAAAATGAATCTGACATGCCTCCTCTAGAGGGTTCCAAATACATAGGCACAGATAGCCAGTATACAGGTGACCACCTAGAGCCAACTGTTGGTAAACTGCCCTAGAATATTTGAATAGTTGCTCATTGCCTAAGCAACAGTGCATGAATGGTGTTATGTCCTGACATCAGGCCTGGGATGGAGTAACTAAATAGACGAGATTAAAGCAAAGAAAACCACAATGCAAAACTACTTACAGAGCAAAGTTGACACAAACTACTCACAGAAGATCATATTTATTCTTGAACATCAAACTTAAAACCTGGGTTGCGCATAACATAAGTTAAAACAAAGTATTTCAGAGGGGATTTATGATCCTGAAGAGTGGTGGTTCTCAGTCATCTAGTTGGCACAACATTGCAACTCCTCTTGTTATCCAATGACTCGGTGCAATAAGAGTTGGTAAATTGACTGCAGTTATAAAATTAGTTGACACACCAGTAGAAGATAGCATTCCGGATCTTTGGGGTGTTCTGTATAATGGACATTCATAAATTAGCAAGACTGCTTCCTCCTCTAAAAAACGGCATCTGGAGCTGTATTCCATCTATGTTTTTAAAAAAGATTCATAAATTATAAATGCACACCAAAGAAAAAAGCATACAGATGTGATTTCTATACTCTTCCCCCCCCCCCCCCCAAATGTTTCAATTATGTTATATGTTGGCAACTGTGGCCCTTCATATATATGTAGTCAATAGCAAGAGATTATTAATAGGGCAAAGTCATGGAACGTGTGGTGGCAACACAACTCCAGGGATTTCTGGTAGACACTGATTACCTAGATCCAGCACAGTCTGGCTTTAGGCCGGGACATGGAACTGAGACAGCCTTGGTCGCCTTGGTAGATGATCTTCACCGGGAACTGGACAGGGGGAGTGTGTCCTTGTTAGTTCTGCTGGACCTCTCAGCGGCCTTCAATACCATCAATCACGGTATCCTTCTGGGGCGCCTCATGGACATGAGGCTAGGGAGTGTGTCCCTGTTAGTTCTGCTGGATCTCTCAGCGGCCTTGGATACCGTTGACCATGGTATCCTTCTGGGACACCTTGAGGATATGGGACTTGGGGGTACTGCTTTGCAGTGGCTCCGGTCCTTTCTTGAGGGACGGTCCCAGAAGGTGTTACTGGGTGACACCTGTTCGGCCCCACAACCATTGTGTGGAGTCCCTCAGGGTTCAATTCTGTCCCCGATGTTGTTTAACATCTACATGAAGCCGCTGGGAGAGATCATCCGGAGTTTCGGATTGAGGTTTTATCTCTACGCAGATGATGTCCAAATCTGTCACTCCTTCTCACCTGTTACCAAGGAGGCTGTCCAGACCTTGAACTGGTGCTTGGCCGCTGTGTCGGACTGGATGAGAGCTAACAAATTGTAATTGAATCCAGACAAGACAGAGGTCCTACTGGTCAGTCGTAAGGCCGAACAGGGCATAGGGTTACAGCCTGTGTTAGATGGGGTTACACATAAATCAAAAGCAGGTTCGCAGCTTGGGAGTGATCCTGGACTCATCGCTGAGCCTGGAATCCCAGGTCTCAGCGGTGGCTGGGAGAGCTTTTGCACAATTAAAACTTGTGCGCCAGCTGCGCCCGTACCTTGGGAAGTCTGATCTGGCCACGGTGGTCCACTCTCTTGTTACATCCCAAATAGATTACTGCAACACGCTCTACGTGGGGTTGCCTTTGAAGACTGTTCAGAAACTTCAATTAGTTCAACGGGCGGCAGCTAGATTACTCATCGGAGAGTCATACAGGGAGCACACCACCCCGTTATGTCAGCTCCACTGGCTGCCGTTCCAGTTCCAAGCACAGTTCAAAGTGCTGGTTTTGACCTACAAAACCCTTTACAGCTCCGGCCCAGCGTACCTGTCCGAACGTATCTCCTTCTACGTCCCACCTCGGAATCTAAGATCTGCTGAGGGGGCCCTGCTCTCGGCCCCACCTTTATCACAAGTGAGACTGGTGGGGACGAGGGACAGGGCCTTCTCGGTGGTGGCCCCTCGCCTGTGGAATGCACTCCCCGGGGAAATTAGGTCATCAACATCCCTCCTCTCTTTCAGAAGGAAGCTAAAGACCTGGATGTGGGACCAGGCCTTCGGGTAAGCTGGCAGATGGACAAGGATAACCAATAATGACCAGAGCAGGAAAGGACAATGACAATGCAAAATGGTTTACGAACTTGGATTTGGTGAACATTGACCACTAGATGTTTTTATTGATGCTAGTATACTGTTGATTGTTTTAATTAGTTATAACTGTGATAGTATATGGTAATCTGTGTATTGTATATTGTATTGTATTTTGTAACTGTTAGGCATCGAATTGTGCCTTTTGTAAGCCGCCCTGAGTCCCCCCTTTGGGTAAACTGGCAGATGGACAAAAGACAATGACGACCAGAGTGGGAAAGGACAAAGACAATGCTGGATGGATTATGGATTTATAAATCGGTGAACATTGACCACAAAATGATTTTATTGCTGTTATTGTATTGATTTGATTGTTTTAACTAGTAATAACTGTTGATGTTAAATTGTAAATTGTATATTGTATTTTGTGAATTGTTGGGCATTGAATTGTGCCTTTTGTAAGCCGCCCTGAGTCCCCCCTAGGGGGTTGAGAAGGGTGGGGTAGAAGCACTCCAAATAAATAAATAAAATAAATAATAGCTGTGATTTTTTTTTGTTGTGTCAGGAGTGACTCCTGGTGTGAGAGAATTGGCCGTCTGCAAGGACTTTGCCCAGGGGACGCCTGGATGATTTGATGTTTTTATCATCCTTGTGGGAGGCTTCTCTCATGTCCCCGCATGAGGAGCTGGAGCTGATAGACGGAGCTCATCCGCCTCTCCCCGGATTTGAACCTGCGACCTGTCGGTCTTCAGTCCTGCCGGCATAGGGGTTTAACCCACTGCGCCACCGGGGGCTCCAATAGCTGTGATAGGTGAGGGGGGCATAGTTATCCACTTGGTTAGGGAAATGCTAGAGACTACCACAAGCAAAAACAGTATTTCTTTGATTCTAAGATGCTATCGATTGTAAGACTCATGCTAGTTTCAGTACCACCACCAATAAAATAAAATAAAAAGCACCCATGATTCTAAGACACCCAGTTTGATGTTTATATTGGGGAGTGGGAAGTGTACCTTAGAATGAAAGAAATAAGGTAATACACAGAGCTATGATGCACATAGCAAAACAGGCACAATTCATACATATTTTACCTTTGATGTTATTTGTGTGCATTTAGTTTATATCTCCTACCATATATCCAAAGATCTCAAGAAAGTGTAGAATTGGGAGGGGGTGTGTGAAATGTAAAGCAGTAGAAAATTATAATTTACAGCCAAAATGTGTTTTAATCTGTTACATGAATCAGTTGTAGGAGCATAGAGATATTATGCACTTCAACCTGAAAACTATTATTGGATACCCTGAGACAGATATGTGCAGTACTCCATAAGCCTCAGATCACAAGGCCAAACACCAGCATTGCCCTAGGCTTGAGACAACATACAAGGCAGAGGCATTCTTCTCATGGGCATCAGAAACAGATGGCACAGCTTATTGAGCATTCCTACTACAACTGAGAAACTGTTATTTAAATACTAGTACTTGATTGCAGAAATCATTTTGATTCTGAAGCCAAAGTACAGGCTACTAATTATAACTTGTTCTTTGAGTGGTCGTCTGTGAACTCACACAAATGAATAAGTTTGCACCTGCACAGCATGACAGAAATACAGAATCATGGGGTTAAAGGGCTGGATAGGTAATGACTAGTTTGAATTGGGACCGGAAACTCACAGCCAGTGGAGCTGCTTTAATGGGGGTACTGTGGTCCATGTAGTCAGCTCCTGTTAGAAATCTGGCTGCTACTCTCTGCACTAATTGCAGTTTCCGAACCATCTTCATAGGCAGCCCCACATAGAGTTTGTTGCAGTAATCCATCCAAGATGTAACTAAGGCACGGACCACCATGGCCAGATCAGACATTTTGAGGAACATTTTGAGGAACAGGCGCAGCTGGCACACACAAGTTTTAACTGCAAAAGCCCTCCCGGCCACCGCCGACACCTGAGCTTCAAGAGTCAGCAGAATTCAAGTAGCAGAATTCAAAGTATATTTTGCTGAAGTATAATAAGGGGCAGGATAGAAGTTTCCCAATTTCAATTATGAGCACTCCTGGCAATGCTTTTGGGTCCCTTTTATTTTATACTTAAATACTGCTACATTCAGATTAAAAAAAATCATTGATTTATTGAAATCATCAAATAGCCTGACCCTCCCAGAAATAAAAGGTTTGTAGTTTTCATTTATGATTCTTATTTGTAACTATTATTTATATCCATGTATCTGCTATTGTAACATCTATTACATCAATAGGACTTCTTTATTTTGATCCGAGTAAGGGATGGGAAAGTATAGTGCACAAAGTAGCCAACTAGTATAAGAAATAGTTGAATTTTTCATTTCAAGGTAAGCACTTAATTGGTAATTTACAAGCTTTGTATAATTAACATTACGGCTACATGCTCTGAGGTTAAAATGAGAGTCTTAAGTACCTTTTGTGGTAAAAAAAGGATGTCTGGTAGTGCATGAAATCTCTCATGAAGTTCAAGCTCCTCCAATGACTCCGTAATGGGGCTCCAACATGCACCATCTATGTATAAGCCAAAAATTCTAATTCCAGTTTCGCACATAGAAGGTTCCTGAAAACCAATAGACGTGACAAATAAGTGCCATATTGTATTTTCATATATACATTGAAGACAAGGGCCATACCAGTAGATATTGGTGATATGCACTGGTGTAACCTCCCAGACATCTTCCCACTACTGTCTAGCATCTGAGTGAAACACTATTGTCCTCACAAGCCTCCAGTGCAGGCCTGTAGCTGGGGGGGGGGGGGGGGGGCTTGAGGGGCTTCAGCTCCCCCCCCCCCAAATTCTCATGGTGGTTCGCGAAAAGGCCTTACTGGTGCATTATTTAAACTGTTATGTTTATTCATATCTTGATCTGATCACCATACTCAATATATCCCATATGCATGGGGGTATTGGGGTAATGATACAAAAGGTTTGCTAGGGTAGACCCTCTTTCACTCAGACTCAGCCCCCACCCCCCACCACCCACCACCCCCCTGAAAACCCCCCCCCCCCCCCGGCAACAAAATTCTGGCTACAGGCCTGCTCCAGTGTACTTACTGGACACTTGGGAGAGCAATGGCTTCTTTCTCACAGATGCAAACATTGTTTCTTAATGACTAAATGTATATGTTCTTATTCTGCCTTTTGTACATTTCTTGGTGCTGGTCATTAACTGTAAATAAATGTATAATAACCAATGCAAACCTACAGCTGGATGGTTCTTTGGAGCTTTCTAATCCCTGGCCACTGACAGGCCATGTAGATGTGCTTTCGTGATAAGGAACTGTCTTGTGACATTGGAAATGGTTTCACAGGGTGAAACTTATTGAAATCTGGGTGAAATTTTTCAAGTGATTGTTTCAAGTGTGTGTTCTTGTAACCCCCAACTTCTCCAGTACAACCTCAATACCTCCACAGATACCATCAAATTGTATTGTCCTTCACTCCAGACAACATTCATCTTCAAAATGTCAAATTGTGCTCACCAAGCTTCCAAGGTGTTGAGCTATTTGCCCTCTGCACACAATATTTGACTCCCAAATACCATTGTTATAGAAGCCGGGGAATCTTCCTTACCTTAAAAGCTTTGTTTAAAATGGTTTCTTTTCTCTTTAAGCTTCTGAGATTTTGTTCCTCATCCTGACTGAGCGGCAGAACTTTGTGGACAAAAGTAAGAGAATCAACAGGTATTTCATTCTGTCGAGCATAATTCTGAAGGGCAGCAGTAAGAAACCCTGTAGGAATAAAACCCACATTGCAGCGAGCGGCAAGTGATGGAATAAAAGTCAAAGAATTGTTAAGGGGGTGGATATTGGATCCTTATTCTCTGGTGTACTATGCTAACTACAACTAACTATTTTACTAACTACAACTTATGAGAGCTTAAAACTGTCCTTTACCTATATGGAGATATTTTAATTTCTGCAGGAACGAAAAAATAAACAATTTCCATATTTTGCAATGTTTACCATGATGTCAGTCATCTAGCTATTAAAATTAAATTTTAAATAGGCCTATGATATCTCTTACAGCAGGAATGGCAATCATGGGCCCTCTAAATATTTTAAAGGTCATTTTATGTGATTTTATTGTATTTTAATTCTGTTTTCACCACACTGCTACTATTTACCGTATATACTCGAATATAAGCCGAGTTTTTCAGCCCTTTTTCAGGCTGAAAAATCTCCCCTCGGCTTATATTCGGGTCAGGGAATGACGGAGGAGGAGGGAAAGGCGTGCACAGGTTTCTCTGCTTCCTCCCGCCGCTGCCTCCGCCAGCGCAGCCGTGCATGGGACCAGGAAGAAAGAGAACAAGCCTGCGGAAAAGCCTGCCGCAGGGGCTTCCTTCTCCTCTGCCGCCGCCGAGGACAGCTCATGCTCCGCGAGGGGGGAGGGAATAACAGAAAGACTGGGTGGTCATCTGTCAAACTGACCAGTAGCGGCTGCATTTTTCACCCTTGGCTTATACTCGAGTCAATAAGATTTCCCAGTTTTTTGTGGTAAAATTAGGTGCCTCGGCTTATATTCAGTTCGGCTTATATTCGAGTACATACGGTACTTGTTTTTTAACCTTTGTATTGCACTTTTAAAACTTATCTAGTGTGGGATTGTTAGCTGCCTTGAGTCCTCACAGGGAGATAGGTGAGGTATAAATAAAATTAATAGTAATAATAATAATAATAATGTTGGAGTGCAAAATCCCTACTTCCTCACCAGTTACTGATCCCATGGATCACAACACAGATAGGCATCTAACAAGCTTGCACAAACATATGAAGCCACCTCATAATGAATCAGTTCTCTGGTCTTTCTAACCAAAATTTGTTATATTCTTGATTAACAATGACTCAGGGAGGGCACAGGGACAGATGAAACATGAAACGGTCCCAATTCCCTTCTGTGATGGAAAATGAAAATGAAAATGAATTTTGAGAACTTGGAAAGTTGTTTCTTCCATTTTCCAAGTCCTCTCTACATCCCAGCATCAATTGGCGTGTTTATCTAGGGAGAGGGGTACTTGCTCCTAGTTAAACACCAGTTGAAAAACCATCAGCCATTCCAAGTGTGACAAAACAGGGATTCAGAAGAACTATAGCAGAAACGTGACATGGGTAAAGAACTGCTATGGAATCATGTACCATGTGGGAAAAAGAAACCTGGAAGCCAAAAGCAGCTGGGATGTCCCTTATAGTTGTCATTGACAGAGTCAGTTTCTTCACCAGTCTGAAGCACTGTTCTTGTTTGTCTCTGAAGTATCAGTAAATGATTGTACCTACGTAAAACACAGTGAAACATGAAAACATTTTTAAACACAGGTTGCCAGTGGGCAGGGCATGTTGAGAGTCGGGGAAATGGGATATGACCCCCTTATCCACAGACTTGATATCCATATTTTCACATGCAAATGCTCCAAAAGGATTCCTCCCCAGAAGTTTTTGTGGGTCTCTGTAATCCTGTAGTGCCATTCTACGGTATGTAACCACAATACAAGGTTTGCCATTATCCATAGTTTCAGGTATCCATGGTTAGTCTTGAACGTATCCCTTATGGAATACAGAGTTATACTGTTTTAAACTTTACAGTGTTTAAAACTTGATCTAAAAGAAGAATTTGGCTATTCAGGAGGCATCAGGTGGACAATTTCAACTACTTTTCACAGTATCTATTGCAAATCTTACCATTCAGAACTAATTTCTTGATATATCAAAGTTTTGCTAAACAAACATCCTAATATTTATATGTTGGTGGAATTGAAATTATTTCAGTATTTCGCATTTTACCTTGACTTCATAAAGGTGATAACACGATTAGCCCACATGGCAAAGAAATTCACTCGTACAATAAGGTCATCAATCCAGGATCCCAGAGGTTTGTGTGATTCGTAGGAATGTTGCTTTTGTGAAATAGTACATAAGATGCAATTACATATTTTTTACAAATTAAATACGTCCATATACATTGCTCTCACTCATGGAAAAGTAGTTTACCTTCAAGGATGGAGGCATATAGAGCAGTGAGGGAAATGGAGATATCTGCCCAAATAAAATGTGGTAACAGATGAGGCAGCCAAATAATCCATTCATCATATCTTAATCATCCTTACCTTGGGCCATATCTAGGCTGTAGAATTAATGCAGTTTGATACCACTAATTGCCATGGCTCGATACTGTGGAATCATGGGAGCTGTAGTTTTACAAGGTATTTAGTCTTCTCTGCCAGATAGTGCTGCTGCCTCCCCAAAGTACAACATTTAGATATCCACAAAACTGATTCTACAGTGTATTATTATTATGTATTTTATTTGCGATATTTGTATACTGCCCTTCTCAATCCCAAAGGGGACTCAGGGCGGTTCACAGTGTTTTATCAATGCCATCGATAAAAACAGTATAAAACATCAAAATTGACCCTCCCCTGATAAAACATTAAACATTATTAAACACAGCACATAAAATAACATCACATATCACACAAAGACAGAGCCATTGTAGATGCACTCTTGGTGACTTCTAAAGTTTTCTGCTTTACAGAACGTGTTCAACAGTGCAGAGGCTAGAAGTTAGGTGTTCTTTTATGAAAGAATGCACGTAAGGGAGATTTGGATTCTACCGCCGACTTTCTGACATAAAATGCACTGTATAACCATTTTTGGTGTGGATTTTGAGCAAATTCTAAACTTGAATTGCTCTTGATCATTCCAGATGTGTCCCAATGTGTATTTTCCAGGAGCACTTAGGACAGGCCTTTTGTTCTATCCATTAGAAATGGATTGGTTGGGCTGAAATTATTGCTTGAGATCATTATTCTTGGAACAGACTTCTAATTCAAGACATTAGAAAAAAAATTGAAACCACAGACGGGAAAAAAAAATCAGTTGATAAAATAAGTCATTTTAAGAGCTTTGTACTATCTGCTGTGAAGATTGTTTTCCAAAGATAGCATTGTAGGACTCTGATTTAGCCTTGTGTCTATTTGTTTATGGAAACAGTGGGGGAAAGTGTGACCTTTGAATGGCACACATCCTTCATGGTCATGTATGCCAGCCCTGGTTTTGAACCCCTACCCCATGTTCCCCTACAATTACCAGAAATCGGCAGCCTGCAAGGCCAATGGGTAAGTTGCAGTCTCAGTGGCCATATTGCTTGGGAAATTATTGGAGCTGTCATTTTAAAAACTACACTCTGGTTTTGAAGTGCAACAATAAATTCTTGTCCATCAGCTGCAGAAGAGAGACCACAAGCATATTTTGTATTCTTCAAAAGTCAAGTAAATAACCATTCACCTACCTGCCACTGTTCAGGCACTTTGGCTTTTAATATTGAATTATAAAGCTCCTCGAGTCCCGCGGTGAAAATTATATCACCTCTTATACCTTGCTGAAGTGTATGTAAGGATTGAATAATTATGGATAGCAAATTATTATATTGGTCTATCTCCTGTTGCAAGACAGTTAGAAAAGTTGAGCTGGTAAAAGAATCAGGACCTACAGGGAAACAAAAAAGCCCCACAGGATGCCCTTTAGACCAGCAGTTCTCAAAGTGTGCTCCACAGAGCTCTGCGGACTCTGCGAAGCATATTTAGGAGCTCTGCAGTTCCCTCCTCCCTGCTCCCTCCCCCTCGTAAGTTTTCCCTCCTCTTTCCTGCTCCTCCCCTCCCTCCACCTCTCTTGCCGCCCAAAGCCTTTTTCCCTTGGCCCCTTTGCTACCAAAAACCTTTTCCTCCTGCCTCCCTTGTCACCCAGATCCTTTCCCCCTCACCTTCCTTGCCTCCAAAACCCCATTTCCCTCCCACTACTCAGGGGGTGCTTTGATTGCGCTTTTCTTGCATGGCAGAAGGGTAATGAACTGGATGGCCCCAGGGGTTTCTATTATTATTATTATTATTATTATTATTATTATTATTATTATTACAACAAAGGTGGTTGGCCATCGGTTGGGGGTGCCTGGATTGTGCTTTTCCTGCAGGGCAGAAGGGGATAGGACTGGATGGCCCCTTGGGTTAATCCTATTACTATTATTACAAAGGCTTTCCATCCATTTGCCACTGGCCTGGCCTTTATGTCAAATTTTAAAACACAATGTGTCAAAAGGTTTGCCCATGTCTTTTATATATATATATATATACTATATACATAATATAATATATAATATATACACATTTCTTGAGGCTCCACTAGAAACCTTTGCTTCAAAAAGGGCTCTTTGACTGGAAAAGTTTGCGAACCCCTGCTCTAGACAGTTAAATTTAATATTTGGCAGAGCTGATCCTACTGTTAGCAAACATAGAAGGTTGCATCACAGTGGAGAGCCAGACCATTACTTAAGGGCAGTAAACTGCCAGCTGTTTAATGTACCATCGCATTTACCTGAAGGGGAGGCAATGCAATGGCTCGAATTTTGATGATGTCTTACACATATGTAAGGTCCCCTATCCAAGCAGATTGACATTTTTATCTGATGCATAACATCAGCAGTCTAGTCAAGACTGCAAAAGCAGAGTTGCCTTGTGCATTGATTCATCTATTGTGCATCGATTCCAAATGCATGAGCAAGTGGTGCCAACAACATGTCCTTGTTTACCTTGAGAGCAGCAGCTATTCTTAGGATTTTAGCTCTGAGTTATTCTAGTAATGGCACAAAATCACCATTTATATTGCCACACTCACATCCTCAGTGCCAAAATTTATAAATCTGCTAGTAAACATTTTTCTATATATGATGGAATAATTTAACACTCTGGAAAGCTTTATAATCTCCTTTTATTCTATGGCCAATGACATTTATTCCAACTTGAAATTATGTGAGCCCTCTTACCTTCTGCAGCTTTCACAAATGCAGCCCAAACTGGACCCAACTTGAAGCTTCTGAATGTAATTTTCTCTTTGGTTTCACCTTCACTTTCAGGTGCCTGTCCAACATCTTCTACAATTAGTGGTAATTTAATTAAAATGTCTGATGCTATTTCCAGTATGATTTCATCCTGGCTTCTTCCACCACTATTACAGGGTAGGACAGAAACAAACATAGCTACAATTATTACTGCAAATTTACAAGTTTAATACACTTTTTCATAGCTTGCTGCCCACTATTGTTAAAGAGAGATCCCTAGTCCTGCAAGAACCTGTGATGTGAATAAATTAAATTTAGTCAAGTCCTGATCAGGTTGTTGATGATAGAATGATTTGTAAAGGTCTCTCAATCAAAGGATCATCATAAATGAAAGTCAACTTGAAAGCAGTTAGTAACAACTATGCTCTCTTCCCAGACATTTTTTGGGTTTATCAAGAGATCCCATTGTTGAATTTCTTGCTCCAGTATCTAGAATCACAATGTTGTTGTGGTGGCAAAAAGACCCATCAAAACAAGCATGTTTGCTTTAGAACAAGGGATATGGTGAATGTGCACAATGTTTCTCAGATTGCCTCCCATCCGAAATCCTCTCTACAATGTGATTTGTTTTCAAAATTATACCTTCACTTTATTCTAAAGCAAAGATATTCAACTTAAGTATGGAGGACGACTGTGTAGAAGAAAATGACACAAATGTAGTGGGTTGGGTGGATGTCAGTGTATCCCCAATGCCCACAACCTGGTCAATTGAGCTTTTCACCATTTGTGTGGGTTTCATTATCTGTGTTTTAAGTATACATGTTACCGTGCATTTCTCAATATGAGTAATGATGACATTCATCCTAAATGAATCTTATAAATATCTAAATGCAAATTGCATCTAGCTTTTGGATCGACACAAGTGAGTGCTGGCAATCACATTGAAGTCATAGCCAGCATCCAGTAATATATGACATTCATTCTCTCTTTCTCTCCCTCATACATGTGACATATACATCCATCCATATACAAAGGAAAGATGTATTGGGAGGAGTTCAGCTAAAAAAAAAAAGAGTTCAGTAATGCATTGAATCTTGGTATACTGAGATAATGATAACTAAATGAAAAGGATAATGGAATAAAATAATATGATAAAAGTCAAAAAGCAGATTTCAGTCGAAAAGCAAGACAGATGGCTAAAGAAAGGAATTGTAAAATCCAGTACTTCAATGTAGCTAAGACTGTGCATATGTATCTACTTTATCTACTCTAAGAATCCAAACTAGAAGAAGATACCACTTCTAAACAGGCCACTGAGGGCTGAGTATACTTAGTGGGCATGAAATGATGAGTGTTTGGGGAGGTGGGGGAGGTAAAACAGAAGGTAGTGACTGGAGCCCTGTACAGAAGCTTTCTGCAATATAACAATGTTGTTGCATGGCCTCACTTGGCAATTTCACTGCTCTTTCCATACAAAGATGTAATCTAGGAAAGCTAGAAAATTAGGGGATTGATTTAGAGGATGCTGATAAAGAATGAAATTAGTGGCCTTTGAGCATGCTTAGTCATCTGGAACATGACCATATCTAAAACTAGAGCAACAGTGACCTAATAATGGTGTCTGTGCTGATTGCCGGCTGAGTAGTAACAATTGACTCAACAAACAACTGTGCTTGAGATTTTAAGTATGCTTTTTCAGCACAATAATGCATTCCAAAGAGTTCTGGAGAATCAGCCTCTGGTAGAGATCGTAGATAGGCTCGGCAGTCTTTTAAAGTATCTTTTTCAGATATAGGTCGATACACCTGCAAAATAATAGATGAAGACTTTATTTTTTACATACACAACTGTAAAGTGATGTTGAATCTATCAACTTGGCTGTGGAACCGAGCTTTTGGGACAGTGCAATAAGGTAGCAATAAGAAACCTCACCATGCTACCAGATTTGATGCAGATTTTAATGTTGAGACAAATGATTTTAATGATTTTAATGTTTATGCATGTGTATAGTCTATTTATGTCCCGGCATTGAATATTTGCCGTTTATATGTTGGGATGAGAAGGGCAGAATATAAATGTTTTAAATCTATAAAAAGGTTCTGTTCGTTGTGAGGACGCCCAAAAAAACCCAAAAAACTCTGGGCCAAATGACAAAAAATGGGTCAGAAAAGCCTCACAACTCAAGGTATGACCAACAATCAAAATACGCTCCCCCCAAAAAAACAGCAAAATAACTTTAAAATCCTTGAAAAGTACAAGACAACACAGTGCATGTGCACAAAGTCATCCCCAACCATCCTTCCTCACCACTCATTCCATTTGCTTTTGCCCCTCCCACCCAGCACGCTCTGCTCCATTAGGGATGGGGCTTTCCGGAGCACCATGATGGCGGCAACCAGGGCTGGAGTCGAAGACGGTGGTTCAGAAATGGCCAAAAAGCCTGGGGGACACGGCCGCCCACTAGCCACTACCACCACTGCCTGCGGCAAAGACTCTCCTCCTGCTGCCTCTGCCACTTCGCTTCTTTCCCACCCGAGGCCTCCTACTTCTACTAATGGAAGCATGGCCTCGGCTTCCAGCAGCTTCCCTCCATTCCCGCTGCCACCTCAACTCCACTTCCGCCCAAAGGCCTTAGCACTATGGACAGGAGCGACTCACCAAAATTATCATATCAATCTTTATCCACTATATATTTAAGTAGTTGTGATATAAAAAATGTTTCCCCTACCCAGTCCGCAGAATAAGCAAAATCTTCTTGCAATACAGATGGGTTGTAAAAATTGTCCAAAATGCTAAGCAAGCACCGACGGTCCCATTGATCAGTTACACGACCCCCATATGCCACTTCTCCAGTCAGATAATTCAGTGCTGCCCAAGGAATCTCTTTTTGGTTTTGTAGAAGTAGCTCCAGTATGTGGATGGAAATCTTGGGAAGAAAAAGTCATGAGAATTCTCCCTCTCTCCCAACTCTTGTGTGTATAAGTCACAGGCTGCAATCCCCCAAACCATGTAACTAGCTCTTTATGCCCGAAGGAATGCTGGATTTGTGTTTCTTGGACAGCGGGTGTCAGACACTTCCACCCATCATCACCTGAGTTCACCGCCAAGAAAAATTGGAGCCACTCTAAAACAGTGTCCCCAAACTCCAACCCAGAGAGGCGACCCCGAAGGATGCTATGGCTGATGGTATCAAAAGCTGCTGAGAGGTCCAGCAGGACAAACAGAAAATCCACCTGTATCAACTACATTATCTAACTCAGATAGTTATTCTGGTAGCAGAGTAGAATGAAAGGAAAATGAACAGATACCATAAACATCACCAATTACTGTTGTATATGTTGCCAGGCATAGTTTGAAAAGGTGCATTGCCAGATATAGTTTGAATCCACTTGGCTCCAATGGGTGCCTCCCATCAATGAAAGGGAATGCTTCATCAGTAAATTCAGCAACCCATCATCTCTCTGACTCTTCTATAGGGCCCAGCAAACCCTTTTCCACTGTTGGAACATGTGTGATTATCTCTGCCGGTTCTCTATGTGTATCCCTGCCTGCCCATGTGCTCTAGAAGTTTGCTGGGTCCTATAAGAGTCGGGGAGATGATCCTGAGGCCGCAGAGGGAAGGGAATAAGCAAATATTGCCTTTCCCTTATTTCTGCCAGCAAGAGCATTCTGGTTCAGGACACTCCTGTGAGTAAATAAAAACTTGAGATTTGCTCCCTTGGTTATGAGATGTATTATAATCAGCTATTTCACATACCTCCAGATCTGAAGAACTAAATTCATATGGAATATTCCAGCCCAAAGCTCCATACTTCTTTCTCTCATGAACTACAGCATTGAAGAAACATAGACTAAAGAGTAATGTTTTCCATGATGGCCCACAGGAAGTCTTATTGAATATGGCTTCTGTTACCAATTCAGTACCACCCAATCCAAATGTCTGAAGCAATGTTCCCTTCAGTCCTTGGGGAGGCTCTATAACCATCTTTAGAAAACAAGCAGACAATTCATGGCTGAAATAAGACTTCAACAGAATTAATATATATTGAATTATCTGACCCTTCATGTATTTAATTAAAATGGAACGTTTCTCTGTTTCAAAGTAAAAACATTTCTTTTTGAAACCCAGATGCCTTAATGCAGTTTAAAAACCTCAGACTTTTCATTCTCTATTTTCTCGGGGGGGGGGGGCTTTTTTACACATGTACTCTGTGCACCAAATTAGGGTGGAATGGGAGGGGTGGGATGATGGGAAGGTAGAGTAGGTGGCTTGACAGTCTGGCAAACATGTTCCCACTATCTTTTTTTCCAGTCTGACTGGATATATAAATAACCAAACACTATTAGAGTTGTTGAAACTGTGCTGGTACGGCTGTACCAGGAGCTCCAACTTTCTTTTCTTTCTGTTATCTGTTTGCAGTCATAGGGCAGGCCTCCTGTCCATCATAATTAAGCTTTGGTTCTGCCCCTTGGTCAGGGTTCTGGGAGGGAAAGGAGCCATTTTTTGGGCAGTCTCACACAAGGAAGCTAAACTATAGGATGTAGACCAGCTCATCCCATAGAAAAGCTTCCTTTCTCAAGAGCATCCAGGGAAAAAGTAACATCCGGGGATACAGAAGCAGAATTTCCAGGAGAAAAGTCCCAAAAGCTCTGGCTGAGAGCTCACAGCCTCTCAGCCTCACAGCATCAGAGGGAACAGCCCTGAAGTTTCTAAGAATACTTGAAGGGAGAACAGCATTACAGATCCACGGAACTCCAGCTGAATTATCTTCAAGCCTCAGCTGGTAGGTCTACTCGATACCCAGACGCATTTGGAGTCGGTAGTAGGTCCCACACCGATGAGGCATAGATAGAAAGCAGCCTGGGAGAGGTTAAAAAGGGTTTTTCCTACAGAGAAAGTTTAGTTAATCAAAGTCAGGTACCAACCCATTGAGGACTAGACTATGAAAGCCTTGAAGTGTTGTTTGAACCATTGAAGATTTGTTGTTTGTTCCATAATAAAGACTTTGTTGCATCATTAAAGACTCTAAAGACCACCACTTCAGAAAAATCCCTGAGAACCTCTCTTTGAGGCGCCCCTGGCTTCCCGCTGGGCTTAAAGTATACGTCCTATAAAAAAGTACAGCTGTTACAGGCCCAGCGCGTAACAGAACAGAAATAATCAGTGTATGTATGAGTAGGAGATGAGCACAGTTCACAGTGGAGGGGTTATAAAGGGGTTACCTTGACATTTTTTACTTCAGTTTATGCATATATGGGGTCTTATGCATATGTGAACATCTACCACTAAAGAGTAAAAGAGGGTCAAAGAGATACACTATGACACAGGTGAAATGTATGTGGCACATGAGGGCATAAGAAAAGAGTAAACAAACCATAATGGAAAAAAGTAACAACAATGGTGATGAAACATTGTGATTTTTGTCAAATTGAAATAAATCTATTTTTCTTTGTAATAGTTTTTAACTGTTTAACTCAAAAATTAAATTATTTTAATTGTATGACACCCTGAGATCTCATAACAGAGGGCAGGATAGAAATATTTTAATAAACAAACAAACAAACAGCAAATATTTGCACAGCTATGGAAGAGAACAAGCTAGTTGAAGTGGCTGTGTTAATAGATGATGAAGAATTTATGTATGTAGTCATCCCCTCTGAGTACACACAAAATTGAGGATGGAGGTGGCTTCCACCAACAAAGCTCAGTTTCAGAATATTTCAAAACATGTTTTTGCAGACCAAAGGGTGAAAAACAAATATCACGGTGCTTTTCTCTTACTTTATGAGCTGATTGTCTAAAAAAAAAAAAATTCACCCTAAAATATCTGAATTATTTGTCTGGATGTGGGGATTATTTGAAGACTTACCTTCAAGCCATTTCTCAAGATGTATGTAGGAAAGGAAGTATCTGGTATTGAACTTAACCACAGTCTAAAATTAGGGTCTGTATTTCTATATGCTTGTCTCAACCTGTGGATTAAACATGTTTTATAACAACATTACCATAAAAAGAAGATGCTATACTGTATTGTACCAAGTTCACTGCTATTTAATTAAGAATTATTCTGTTCAAAACATAGTATAAGAGCAAATGTATCCAACGGGCAGCAGCCAGGAAGTTAACCGGGCTCATTACAGAGAGAGGTCAACCCTCCTGTTCAAGGAGCTCCATTGGCTGCCATTTATTTTCCGAGCCCAATTTAAGGTGCAGGTGCTTACCTACAAAGCCCTGAACGGTTTGGGACCACCCTACCTGCGTGACCGCATCTCCGTCTACGAACCCACGCGTTCACTTCGGTCATCTGGAGAGGCCCTGCTCGTGATCCCGCCTGCGTCGCAAGCGCGCTTGGTGGGGACTCGAGACAGGGCCTTTTCTGTGGTGGCCCCCCGACTCTGGAACGCCCTCCCAAAAGATCTTAGACAGGCCCCTACCTGGCAGTCTTCAGAAAGAACTTGAAGACCTGGCTGTTCCGATGTGCCTTCTCAGATTAGGAATCTCCAATACCAAGTCCTAGAAGCACTTTAGTAGAACTAAGATTGCTGCACACCGCACACTGCACTTACTTTATAATCCTACATACCTCCTGCCACATCAGCACTTTTAATCTTGTACCCATTACTCTGGCCCGGCCCAGTTTTATAGTGTCTTGATGTATTGTTTATGTTTGTTGTTATACTGCTTAACTGTTTTTAATTTGCTTTAGGTATTGTATTGTTGTATGGTGTTTTGAGGCCTTGGCCTATGTAAGCCGCATCGAGTCCTTCGGGAGATGCTAGCGGGGTACAAATAAAGTTATAATATAATAATAATAATAATAATAATAATAATAATAATAATCCTACCATCTTATACCAAACATTGTGATATCCCATCGTCCCCTCAAATATAAACAACTTATCTCGTATCTGGTTGTGTTTCATCTTACCACGTGTAAAGGTATAGCCCTCAGAATCTGAAATAGGACTTACGAATCAACAATTGTGCAGAGTCTAGGCATAAATGAAGCGGCAAGATGACAATTCTGAAGGAATGTCCACTGCCCCTCCAGTATCTGTGATTTGTATATCAATTCTTCAGCTTTGCTTCCTTGACCACGTCCCAGAGATATCATTTTCACATGTTGTGTGCTTCCTTTTATTTCCTGGGCAAGGCGCAGTAGGACAGCTGCAATGTCTACTCCTGTGTAATATGTGTAATAGCACCTGTTTAGATCTACTTTCGGAAACCTTTTTTACATGTACATAGAAATATACCACCTTAACACATTGTGATAAGAAATGATTTGGACATAATATTTTAAGTAATCATGTTGCATTATAAAATGAGAAATTATACTTACCATGAAGGTACATTCTGGGATGACAGGAGGAGCAATCCATTACAATTGGAGTGTGGGGGTAAAACCCAATTGTAATAGATTGTTTCTCCTGGCCATCACGAGAATGAGCAGAGACCTAACATACTATGCTATATTTTATGGTTATAATGTTGTTGTTGTTGTTGTTGTTCATTTGTTCAGTCGTTTCCGACTCTTCGTGATCTCATGGACTAGCCCACGCCAGAGCTCCCTGTTGGACGTCACCACCCCCAGCTCCTTCAAGGTCAATCCAGTCACTTCAAGGATGCCATCCATCCATCTTGCCCTTGGTCGGCCCCTCTTCCTTTTTCCTTCCATTTCCCCAGCATCACTGCCTTCTCCAAGCTTTCCTGTCTTCTCATGATGTGACCAAAGTACTTTGGCTTTGCCTCTACTATCCTTCCCTCCAATGAGCAGTTGGGCTTTATTTCCTGAAGTATGGACTGGTTGGATCTTCTGGCGGTCCAAGGCACTCTCAGAACTTTCTCCAACACCACAGTTCAAATAATGTTACATTTGCTGACATTCATTCCTGTTGTGCTCTTTGGCAGAGTATTTGTGAGATAAATAGTTTCAGATATGTTTGAGACCTCAACAAGTATGAAATGAAAGATAGTGAATGTGTATTTTTGTACAAATGGGGGTGGTTGGGAATATTGAGTGAGATAAACTATGTGATGTAGGAGGCATGTAGTGTGAGTGAGGTTGAAAGAAATAGAGAGGGAGTGTGGGTTATAGATAACAGTTAGGAAGAGATGCTGCTGCTGCTGCTATTGATGATTTCTATCCTGCTTTTCTCTCTCAATTTTTTATTGTGTCAGAAGCAACTTGAAAACATACCGCAAATTGCTTCTGTTGTGAGAGAATTGGCTGTCTACACAGATGCTGCCCAGGGGACTCCTGGATGTGTTACAATCCTGTTGGGAGGTTTCTTCCATGTCCCCACAAACTAGAGCTGACAAACGGGAGCTCACCCCATCTCGCAGATTCGGACCGGCAAAATTCAAGTCAGCAATCCAACCATGAGTTCAGCAGTTCAGCTAGCACAACAGTTTAACCCATTGCACCATCGCAGCTCCTCATCTCAACTGAGACACAGAGGGATAATTAAAAGCAAGACTGCATTATGAGCAGAGGGGAAAATATGTTTAATATGTATTATGATATCATTATTTATTATTATTATATTTATTATATTTATTATATTTATTATATTTATTATATTTATTATATTTATTATTATTATTATATTTATTTATGCCCCGCTTTATCTCCCCAAAGGGGACTCAAAGCAGTTTGACATAAAAGCATTAGTATACAATTTAGAATGTACAAATATACAGAAAAATGGGGTGGGGGGTGTTGAATTTTTTTTTAGCGAATCATGAAGAGTAGTTCCATAACACAAAATAATTTACATTATATGGTTCATTCTATATTTTATATAGACTTACAAAATGACATTGTGTCTTCCTGAGGCCGAGAGAGTGTGACTACCTCCAGACATCAATTCGTTGTTTTAAAGGAAGGAGTTGTCTGCAACCTTCCTCTGTGACCTCACAATCATGACTTGAGGCCGAGAGAGTGTGACTCACCCAGGAAACAACTTATTAAATGTTTATTATAAAGGGGGGGGGAGAGGGAGGGCACACTTCCTCTGCTACAGGTTGTGCCTTTCTAGAGTCAGCCCAAGAGGAGAACTCTGTTTAGTGCAGCCATCCAAACTTTCAGCCCAGCCCTTATGCTTTGCTGGGAAATCCCTGCCAATAAATGCCAAGGACAGGAACTGACCAAATAGTAGGGTGAATCCCTGGGGCAAAGATATAGCAATAGAAACCCTGGAAAAGGGGAAGGGGGAAGCGAGGAGGGAAAGGCCTAATTTCCTATTAGGAACCTGCCTCCTACCGCATGTGGAAGCAAAGAGCACAGCAGGGGGGCAAAGCAGCCTTAAATAGCCTGCAGTTCCACCCCACCGTCCCCACATATAGTTCTGGATACTATAAGGAAAGCTTAACATCCCTGTGGTGTTTGTTTTGTTGTCTGTGCCCCTGCTCTGAAGATTTCACCTCACTTTCCATGTGATAAATGCATTTTGAAAAATTTGGCTTGTTGTGGAAACAAGGATTGGTGAGAAAGCTTCGGCAGACACCTTTTCCCCATGAGAACTCTCCCAGAAGTGAAATTCCCTTCTGGGGGGTAGATTTGTCTCACTCCTATTCTTAACTATGAATTGTTTGTAAGTCGGGTGTTTGTAACTTGGGAACTGCCTGTAAATATTAATTCATTTAAAGCTAATTAACAATTTGGCAAATACACTTTCACATTTTCTTGCACATATTAAAGTTTCTAGTTCTCTTCCATCAGGATAAGATGTCAAATCCCATTATATATAGTATAATTTTAATACATAACATTGCATGCTATGTTTAGAAAATATAAAATCTATTAAAAACAATTTGAAAATAATCTTGAGTTAATTTACATACCACAATTTTATCTACCATTATCTCTGTTTTATTTAATGATTTATTATGTATTTAACATTGACTTTCCAATTACATAGGACTTCAAAATTAAGAGTCATAAAACTTTTAAAATAATGTATGATAGTTTTATAGGAAATTGGTGTTCTAAGATTGAAAAATGACCCCAGATTTCCTTTATCATGTATAGTTTTTTCACAACTTGGTTTGATGTTTATGTCTTAAGATGTGACCTGAATGAAACTAGTATTAAAATCAGATTGAAAATTGTGAAATATCTGTGTGTGGAATTACATTTTAACTGTTTTGCAAATTCAGCATTTAGAAATATAATAAAAATAGCTACAACGCTGAAAAATGTTTTTTTTTATTGTAAGCCTATTTTTAAAAACTTTCTCATCTTTTATTTTCATATGTTCTGTTAATGGCACAAACAAATGCCTAGGATTTGTTTTTCTGGATTGGAGCCTTTTTTATATTCAGAGACAGGAAGACATAAATTCAAAAATATGTTTCCTTGTACATACTTAAATCAATACAGCACTTACCATGAGCATGAATCAGAATTAGAGGAGTTGTAGGATCTGATTCTTCATATATTGTTTTGAAATCAATTCCTCCAGTCCAAAGATATTTGGATCCCAATTTCTCAGTTATAAATGCTCGTACTGCACAGTTTAAGCTTTCTAATCGAAGGACTTTTATCTAGAAAAAAATTAAGTAGAGATTTAATTAGAAACAAAAAGTTCAGTGGTACCTTGAAGGTTACATCAGATTCTAGCCTCCTTCATTCTCAGAACACAGACACATTGGAGGTACAAATCTGCACCTGAATGAAAACAGGCCTAAGTAATGTGTTTCATATATAGACTGGGTATGATTTGGATTCACATATCTTCAGTTTAACTTGGTGGCAATTAGGTTCTAAACTCTAAACTCAGGTTGGGATCTAAACTCAGGGATATCTAGCCTGTGGACTGACTATGATGATGCTTCTAGGTAAACCCACTGATGTTACCATGCCTTGATCAGAGAGCTCAGGAGGAAAGGTGGATCTTTGACCTTTCCTAGAGCAAATGGCACCAAGATAGTCTCAACAATGCATTTCACTAAATGTGAAAATGATATTGGGCACCCACATTTATAGCCTCCAAAGCAAAGCAAAGTAGAAGTCTGATATAGTAAGCCAAAATGCATAACCCAAGGAATGTATTTGTAATATAATAATAATAATAATAATAATAAACTCAGGGCAGTTTACAGACAAAAAGGCAAACATTCAGTGCCCGAACTTAAATACAAAACATTTTAAAATAAACAGAATAATACAAAATAATAACCATAAACGTGTGACAAAAGAAAAATTAACACCAAAATGAGGACCAAATATTTATGTAGTATCATTATCTGGTTGGATCCAGGATCTGATTTATGTTGATGGATTAACACCACTCATGGAAGGTTTCTCCATTCATATTTTGGGATTCCTCTTTATGACAGGTCATTGCGAAGGAGCCCCTGAATCTCTATTTGGCACTTTCAGGGGACTACAAAAACATTTATTTTTGTAGCCCAATAGATTTCAATTGAATTCCACATGGTGCTTTACATAGCAATAGAAATCAACTGAAATGCTTTGGAAGAAATGAGATTATGAAGAGGTTTAAAATTCCTTGGAAAAGAATGTTGAAGCCCTTGATAGAATTGTTTGTTCTACTATCCACAAATTTGTGTTCTGCTATCCACAAACTGTGTGTCCATAATATTTGCCATCATGAACAAAGAATTTTGTTCTACTATCCACAAATTGTTAGCGATGAAGCTGCAAATTAACCTTGACCAAAAATAGCCTGTATAAGAACAAATTAAAAAAACTTACCAAGATAAGTCTTTCAAATGAAGAAAGCTTATCCCAAGGAAAAATTAAAGGTGCATTATCTTGATCTTCTCTTAGTATTTTCAGCTGGGAGTCTGAAACTTCTTTAAATAAAAAATACAACTTTATGGAAAGATTGAAACCAATTAAACCGTCATGCAATTCAAATATTGTAACCACTCTCTCTCTCTCTCTATTGTAAGAGCCACAGTAGTGATGTAATTCTTCAATAAATTTCTTCTCAAAGGAAATGGCAAGTCATTTCAGCAACCGTATTGCCATTGTATGAAAGTCTTTGAAAATCATACAGTTTTAAAAGCTTGGGACATATTCAGCATAAAATTCACATGTGGTGAAAACATGCTAAAACAGTCTTTTCTGCACAGAAAAGAGTATTTTCAACATAGAAACATTAATTCCTGCATATGAAATGATGTTTTCTGCACAGAAATAGCTCCTTATATTAAAATCAACCGTGTGTAAATTTTATGATAAATAAATCCCCATTGCAGCAGTTACTGCATAGCAAACAGCATTTTCTGTGCAGGAATGAACTTTTTTGTAGTAAAGGACAAGAACCATTTAAAAATAAGGCCTTCCACCATTAACAAAGATAGAAAAGTGCACTTCTGAATGTTTGAAATCTGATGTTTCTCCTGCACATGTACTAAGTTTTAAGTAATTCAGACAGATGGCCAAGCTGTAGTGAACTGTTAAAATGGCATCTGTGGTAAACTCCCATTACAAGCAGTAATTGAATTTTTAGTTCATAAAAATGGAAGTGCGGTGAAAATCCATAAAAAATTGTGTACAGTGTATGGGAATTGCCCAGTTGATAGGATGGTGGGCAAAACATGTGTGAAAGTGCAGAAACCAAGTTCCATGTCTAGACATATGCTGGACATCCTGCCACAGTCAACACTTCAGACATGTTGAACTGCATGGGTAGTATTGCTTTTGAGTCTTTTGATCATAAAGAGAAGTGAAAAGCATGCAAAAATCTCAAAACAATATAATGACTGTCTGTTTTATCACTATATTTTAGCACTTACCTTGCTGTAATGGCACTGATCTATAAGATGTACTAATCAAGTAATATAAGTTCTGACTGTTCAGAAAAGATCTCCATTGCTGAGAATTTGATGAGAGGGAATCACATAATAGGCTGAATGCTGGCATGTGAGTACTCATGTACTGACATTCTTTCCATGTCATTTCAGTAATCCAATGGGGTGGAGGAGATGTCGTAAATGTGTATGAACCTAACCAAATAATAATATTATGGATTTAATGGCACATGTTTGCTTTTTAATACTTTTACCCAGAGAACAGATATTACCATATTATATTGAGTCTGATCATTACTTAGGCATTCCCTCTGCTGAGCCACTCCCACCCCAATGATTTCAGCTAATATAGTACATGAACATGCTGTATCCATTTCCATCTTGAATTAATTCAGTTTAAACTAAACAGATACTTAGAAAACCATCTACTCCATTCTTATCATTATACAAGTCCCATGTAATTCTTGGTAATTTAATGTCTCAAAGGCTGGAATCCTAATCAAACTTACTAGGGTCCTCATGGATACAGCAGTATTACTTTTCAGTGAAGACCCATCTTGCAAAGTTAAAACACCTCACAGTTAGGAGACCTTGGGCATATCTACAATGACTTTTTAAGGTAGTTTCAAACCAGTACTGAAGAAAGTGCTTTTGCTGTGCAGATGATTATACAGGAAATCCTGTATAAACTAGTTTAAAGTCTATAGCGGTGACACAAATCACAGAGCATTGATACATATTAAGGGGGTTCTTTCATGCACTTTTGTGGGTATTTGCTGTTTGGCTGCTGCAGTTTGAAGCTAACTTTGAAGTGCTTTAAATTTTAGTGTAGATAAGCACTGTATCCCCACCCTACCTAAGAAACTGCCAGAGCACTAGAGTATTCAGGAGTCTTTCTCAGGATCTGCTACAATCACAGACAGAAGAGAGAGCCTTCTCAGGGGCTGCTCCCAACTTTTGGAATGCCCTTCCATGGGAGACTAGGCTGTCCCTTCCTGCTGTCCTTTCACTGACATACAAAGACATTTTTGCCCCAGCAGGATTTTGACACATAAGCATGGAAGCTTTTTATGGGAATATTTTATTTCTCTTTTAAAACTTATGCTGGTTTTTTAAAAGTGTGTTTTTAAAGTGTTTTACAGCCATTGTATTAGTAATTGTTTTAATGAAATTAATAATTAGTAGTTTTAATGAAATTATCTGTAACATTTAAAATATATAAAATGTCTATTATTTGTGGTGGTCTTCCAATGCAGAATAAAACCATTTTAACATAAAATATCCGAAAAAAGAATATGTTTTTAGAATATAGATTTTTTTACCAATATTCCCTGTGTCTTGTGTGTCCATAATATTTGCCATCATGCTAGAGTGCAGGAAAAAGTTCCACTCATTTTCTTGTATAAATCCAAGATTGTTATCAAACTGATTTTCCTCACTATTATTTTTCATGATTGCTGTGCACAGTAGAAAAGCAAAGCACAACTGATTTTCACTGAACAGAGCTGATGACACTGTCTGCAGGATAAGGAATAAAAATTCAGTATACTTTAGAAATACATTATAAAATTGCGTTTTCCATAACAAATAATTTGTCTAACAGATTCACTGACCTTATAAACATTACTTGTTAACTTCTCAGTTATATCATTAACATGTCTTTTTAAACAGTCAGTCTCACTTTCTTCATAGTCTTTGGTGAAAAGTCTGCTCTGCCTTCTTAGGATTAGACTTCTAGAACTTGCTGAAGAACTCAGAGAAACCTCACTTTTTTGTTTGACTACATCATCTATGGAATCTGAAAAGATCTTACAAAACCACTCCAGTGAAAACTGATACATATAGTTGATATGCAAAAGGTCCAGTACTACAAAGTAGAGCACCGCACCACGACTTGCAATAGGAAGATAGCCTTTACGCAGTGTTTCTATTGTGGCTTCTGTTGCTGCTGATGCTTCAACACGTTCAAAAATCTCTGTTGAGGTAATTTTCGTTCTTTGTAAATTGTCAATGAGGTCTTGATCATCTAAAAGGTGCCCTAAAATATAAGGTTAATCTATATTTGTAACAGAAAATATCTGAAACACATTATTGTCTACATATCTGTTCTGCAGATATTAAAAATTACTTACTAAGGAGATTCTGCGTCTTTGTGTGTGTCTTAAAGTCACCTATCCATTTATGGTGACTCCATGAATTTCATAGAGTTTTATTAGGCAAGGAATATTCAGAGGTGGTTTGCTAGTTCTTGGTATTTCTATATTACTAGAAATACCAGTCTAGAAAGTCTTAATGATGACCCCTTAAGCAGTACCTCATTCAGGAAGCTTGCTAACAATCAGTTCAATTTGCACAAACCTGCAATTATGTTTCTAAACTTTAAGTCATTGAACAACTTTCTTGCCAGCAACATATGCCAACTTCCCAATGCACATAACCTCTCTCACACAGTAGCCAACTAGCCATACAATATTAAGACACTAAGAAATGTCTGCTTGACTTCCTTTGGACTATTGGTTGGAAAAGAGAGGTAGAGATGACACAATTCAAATACTTAACTATTCACAGGGGCTTCAGATGCATGTAATATCCAAGCATGTTCATATGGGAGATTTTAATTGCTATGGGAATTATCTTTCCTCAGGTCAATGTTTTAGTCCTGTGATGGAGATCATGGATTTGGATCTGTTTTTACCATACAAATCTACAGCTCTGTGCATTGTAGGTTATACAGAAAATGCCACAATGTATAAAAATAAACATTATACATGTAATTTCAAGAATCATTTCGTTAGAAGCCATTTAATGTCCATTATATATTTTGTTTATTGACAGTTAAGCATGGTAAATAAATTTTTTATTTACCATCTGTTTTTTGCAGAAGTCTAAGTGATTTTTGTTCAAGTTCACGAAGTGTCACTAGATCCGTGGATATACTTTCTAGTAATTCACAACGTTTTTGTTCCAGTTCAGGTTTTTCCTTAATTACGACAGCAGACAAAAGCTGATCTTGCAAACCTTGGAATGTTACAGTGAAATTGATCATGGTGACAGCATTACATATTGCTGGCAAAAAATGGGGGTTGGCTTTTCGTGTTGTCATGCATAAGCTGAAGGAACAAAAAGGAGAATCTTGATACAACATATCAACATGCATTGTCCATGTGGAAGTTTATTTTTTATTATACATTGTTGGATAAAAATTTGATACACTGATGGATAAAATAAAAAGTTAATACCATTTCATATAAGTGCTCTTTATGAAAATGTGATTTCTCCAATATAAATGTTGCATAATTCTACAAGGTTTCAATGTTCCAATCCAAGAAATAAGCATGTTCAAATATTATGTATAAGAACCAAACAAAGTATGTTGATGTTGTTCAATTGCTTTACATCTTCCTCATTCCCATATGAGTGCAGGTAACCAAACATACAGGTAAAGTCACAAATGACAAATACTCAAAACAGTATATTACACATTTCCTGAGTTTGCAAGCTTGACCAATGGACATTGTCAGTTGATACCTGAAAAACAAGAGTATAGGAGACAACTGGATCTGCAACAGAAAGGGCTTACAAGATTAGGTTCCAACACAGAGAAAGTCACTTTGTATAATAGATCTTTTAGCTTTTAGGATTTTGGGAAATCACAAGCAACAGATATCATGGGTAAGAGCATTTACCTAAAGTTTTTGTTGAATTCAATTTCGGAATCGCCGATTCTGATGAAATCTTGTCCTCCTTTATTAAAGATCTCTTTTTTTAAGATTGATTTTATACTTGAATCCAATGTTTCAGTAAGATCCTAATAAATATAAAATCATGGTCAATACTGCAGTTACACTGGACATTATCCCGCCCAAAGAAAGGCAGCTCTAGTGGTGCCTCTCTTCCTTAGAAAGTACTTTTCTAAGAAAAAGTACTTTCTGCTTCTGTATATTTTCTGTTTCATTCTACTGCTGATAGGAAATCTGATAATGATGAATAGTCTCTTCAATGTTCCCATTAAACTAAGAAAAGCAAAGAGAAAGTAAACTTAACTGTCCCTCTGAATAAAATGTAACATTAAAATAAACACAATTTATGCATTTCTAGCACACAAATAGTCAATCTGCAATTGTGAAAAAATCACACAAAGGCCAAAAATTATTTTCAGAATAGCCACAATTTTTGGAAGCCTCGAATAAATATAATTTGCCTTAAAGTGCTGGAACTCTTGAATTTCCTAGAATAACGACAACAGGTTAAAGATATAATCAATGCATATGAGAAATACAGCCAAAATTGAAAAACAAAACACAGTAAGGAGGAAAAGAAAAAGACATAAGAAATAAGGAGCAGGGATAAAAAAATTTGGAAAGTCAAGCTCAGCTCAATTTCTTCCCGAGACAGAAATCACACCAAACTCCTCATGTAGCACAATGTCCTCATGAAAAGACATGGTGGGCTGATGTTTGCACACCTAAGGGTGGTAGACTCAACAAAAGCCTTTTAGCTCGAAGATATGCTGAACATGATGTATTACTCAAATGGAAAACTCATATGTGGTATACAGCCATTATGAAGAAGATTATTAGTTGTGTGACAATACTTAGTGGAAGCTGAATTACCTGCAGCAGGACTGATTCACCAATACGCATAGAATTCTCAAGTTTTCTTAAGTAAGTGGCATCTGTAGCAGAAATCTCTTGCAGCTTGCCACCTGCCATTTGACGTATCCATTTGTAAGCTTGTCTTTCTGGATCAATTAGCAGAGGCCATCGTTGTCCATACTTAACAAATATAGCATTTTCTGTGGAGTACTGATCAAGTGGCAAACCAGCATTTTGCCACTTACGGACCTACAAAACATTATTTTTAATTGATTAGATAACATTGTCAGAATGTGTACAACATGAACACATAAAGTATAACTATCCCCCAAAATTCATGCAATACAAATGAACTTGCTGATGCATCATCTGTGAATTTTGCAGCTAAAAAAGAAATATCAACTTCCTAAAAAGTTCTTGAATTTAATTTCTACTGAAATCACATTGTGCATTTTTACTCTATGCATACTACCTCATTTTTTTCTGTCATGCAGTTTATTAGTGAGTAATATGGAGAAACTGGAATACTGTTTTCATGACAGAGTCTGAGACACTCATCCACTATCTGTTGACGATATCCTGCTGATAAAACACCACTGTAGACAATACAAGCAGCTGAAACAAGGGCATCACCTATGATTCCCTGAAGTCTTTGATCAAAGTTATTAACAGATTCCTTCCAGCGTTCCTAAAAAATCAACAGAACAAAAAAGAGGAATGGTTACAGCCACACATTAAGCCTTAAAAACTTAAGAACAAGCTAGGAGACCAAGATGCTCCTGTCTCAAAGTCCTAAAGGGATGGATTCAGAACAACTGTTAGGACTGTCCCTCCACTTCTTTATTACAATTGCTTAATACGTGTGTTTCTTCGTAGTAGGAAGAACTCAAAGTCAGAAAGCTCACTGAAAGCTTCACAGAGGGGAAATTCTACCATCCTGAAGGAACTATTGATTAACATTATTGACTAGCTTCACTTCGTGCGTTCATAGAAAAGCACCATATAAATGCAAAAATAAATAAATAAATAAATAATCTGAGAGTCCAATTGTATGAACTGCAGTTCCAGCAGTGAGGATGGGGAACTCTATTTAAATAAGGCTATTATACCAGTACTTAGAGAATACTACCAAAATATAATTCCCAATCAACAGAATTTGTAAAGCAAAATCATGTGGTTGAGGACTGACCACACACTGATAGTTGATCACATTTGTAGATTCCAGCCAAAGGAAATTGCTCTTTATTATGAGGCACAAACTATCACATAGTATCAACACATAAAAAGTGTACTGAATGAGAGTTTGGTACTTAACATGAAAGTACACTATTGGATGACTGCATGAGCAATCTGTATTATTATCTTAAAATAATAAAATTTTAAAATGGTTCAATATTAAGCATCTGTCATGGATCCTGTATTTGCCTGTTGTTTCCAGTCAAAGAAGAATCCATGACATTCTGCAACTTTGGGAGAGAGAGTGAAAGTGGGGGATAGTAAAATAGGGGTGATAAGTGCTGGCACCCTGGCTTTTGTTATAGGAACTGTTCTTCCCAGCAGCATGGGAATGTAAGTTGTCTCTTAGAGTCCCACCATCTTCAAAGCAGCAATAGAGTATAAAAGGGGGAGGTTTTTTTGATTTGGTAGAATTAATGTCCTCTGTTTTCTGTGAAGGTTGAAATAAAGGTTGTGCCTGTGAGCAGTACTTTATCTCTGGGGCCTAGCAGGTTCTGACATTAAGCTAATTCTCATGGAAGACTTTCCCCACAATAAGGATGGAGAGAGAAACCCTTGGCTCCAATGTCAAGGAGGAATGGGGAACAGAGCAATGAGGAATAGAACCCCAAGAGTCTTCCCTTCACCAAGAGCCTTGGTGATGGACCTGTCAGCAGTGGAAGGTGACTGGGAGAAACCGCTGAAGACTGGCGATCCCTGACTTCTCCTAAGCTGTACTCAATTCCTGGTGGGGAAAGAAGTCACAGTGAGAAAGAAGATGGTACCAATTTCTGCCAGTGCCAGAGAAACCCTCCAAGATTAGGAGGCTTGGAGACAAAAATGGATGCCTTGGAGAGAATGCTCCACACCTCGATACAGATAACTGAGATGAGGCAGGATGTGGAAGAATCCTGGAGATCAGAGTCACATGACCAGAGAGCACCAGCCAGCTGAGGTTTGCAGGAGCGGAGGAGATGGAACCCAGAGGGGGGGGGGTGGTTTTCCCCTCCAAAACAGCTGGGGGAAGTCAGCTGAACCTGTGCCCTGGAAGAGTAGAGCTTAGGATGAAGTGCTCAAAGGGGGGTCACACATGGCCTCAGCACCAGCTCTGGGCAAAGTCTTTTTCTGGCCTGTGCCTTGGCCTCCACCCTGATGAGACTCAGCTGCTCCTTGCTGCTGCACTCCTCCTTTTCCTGGCCTGTGTCTGGTAACAAGGATAGTGGCTGCTCCTTCATCTCCTCTTCCTCCTCCACCACCTTCCTCAAAAACAAAGTCCCCCTTGTGAAGCCTCTCCAGGAAGGTGCACTGACCCCAAGGAGTGAGGGTGGCTGCTACTCGAAGAAGAGCAGGAGCGGGAGGGAAGGGAAGGAAAGGAAAGGAGAGACCTGGGCAACTACATGCCAAGAGTAGGATTTGACATACTGTGCAGGCTCTGCTCTGCTCCATTCTCCTCTCCTCCTGCCCCTGTTCTTCTTGATGGGGAACTTGCTTTGAGGGCAGTGGTGGAGGAAGAGGAGGCGGTAGAGGAAGAAGAGCTGCCCTCCTCATCTCCGAGGTGAAGGCCAGCAGGCAGCTGTAAGTGAACCCCCTCCCCTCTGTGCCAACTGCCCTTAGCCTTCCACTCCCACTCCCCTAACAGCATTTTCTGGGCAAGTTCTTAGCAGCAAGACTTTGTGATTAGACTAGTGTGAAGGAGAGTAGAGTCTATGTTTTCAGCAAAATTATAACTTTTGGATTCTTGCCTGAGATGCTAGAATAAACCTGAGTTTGGAGACACAGTTCCCCCTTTTCTTCTCCCCCATCCCTTCGTCCCTTGTTTCTCTCTTTTGACATCTCATCTTTCTTCTCATCTGCCCTGCCAACTTTGTACTGTGTTTCACTCTATAGTGGAAACTATGCTATGGGTAGCAAAAAAATCCATCAAGGAGCTGGACATAGACCATCATGGCATGCTATCTAATGATGCACCATACATGAGAGAATAAAGCTACAGAGTGAAAGGGAATAGGAGTAGATAAAGAGATGATATGATGAGAATAAAGATGAAAGAATGAGTGGACCGAGGGTAAAATATTGATAATATTATAAAGTAATACAATATAATACTAACAATAATACAATATAATAATTTTATATTCCATATTACATGTAATATTACTAATAATATTGCAGTATAATGGTATGTACATATAACTTGTAAGCCACTCTATGTCCCCTTTGGGGTGAGAAGGGCGGCATATAAATGTCGTAAATAAATAAATAAATAAATAAAACAAAAGTTGGGAGAAGTGGAGAAAGAGGAGGGAAATATGCAGAGAAGGAGGGGAAGAGAAAATGTATACATTTGAAGAGAGGAGATAGGTGTCATCACACATAAATAAAAGAAAGAATAAAGAAAACAGAATATCAGAGATGATCAGTGATGAAAATAGACAATTCTGCCTATGTAATGAAGTCAATGATATTGAAGAAGGTAGAGTAATATGGTAAAATCAGAGAGACTAAACACTGGCACGAAATGGGAGGACAAACCAGACCAAAATCGAATGTTAAGAATATCAAGGATCCCTTTTAAAGTAATGCGATTTGTTTCCTAAATTTTAACAAGTGTATTTGGGATCAGCATGGTATTGGGAATCCTTGCTAAGCCATGGAAACTGACTGGGTCACTATGGGCAAGACACTCTCAGCCTCTGGGAAAACCAATGGCAACCCCATCTGAATAAATCTGAATAAATCTGGCCAAGAAAACACAATGATAGCATCACATTAGGTTCACTATAACTCAGAAATTACTTGAGAATATGCAGATATCCCTGAATTTTCCCCCTGCCAAATTTTCCCAGAAAATATAATTTTATAAAAATAACACTTAAATTATGGTGGACCTATTTGATGCTGGACTAAAGGCAAATACAGGTTTTACTTGCTAGGCAGTATATTGTCATGATGTGCAAGTAACCACTTAGTAAATAATCTACCCATCTAGTGAGTAGAACAAGAAAATGAGTTGGAAGAAGGGATTTTCACAACATGGCAAAACACTGCATTAGATTGCTACTTTTACATCACAGCAAGTTATAACTTAATAAACTGCATTGTATTTACCCAGAATTAATGTTCTGATGGTCACAGAAAGTGAATAAACCACAGCTGAAAAACCACACATATTTAACCATTATACACTGCTTTGAATCCCAGCCATGAGAGAAAAACGGGATATAAATAAATAAATAAATAAATAAAATTACAAATCACTGCTTTAATACATGAAAGGAAGACATGTTATACATAGAAAATACCCTTAGCAGAAAAGGCAATCCAACAAGCTTACAAAATGAAGTTTAACTCTAATGAGGCAGAAGTGTTACAGAATGAAAAAGGCAATACCGTCTCATCTTTCAAAGCCGTACTTAACACAGAAGCACTGTACAAACGGCAAGTTGTTTGATCTTTTCGAGCTGCTAAGCTTTCTTGTTCAGCAATACCTTCTGCGTACTTTGCTTCTAAATTTAGCTGATGTTGTTCAATCTGAAAAGTTATACATTTAAAACTTTAGATTAAAAGGTAAATTGTAGCATCATCAAATTATAATTCATTCATTCTTTAAAAACTTTAGAATAGCTTATATGAGGCTCCATAAGTACTTTTTTCATGTTATATGCATTCTCTAAGTCCATACAAGGAATTTGTACTTAATGCAACTGTTGTTCTTTAAGCATTGTCCTGTACAGTTAAACAAATCAACATTCAGAACTTTCAAGAGCCATGTGAAAAGAATTGGGTGAGAAGTCTGCCTCAAAAGACATATACAGAAAAATTGGAAGAAAGAAGATCAAAACTGATTTCTGCAATAGACAGGTGATGAGATCATTCAAATTCTATGATTCCATTCTATAAACATGTGCACAGCCATATGCAATACCAATTATTCTGGAGCAACATATTGATTTCAACTGAAATTTAACCACATTGAGATTAAAATATTGTTTAGATAGATGATGAGAGGTGTTTTTTTTAACAGAAAGAAGCATTGAGACTTTTTTTTCATAACAAGGAATAAGCACTGAGGCAAGAACTATGAAAGAACTATGGAAAACTACCATAGTAAGGTGAGTGATAGGAAAATATAAGCCAATTTGTTCAAAAAAACATTTGACAACTGATTAAGAAAACGAAGAGTCTATAGCTTATCTTAATGCAGTTCTGGCAGACTGCTGGAAAAATATCTTATTTTATCTAGAGCTGTGAGAAAAAATCTCAGAAGAAACAATTAGATGAAATCGTGTAAAGGAACTTAAATAGGTGTGCTACTATCTGTGATTTAGAACACTGTCACGAAGAAACACTGTTTCTTAAACTATAGATCCCGATCTCAAATGGGGTTCCCTTTCAATGTTGAGGCCCTGAATTTTTTTTCTCAACATCACCTAGTGGGTGCTTCAGACTGTTATACAGCATTTACAGTAGACTCTGCATAATATATTTCAGCTGTTCAAGCAGTCCCCAAGTTATGAACATGACAAGTTCCATAAGTTTGTTTTTAAGTTGAATTTGTATGTACATCAGAAAAGGGACTTTTTAAAAGTGTAACTCCAGCCAAAATATATATTGTTTAGTTTTTGATAGCATAAGGAAGAGGTAACACCTCTGTGAAGTTTGTGTTTTTGTCTGTGCCTCTCTTCAGAATATTTAACCTCATTTTCTGTCCTTGTGATAATTGGTTTTTGAAAAAAAAATGGCTTGTTGTGGAAAAAAGGATTGGTGATAAAATTTGAGTTGAGACATTATTTCCCCATGATAACTCTTTCAGGATTAAATTTCCCATCTTAGAGGTAGATTTCTCTCACTTCATATTGTGTCACCTCCATTCTTAACTATGAGTTGTTTGTAAGTCAGATGTTTGTAACCTGGGGATTGTCTGTACTTCAAAAAAAGGAAAATCAGTCTGTTTAGCAAGCTTTGCAAATGCTGATTTGTTATCTGCAAGTGTTTGATTTTTATATATGTTTTATATATCTATATACCTGAGGTTATGCAAAAAATTATTGGGTCCCGAGTGGAAAAATTTAAGAAGACCTGATCTAGAAGATGTGAGGTTTTATTTTGAGACACAAGTGAAGACCTTTCTCTTGTGGAAGACCTACCCAGACCATTTTAACGACAAATTTTAAACTCTCACTCTATGTCTAACTTTTGTTTTGTGTATTTTAATATGCATTTTATGGAAATATGTTTTAATATATGTATTCTATGGAGTGTTTTTAAATAATTATGTGTTTTTATTATGTATTTTAGCAATGTTGTAACCTGTCTTGAACCATGAGGAGAGGCAGTCAAATCTGATTTTTCATATGTTTAATGAGCACTGTCTGTACATCATTTTGCAAACCTTTTGCATGTTTTTTTCTTTTTTCTTTTCTTTTGTTCAATTTGGAACTGGGTGATAGAGGCTGGAACATTTGATCAGCTATGGCAGTGGCTACTCTATGACCACAATATCCAGTAGCTTTGCTATTCAGAAGAAGGGGAAGCAATAATGTCACAAACAATTTGGGTTAGAAAATATGTCATTGAGATGCTGAGGTTTGGCATGAAGTTTCATAACAATTACATATTGCTTTGGCACACAGGAGCTTGTGCACTAGAGACAGTAACATCTGCTGCCCTTCTGAGGCAGGATTTGATCTCCGGTTATGGAAGGTGATTGCAAGATATATCTAATAACAAACTTGTTACACTTTGTTGCCTCTTCCTTCCCTTCAATACTCCTGAATTACAATTCAAGGAAAAGTGGGAGAGAAAATTGCCTCACATCATGAGGAAAATATTGAGAGGAAAGAACATTTTACACTAGTTTCTCTTCTTATCTCAAATGTAGATGAATACAATAAAGAACACAAACACAATGTCACGCACTAAACAGAATTATTTTACCAAGGCTAAACTTCTTTGTTTTTCAGCCAGTTTTTCATATGCACGTTTTAGTAGTTCCTCTGCTTCTGCTACCTTTGCTTGTTTTGGACCTACAAACTTAGATAAGAAGGTATGCAAGTTAGCATGAAGAAGGAAAAATTGCAATATGCAGCTCCTTGGAAAAAGACAGGTTGTATGTCATAAAGAAACAGTCACATACATATGTAGAGGGTATGTATACACAAAATCCCTAACAAACATGGTATCAGTACTGCACAGTAACTATTTTTAATACTATTTTAATTGTACTGTACCACCAAAAAAAATTGCAAACAATTTGTTAAAGTTCATTCCTGCATGTTTAAAGCTAAAAAGATACAATTTCAAAGGGGAAAGGATTGAAAGGAAGTATGGAGAAAGCAAATAGTCCTTAAATAATCTATTTTCTATTAAATTAAGTCTGCGATTTGGACAAAAAAAAAACAAAACAATTTAGAGGGAACGGAACAATATAGGTTGGCTATCCCTTATCTGGAATTTCAAAAACCCAAATACTCTAAAATTCAAAATGCCCGCATGGATGGCTAAGATAGTGATCCTTTTGCTTTCTGATGATTCAATGTATGCAAAGTTTGTTTCATGTGCAAAACTATTTTTAAAGACTGTGCATAAAATTACCCTGATGCTATCTTTATAAGGTATATATGAAATATAAATGAATTTCATATATATATATATATATATATATATATATATATATATATATACGCGCATGCATTATAAACATATTATTGAATTTAATCCCATCTCCTTGAGATCTCATTAGGCACATATATGCAAATACAGGTGTTTCAAAATCTGAATGCTCTCGGTCTAATAAACAACCAGTAAGCAGCTGAAAAAAATGGGGCTCAGGATAGGCCCTCTCAACCGTAAAGGCAGGCATACAACTGAATGGGGACTCCCATATTGCCAGCTGCTCTTGCCCCATTCCTATATTCCTGTACATTTGTAAAGAGCATGTAAATTTCCACATGTAGAAAATGGGTTAGTGTTCCCCATAACAAAAAATAAATGTCACGAAGAATACAGCATACTTCTTTTTCAATCGCTGCAATGCGTTTATCTTAAATACATTTGCAAAAATGAGCATATATTCTAGAATAATTTAGAACAAGCACAAATCTTATTTATTTATTTATTTTTATTTGGGGTGCTTCTACCCCGCCCTTCTCAACCCTCTAGGGGGGACTCAGGGCGGCTTACAAAAGGCACAATTCGATGCCTAACAGTTACAAAATACAATACAATATACAATACACAGATTACCATATACTATCACAGYTATAACTAATTAAAACAATCAACAGTATACTAGCATCAATAAAAACATCTAGTGGTCAATGTTCACCAAATCCAAGTYCGTAAACCATTTTGCATTGTCATTGTCCTTTCCTGCTCTGGTCATTATTGGTTATCCTTGTCCATCTGCCAGCTTACCCGAAGGCCTGGTCCCACATCCAGGTCTTTAGCTTTCTTCTGAAGGAGAAGAGGGATGTTGATGTCCTAATTTCCCCGGGGAGCGCATTCCACAGGCGAGGGGCCACCACCGAGAAGGCCCTGTYCCTCATCCCCACCAGTCTCACTTGTGATAAAGGTGGGGCCGAGAGCAGGGCCCCCTCAGCAGATCTTAGATTCCGAGGTGGGACGTAGAAGGAGATACGTTCGGACAGGTACGCTGGGCCTTTGCTTTAAAATTTTTGCTTTAAAGCTTCCATTTTGAGACCAATGTTTTCTAAAAAAAATTAAAATCATGTGTAAACCTACCTTTTGAACATTATGATAATGATCCAAAGCTAAAATCCATTGACAGATGGAGCAACAGGCAACAGACACAAGTCCCACTTTTACTGGGCTGAAGTCTGGTGACTTCACAAATTGTTTTAACTGCACAAACACCTAAAAATAACAGAAATGTATTATTAAAACAAATGACAAAAACTATATCCATTGGTGAATGAAAAAAGAAACTTTATTTGTAGTGTTCTGAACACCACTTTATAGTGGTGTTCTAAGGCAGCATTAAAAATATGCTGGAATTCATCCAATTTGCTTGTAGGGCAATCTTAAGCATTTCTGCATAGGTGTGAGTGATTCCAAGTAAAACAGAATTTATTTTCTAGAAAGCATAGCGAGTGTGGGCTTGAGTATTTTGGAGGTGTAGATTTCATTCCTTCTAAGAACAATAGTATTATTTACTCTTCAGTAAGTAAAGTGTGGATGATCAGCTCTTTGGGGCGGGGGGGGGGGGGTTTATACTAGGAGCCCTGCATAAGAATATTATATGCATGCAATACATACACTTAAAAATGCATTAAACAATGAAATAAAATTAAGGTATCAAGTTTCTATGACAACACATGCAATTTTGTATTTAACTAGTATCAATGCCTATTACTATCAAGACCACAGTGTAACTTTAAGCTAACATAAGAACATCTGGAACATTTTAGGAAAATTTTAGAACAAATTTTTTACCAGATTGTAAGAGACTAATAAATTCTGTTTGGTTATAAATTGTTAATAAAAATGTGATTTTAAGTTTACAAGGAGTAGGAAGAAACTCTGAGTGTGTATGGGGACAAATAAAAGCTGAGTGAGAGAGGGAACCCATTCCATATGTGGTTTAGAAGAATTGAGATCAGTGATTTTTAAAACCCTCAAAGCTGATTTAATTAAGGAATATTCTCGACCACTGTTCAGTCCTAAACAATTCTCTAAACAGTTACATTCCATTACAACGATACTATTCGTGTACTGTTTAACACATTATAAACAACAGAGTAAAAACATCAGTACTACCACCAACAAGAAATTAATTAATAAAAATAATATATTGTGCTGCACTGAAAACTGAACACAGTACAACTAACTAATTAAAATAGATTATATATCTGAACTAGGATTCATGAAAAGGTGCTTGGTGTTGAATCTTATTTTATGGTGTCTACTTGCCTTACAACAGTGATCAATACTAAAATAGAATTTTAAAATCATTAATATTAAATTATAAAAGAAGGAAATGAAGGAGAAAATCTGGGAAACAATAATAATACAGCTAAGAAAAAAATAATAAAATTGATGGGAAAATATTGAGAATTTGGAAAAGAATGAGTGTTTCTGTGAAAGAAATGTTGCCATAAGATGAATGAAACTGCCTGCTATTCATTGTACTTTTCTCAAGTAGAGCAGAGCAAAACAAAAAACACATACTGAAATTTAGTTAAGGAAATAACAATACACACACAGACACACATTTTATAACTGAATTATAAATTAGTTTTCTGTTCTAAACTAGGCAGGTAGAACTAGAATATTCTTACTCTACTCAAAATGCACTTTTAGATTACCTTTTCTGGTAGATTATCTTTGTCAAGAGTAACCAACCTCTTAAGGAATCCAGGGTCTGCGAGTAATAATTTTGCTGATGACCAGTTAGGTTTCTTTTGAAGAAGAATACAAACTGCATTCATAACCGTTAATACAAGTGGGGGAGGATGAGTGTACACTCTGTACAAAATAAAAGTGTATAACATTTGCCAAATAAAACCCATATGATTTTATCAAAATCCAGTTATGTAAACGTTTCCTTCCAGATTACCGTATATACTTGAGTATAAGTCAACCTTAATATAAGCCGAGACACCTAATTTTACCACAAAATGATAAGCCGAGGGTGGGAAATGGAGCAGCTACAGGTAAATTTCAAAATAAAAATAGATACCAATAAAATACATTAATTGAGGCATCAGTAGATTAAATGTTTTTGAATATTTATGTAAAATTATAATTTAAGATAAGACTGTCCAACTCTGATTAAACCATTGTTCTTTCTTCAATATAAATGTGCTTACATATCCTTCTAATAATAATAGAGTAAAATAATAAATGTAATAATAATAATAGAGTAAATAATGGAAATGTAATAATAACGGTAATAATAGAGAAAAATAATAAATGTAATAATAGAATAAAATAATAAATGTAATAATGATGATAATATAACAGGGTAAAATAATAAATAACTTTGACTCGAGTATAAGCCGAGGGGGGCTCTTTCAGCCTAAAAAAAAGGGCTGAAATACTTGGCTTATACTCGAGTATATACAGTATATATGTTGAGGATTCCTCATCGTCAGAAGAGGAAGGGGAGCAGGGAGGTGCTCAGGTCTTGGAGGGAGAGGAAGAAGAATCCGACAATGAGGTTTTGCAGGTGCCTACTTTTGTAGAAAGACGGAGGGAGTCAGAGAACAGGCGGCGGTCAGCTCGATTAGCTGCTAAAAAATTGATGAGCTAATTGGGTGATGCCCTAAGCCCTCCTGCATGGGGTATAAAAATCAGAAGCAGGAGAACTTAGCTTTTTGCTGCTAACAACAACTCTGTTACTGTCGGAACCTGCTTTGTGACTCCGTGATCTGTGCCTATATTGTTTGCTGATTTTGCTGGGACTTTGCAAAAGGCTTTCATTGGTGTCTGTAGTAAGACTTCCTTGTTTTCTTTTTCAATTGCATTTGCTTATTTTGTTTGCTGGAGTAAAGTATTTTTCTTTTACTTTCAATTTTGTATTGAGGCTGTTTTTAAGAGCAAAACAGGACAATATGGAAGCAATGGCAATTCAGTGCACATGGTTGAATTGCATTAGTATTAGTGAAAGACATATCCATTAGGTTGTCCTAGACTGGCAAGACAAATAATGCATAACCCAGTGGATTAGAAGGAAATTAGAATTTAGTGAAAACAGGTGAAGTATATACAACTTAACTATAAATGGCCTTATGTCCAGATGTTATATGTTTGGACAACAATCCTAAGGAAATTATCATTTGAACTGTCCCTTAAAACTTAGGAAAGGATTACAAGTAGTCTCAATTACTGCACAATCATCATAGAACTAGCAAAGTCTAAATATGACTCATGAATGTTGTGTGCCACAAATTAATATGGCTTCCACAAGAAAAATCCCTTGTCTGAAAGTGTTATTTGTTAAAAAACCAGATTTTTAAATAAAAAATAAACCTAATAGGTTGCCTCTGTAAATAAAAAATAAACCTAATAGGTTGCCTCTGTCCTGATCAGCACTTTGGTTGGCTTAGCTCAGCTGCTGCTGAGTGCTTGGAAGCAGTTTATCTGAGTCTTCCCATCCTGAGTAATGTTTAATTTACAGGCTTTGGGATTATCAGCGAGGGCCTGCTGAAATAAGCAGCAGCTGAGAATTTCTGCACCGAAATAAGTCTAGAAGAAATTCTTTTGGCTAGCAGTAACACAGAACCATGGGACCTGTGTCTTGGCTGTTAACCCTAGGTTGAATCTCAATATCCAGACCTTGTTGCTGTGATCCTGTCTTGAACTTGGCTAAATCCTGCTTTATATCTTGTTATCCATGGACACCTTGAACCTGAACTCTTAACTGACTTCCTGGCTTGACTTATTGGACTTGAATTCTAGTTTGTGCCTTTGGACTATGAACTTCAGTTAACCTAGCTTCTCTGTCTTGTTTTTGGAATACTGACTACAGTTTCTACCTTTGGAACATGTGACTTTGTTGGAATTACTTCAACCATGTGCTATATTTCTGTTCTGTTAGTCAGTCCTTGGGATTACTTTATGTTTTAGTTCTTTGCCCAAGAAAAATAGGTTTTGGCATATCCTGGGTTTTTTTGGGGGGGTTAAACTCTACCCTCATTATTGAGAGAGAGTCCTGGAACATGACAGCCTCTTTCTCTCTCTAGATTTTCAGTTGTATGGAAGCTGCCAAATAAAGACTGACCTATTTCTCAAACTCTGTTAGGTAATGCTTATATGCTCCCCGTGAATATTGGAATAGGGACTTCCACTACTGGCATCTGTGTTGGGATGTCCCCTCTTCAGCCAGTCAACCAGTCTGCCATGGCCCATTCCTGCAAAGGGGAGTTCCTAATCTACACTGACTGCATAATGTAGCTTGCATTCAGCTTCAAACAATGCAATGCTGTGAAAACATTACGCAGTGCATTTTAACCCCATTAAAATGACTTAAGCAAAGTCAGAGGAAAAAGCAAGTTGAGCATCAGTGTGTTCCAATGTAAACATATCACAGAGCAAAATAAGTTGTTCAGAATTGAATCCCTGAACAGACACCCAATATGCACAATTGTGCATATTGGGTGTCTGTGGATATCAAGCCATGCATATTAAGGACTCTGAAACTAATCTGAGGCCAGTTTCTGCAGGGTATGCAGTCACCATCTGAGCCTTGAACCAATTCCATAGAATCATCAATTTAATAATCTGCACAGAGAAATCAATTTCTGCTACTCCAATGTGGAACATACTGAAGTGGCTAGTGTAGATGTGTCTATGGTCCTGCTTACAGAATCCAACCATATTATGTTTTGGTGAAAACATCCTTGCCTTCTTTTCCTCCTAAATTATTTAAAATAATTGTCTAAAATATCTACATTATTACAGTACTATTCGTGCTGCTAAATCATAATGAAAAAGGAATAGAGTGATGAGGTGGGTTTGAATTAAAGTTCACGTAGCAGCAATATTCTTACCTAATTTCTGCAATATGGCCTTTGTCAAGCGCATCAAGAGCATTAAGGGCTTTATCCAGGGAAGGCAATACAGCATTGAGCTCTTCTGTTGCTTGCTATATGAATTATAAATACAAAAGTCAAGCCAGTTTTGGGATATTATCTCTATAATAGCCCTCTTACTTCCCACTGCTTTGTATAGATTGCTAGGAAAGGATATGATTGGTTTTTATTTTCTTTACTTTCAAGTACCTGTAATCAAATAACACATCCTCTTCTTCATGGAAACTGCATTCCATTTATGATGCTATCAGAAATGGTATTGGCTCCCACATTCTGTATCAGTTATTTTATATGAAATACTCATCTTCTACCCAGTAGGACTGACGCAGTTGTCAATCAGCTTGCAATATTTGTCAAGAAGCAGCAAATATTCACTATCCTGCAAATAAAATGGGAAAATGGAAACATGCTGTACCTGGGCATACTCTTCAACAATACGTGTTTCTGCAGCCATGTTTTCCTCATCCTGTTTTACAATAGTTCGAACTTGTTCTACCATTCCTGAATCTTTGTGAAGCTTTTCCACAAGTTCCTGTATTTCCTGGGGAAATATTCACACATATATTACTGCCAAACCCTTCAAATGCTTATGTAATGCTGCTTCATTTATGTCAATAGTAAACTTGCCTTCAGTGTATTATTAATATCAACAGATCTGTTACAGCCTCCTCTCCTGGAAGAATCCTATAATATTCCATTGTTGTAACACAATTATTTCATGCTAACTGCAGTAGCAACATCCTGTGGAATCTTAGGATTTGCAGGTTAGGGAGGGGCCATAACAATTCTAAAGTTCATTTCACAGTTTAGGGGTGGCCAGTGAAAAGACCCCTGGGTGATGGTTGCCAGCTGGGTTGAAGTAAAAAGCCCTGAGATGACCTAAGTTTACTAAGGGGCATATTATATGGAAGAAGGCAATCCAGCAGGTAATCTTGACCCCCAAACTATACAGGGCTTTAAAGGTTATAGTAAAAGGCTTTAAAAGTAATACTTTGCCTGGAAACTAATTGGCAACCAGTAGAGTGCTCACTCATAGATATACCCATTACCAATCTGGTTGTCATTTTTTGAACTGACTAAGGTTATTATTCATTTCCTTATTATTATCTTTATTTATATCCCATCTTTCTGAGAGCCTTGAAGGACCCACAGGCCAATGGCCAAGGAGTCAAACAGAATTCCCCCCCACCACCACCTTCTGAGAATGTCCTCCCAGGAAGGAACAGAGTCACCGAAGAACGGTATCTCCAAGCCCTATCCCAGAAAGGCAACCCAGAAGTAGACCATGGTCAATGGTATCAAAAGCCACTGAAAGGTCCAGGAGAACCAACAGGAACACACTTCATCTATCTAGTTCTCCGCGTAGGTCATCCACCAAGGTGACCAAAGCTGTCTTTCCCATAACCAGGCCTGAAACCAGACTGAAATGGATCTAGATAATCTGTTTCATCCAGGAACCCTTAGAGTTGCAAAGCCACCACACGCTCCAGAACCTTGCCTAAAAAATGGGAGATTGGAGACTGTCTGTAGTTGTCCAGTACAGAGGGGTCTAAGGAAGGTTTTTAAAGATGTGGTCTTACCACAGCCTTCTTGAAGCCTGTGGGGACTGTGCCCTGATGTAGGGAAGTATTAATCACTTTCCTGACTCACTCCATCAGTATCCCTCTGGTCTGTTTTATGAGCCAGGAAGGGCAGGGGTCTAGAGCACATGTGGTGGCTCTCTCCAAGAATCCTGTCCACATCCTCAGACTGCACAAATTGACAGGTATCCATCAACACAGGACAAGCAGGTGCTAAGGTTACATCCACTGGAGCTGTATCAACTGTGACTTCTAAAGACAGAGCAAAGTTCCCAAACTTGGTACAGAGTTAGCCCAATGCACAGCTCATTGCAGTAATCTAACTTTGAAGTTACCAGCATGTGTACCACCTTATTTTCTGTGCAATAAACTTCTTTTCTGCACATGAATATGCTTTTAAAAATGTATCATTTTGTACAAAAAAACTTTTTTTGGTAAATTATTTACAATATACCTGTGATTTTTTCTCTATTTGAGGACCAAGAGTAAACAATTCCTCTTGCATGTCTGTAATATGTGAGGTTGCTTCCAGAATTTTGGTCAGACCAGAATAATAGCAGGTTCTTTTAAAAAATGATAAAAGTAGTTATAGTACAGACCAGAAAGTTAGAACTGACAATAAATATCTACTGTATAACTTGAATTTCAACCTTTTAAATAAAACACCTTCCTCTGTTTTTGTTGCAACAGATCAAGATGTCTATTCTTTTTAGGGATTTATGACAATCACAAAATTATATCAGATAGATGAACAGTCAACACTGATCTCAAAAGTAGTTACATAAATTTGCTTTTCACAGGGTTACAGACAAGTTATCCCTTAGTAACCTTGCATTTATGAACATTGATTTTAAAAAAACCCCTCCAAGGATTTGAAACAAGAGACATATTTCCCCATGTGATAAAACAAAAATATTGGTGTGATAAAATATATGTATCCATCTCTGTTTCTTCTCTTGTAACACTGGACAAAAGTTCTACTAAGATAATGATTTCAGGCAGTAGAGAACAATGAATCTAACAAATGAAAAAAAATGAAAGTAACATTGGAAGTACCCTATACAAGATAATAATATACTTAGCAATGCCAAGAAGAAACTACTTTTTTGTTTTCAAAACATGAGTTGCATTATATAAGTGTTGACTACTTTGATTAGCAGTACCTATCCAAACAACAATTAATGGTGGTTGGATTGCACACTGCTTTGAGACAATAGGTTATGTTAGGTTATGTTAGAAGTATCAGTGCTCCTGGCAGACAGCTTCATGAATGGTTTATCTTTGTTAATATGGCACAGAAGAAGGCAATGGTAAAACACTCCTGAAGCTTTCAAAGTTGAAAATCCTAGGATGAGACAATCCAACATGAAACGAGAGAAGATGCCATAAATTAATACTCCCAATAATATTAATATTGGCATTAATTTTGAGGAGAGAGGTGGCAAAAGCTATCAAGGTCTATACAGCAAAGTGTAATTGAATAATATCAGTAAGGAAAAATACATCAATATAACTATAATCTAAGTTTATGACCAACTACGATGGCAGAAGAGGAATAAATTGAAGAAACTCCACCTGCATGATTGTCACTGTAATATAGATTTTCATCACTATCTGAAGCACTATTATCGAGAATATTGTAAGTAAAGCTTTCTCTCAGTGAGTCCAAAGTGTTCTGTAGGCATCAGTAGAAATCAGCAGATTTCTGAGTGAGTAGCAACAATGATACAGCCAAGTTGGGGGGCACTTGACCCCCAACTTTTATCACTGATATGCCTTTCCTGGACATATGTAAATAGGCAGCAAGGAAGCAACCTATGTATTTTGTCCAACACTATAACCTAGATGTCACAACATATGTAAATGCAGTAATTTCTTCTGCTTGCAATATCTTCCTACAACCACCAGAATACTAGGGGCCGTACCACACAGCCTTATATCCTAGAATATCTGCTTTGAACTGGGTTATCTGAATCCACACTCTGATAATGTGGGATTTCTGCCTTGATATTCTGGGATATAGGACTGTGTGGAAGGGCCATAGGTGAGACGTACGTGTGAGCGACAGGGATCACAAAATAACAGGTTGCTTATCTGAAAATGGTTTTTTAAATTGTCATCTGTGAATTCATAAACTTCTCTGTGTTATGGCTATCTTTGTTCCATGTATTTTGCTACAACCTTCTGTACACTGTGAAAAATGGAAACTGAGGAAAAAAGAGAGGGAACACCTATGCATATTCATTAGAGAAAAGTTGGGGTTACCATCAAAAATGGAATTGCTTAGCTATAGAATTCTTCAACAGTTTTTATGCAAAACATAGCAACCATATGTGTGAGCCATGGAGATAACAAAGAACTATCTTTGCATACAATTACACATGAAATGTAAATATTTTTCTAAAGTAATGGAATATTAAAATAATTGAAAAGTAATAAATATCATTCTTACCTGTCCTTCACAATTTTTTCTTTTATTGACTGCAATATAGTTGAAAAGGTTTTTATGAATTGCAGGTAACTATTGGGAGTGACGTAGTAGTGTCTTTTAGTTTCTTTCAAATACTTCTCAATGATCACAGATACATTTTTATGAATGTAAACACACACATCAACAAGCACATTTCTGAAATTCTGGGAATAAATGTGACATTGAAAGGATTGCATTTGTGTATTTTGCATTTCTGTTTAAGAGCATTTTGTTTCTGGTATTTGCAGTAGTTCTCTGCACTTATCTACAACTGTTATTCTAGAAGTTACTATCTATAGCTAGTTAGGAATCAAAGCCCTGGGTGAACATAAAAATAAAAAGAGAGCAGGCATAAGGCAAACTTGGTCGGGAATTCCACAAACTAGAACCTCAGCCAAGAAATTTTCCCCATTCTTTACGAAATATGACTGTGAAAGTGCTGGGACCAAAAGAGAGCCCTCCGCCAAGCATCTCAAAACTCAGGCAGGCTCATATTAGGAGGCGGTAGTCTTGACTCAATCTGTATGAGCTTTAACACACAAGCAGCAATTTGAGTTACGTTGATACCCAGTGAAGCTCTTCAATAAGGGTGTTATATATTCCCTGTAATTAGTTCTGGTCAACAATCTCACTTCAGTGTTTTGGACATGCAGTGGTTTCTGAACAGTTTTCAAAGGCAGCCCATACAGAGTAATCCAAATGGGATTCCATCAAGCCATGTGTTACAATGACCAGAACTCTAAGAATAGAAGCAACTGGCACACTCCTGGCAACTACTAAAACCTGGGCCTCTATGAGCTGAGTATCCCAAAACTATAAACTTGAGATTTCAGGAGGAGTTAAGTTTCATCCAAAACAAACTGAATCCTGATCAGAGGTGAATTAAGTTTCAGTTATTTGCCCTCCTTTAATATACACTGATTTAATACCAAATGAACTTCCTTGGAATTAGATGGTGAGGGATAAAGCCAGGTATCAGCAGCATATATGTAAGTATCTTCACATAGCCTATAGACCTATGGAGACCTATAGAGACCCTATGGATTTCATAAGGTTTTCTTAGGCAAGGAATTTGCAGAGGGGGGTTTTACATTTCCTTTCCCTGAAATATAGCAAAGATGCCTGATGTTTATTGGCAGTCTCCTATCAAAGTACTAAACAGGGCTGACTCTATTTGCCTTCCAAGATCAGATGGGATCTGATGACAGCTTATCTGATCCCAAAAAAATGGGTAACCTCTCCCAGAAATTTTATGTAGCTGTTAAATAGCACTGGAGACATAACGGAGCCTTAAGAGGCCAAAAGCCAGGGGACCACTCCTTTATGTGAGGCTGGAATAATTGTAAAACCCCAAACTCCATCCCAAAGAAATGGCCCAGAAGGATGTTGTGGTTGGTCACTCTTCCTCTGCAGTTCCCAGTGTAAGCAATCCACAAAGGAACTATTTCTGTCACATAATCAAGCCTGGAGCCAGATTGAATTGTAGATTATCTATTTCATGCAGGAATCCCTGGAGCTTGTAAGCCACTGTGAACTGCATAATCTTGTTAAAAATTAGATATTTTGAATGTATAAAATAAATTATAACCATGCATGCAAAATTTGAATTTATCCACAAAATCTCTTTGTGAAAAACAATAAAATGTTGTAGTTTCACATCAAAAATGTAAATAATGTACCAAATACCATACCTCATTCCCGAATACATCATTATAACGAAAATAACTTTTTGCAACATGGCAAAGGGCTTCTTCAGGCCAGTCTTTATACCAGTCAATTGTACAGCAATTAATAATAGCAGGATATGTCCGGCAACGTTGACGAAAAACCATTCCTGCAGGACTTATTGTCAAAACCACATGAAGATTGCTACGTACCCTCTGAAATAAAGACACAATCCTGAATTAAAACAGAAAATGTTATGTGTTTATATTTATAGTGTTGTGTCTTGGACTTGTTCCTAATTGGAAGTGAACTCCATCAAAATCAACAGGACTTTCTTCTGATTAAACATGCTTACATGTTTAATGTACAGGGGCTGCTTCTGAAGAGTGCTTGGAAATTTCAACTTGTCCAAAGAGCTACACCCAGTTGCTAACTGGGGCTGGCTACAGGGAGTGGACAACCCCCGTTACAGCAGCTCCACTGGCTGCCAGTCTGTTCCTAGGCACAATTCAAAGTGCTGGTTATACCTTTAAAGCCCTAGATGGTTTAGGTCCAGGCTATTTGGCTGACCCTACCCCCTTGTACAAATCTGCCCGGGCCCTGAGATATACAGGAGAGGCCCTTCTCTTGGTTCCACCTCCATCTCAAGCTCAGTTGGTGGGAAAAAGAGAGTGGGCCTTCTTAGTGGCTGTCCCTCGACTCTGGAACTCCCTGTCCAGGGAAGCCAGAATGGCCCCCTCCCTGCTTTCCTTCCAGAAGCATGCTAAAACCTTCTTATTCAGACAGGCTTTTAAAGTAGAAGCTTTTTAAAGATCAAGTCAGGGGGTTCTGGGGTTTTTAACTTTGAATATGTTTTAATGGTTTTTAACTGGGAATTTTTAAATACTGTTTAATAATCCTGTTTTAATGTCTGCATATTTGTATATTTTAAATTGTTATGCAGATGCTTTTATGGTAAGCCACTTTGCATCTCCTATGAAGACTCAAAGCATTGAACCACGGAGAAATGGTCTATCCCATAAATTAACCTGACAATGTCCCCTTTTAGATTCACACTACATTGTACTAACAATTCATTGTCCCTGGTAGTTTTTTTACCAGCAGGCAAAATGGGTGGAATATCACTAGCAGGTGAGTTAGCTAGCTCGGTGTCATGTTCTATCTGTGCTCTGACCAATAAAGCTATGTCATTTGGACCTGAAACTATAACTTGCCCCTGCCCATTTTCTAATTTTCTTTGCAATCATATGCCCATATACAAGGCTGCTAGGAGCACAATTGATGGCAGCAAGTGCTGAAAATGAGCTCTGATGAGATCTATTTGCATTAAAAACTGCTAATTTAACAGTGGAAAACAGTTCTTCTAGCACATGGTTTCAATTCTGAGATAGACGCTTTTATTTTCACAGTAATATTACAAATATTTGTATCTGAAATCCTTTAGACATACTTAAAATGCACATGTAATTTCTCTAAATTTGCATCAATAGTGCTCTTGCCTCCAATTTATTCTGTATATACAACAAGCCTGTCCCACATTTTCAAATTTAAACTGCAGCAGTTGCATGTAAATTGGGGATAAGGAATGTGTGTCCCTTGCAGATATTGTTGGACTGCAACTACCATACACTCTCATCACTGGTTAAGTTGACTAAGGATGATGTATACATGAAACACTATGAGAAATAGCATAAAATGATGAGAAGCAAGGCCAAAATATAAGCAGTGCTCCCTCATCAGTAAAGTTCAAAGCTAGTATAAAGATGCCTAAGAAGGTTGATAGTGTCCAAGACTGTTGAAAAATCTATCAAAACTAACAGGGATGCCCTTTTTTTCTGCCCAATTCTTAATGAACATCTTTCACTAAAACCGTTTGTAAAAGTTAGAGAAGAATCCAAGCAATCAGAATACACCCAAGAACCAATTGCCACCACTCATTTAGCCAAGACTCATTTGGCTTTAAAAGACAGGGTCAATTGAGATATGGATGGGCTCAAACCTCCAAGTAACCTATTCAAAAACTCATGACAGCGTAAGATAGAAGCCACTCACAAAACAGGAGTAGTAAATGCCATAGGTATAGCCTGGAACCCAATTCTAAACCTATAGCACAGCTTGAAGTGGATGAAAGCCAATACACTTACTCGTAAAAACATCAAAAGTTAACTACCCAATATTCTGAACCCTCATACATATCTCATACATTATTACCCCCCCCCCAAAGTATGTGTATGTCCATAACTACTACTAGGAAGAGGTCTTGCATGCCTTCCTGACTTACGGTGACCCTAAGAAAAACCTGAACAGATTTGTTCAAAGGGGGGTTGCAGTTGTAAGAATGTGACTTACCGAAGGTCAGTCAGTGTCCATGACTAAATGGGAATTAAAATCCTGGTTTTCAGCAATTGCCCTAGTACATATAATTCAGCCATGAAGACTGATATTAAAGAAAACAGAAAAACACACAAGAGACATTCTACCTGTAAGAAGAATGAATATACATCTTCCATTTTGTTGGAGTGTTTACTCTTTTCAGCAGAAGATGTAAGTGGTGTAATGATGTTATCCAACTCATCCTTTTCAAATAAGTCAGGCACCTGTCCTGACTTCAAAATACAACTCAGATCTTCCAAAAATGCCTCCTATGAAAAAATATATTCATTAATAATGTTCTCATGGCTGTTTAATTTTCAAAAAACTTAGATCACTCTGACACAAAATTAATCATGGCTATATCTACTAAAACCCATGGGCTTTATTTCAATTCACTTTTGGTTGTATTTCAGTGACAGCATTTTTCAAAACCTATGAGATTTGAGTGAACATAATATCATTTTAATTATTTTATTTTATTGTTAATGAGAAAGTACTGGTTTCCTCAGGGAAGTACTTTTTTTTTTGCAGAGAAATCAATTTTGCCAGATTTTAATGACAATATTTTGGTGCTATGGACATTATATTCTGTCCTTATTCATTCAGAAGGTTTCCATTGTGATTGTGAATGGTGTATGAAATGAAATGTGCTAATGTAATATACTGTACATCTGCATAAGGATGACTATTATATCATTAGAGCTGAGTGACATAGCTATTCCCACATACTTTCAACTTTTAGTTGGATCCATAGGTATCAACAACTGGGATACATTTTTGCATGCTACAACAAGGTATTGTGAGTTAATGTGGTCGGAAATAATATGTTTTCCCTGTAGCCCAATGACTGGAATTGCCACACTGCTTACAATTCCTTGATATACCAAGAGGAAGCTTGAGATCTTGATAACAAGTTATTGTATTAATTCCTCACAATTTAGCATTTATGTTCTCGGTTACACTAGTTTGTAAGAGTTTTGACAGAACTGCTGTTAAAGTCATGTAAACATTCACTCATGCCAAGGCAATCTAAAAACTATATAGATTTATTAGGTACATGGATGAAAATCACAACTAATGTTTAATTAATATGATATATATAACAGTTTTCCACAGTGGAAAGACTTGCCTGAATTATTTCAGAATCTGTGATGAGAAAAACTACCCTCTTGCCTTCCAAACCTGCTTGTTTATAAACTGTCTTGAGGTCTTCTCTAAAATTTACAAAGCTGTAATTGCATGTAATAGATAACCTGTAGAGGATGCAGTTAGCTAAGCAACAGGCTAAGGATGCACAGGTTACTTTCCCATTTCCGTCCAGACCAATCTGCAGAAATACATGGATCATTATTGAGACCAAAATTACAGTAGAGTATAACAAATGAAATAAATATAAATTACAGGACTTGAAAAACCTGTCCCTGTTAATTCTTCTGGACCTCTCAGCAGCCTTCGATATCTTCGACCACGGTATCCTTCTGGGACGCCTCATGGGAATGGGTCTTGGAGGTACTGTTCTGCAGTGGCTCTGGTCCTTCCTAGAGGGCTGATCTCAGAAGGTGTTACTGCAAGACACCTGTTCAACCCCACAACCATTGCCTTGTGGGGTTCCTCAGGGCTCTATATTGTCTCCCATGTTGTTTAACATCTACATGAAGCTGCTGGGGGAAATCATCTGCAGTTTCAGGGTACGATGTCATCTGTACGCAGATGTTGTCCTACTCTGTCACTCCTTCCCACCTGCTACTAAGGAGACTGTTCAGGTTCAGAACCAGTTCTTGGCTGCTGTGACGGTCTGGATGAGGGCTAATAAATTGAAACTGAATCCAGACAAGACAGAGGTACTCCTGGTCAGTCGCAAGGCCAAACAGGGCATAGGGTTACAACCTGTGTTGGATGGGGTCACACTCCCCTGAATTCGCAGGTTCACAGCCTGGGTGTGTTCTGGGACTCATCGCTGAGCCTGGAACCCCAGGTTTACGCTTCCATGTATTCCGATATTTGTTTTGTCTAATTCTCCTGCAAGGAATCTCTCCCTCCACCCTTCTCTGTTATTTTCTGTTATTAACAGTTCAATCAATCTACTTTGTAAGTTTAATCTTTCCTTTCTTACTTTTTCTTACTTTTAGTCATTAATTTCAACTCTCTTTTGTCTATCTGTTGGGTGTTTTTTTTCATGAAGTGTAGGATAACAGTCCTTGACTTATTGAATCATTCTACTCAGGTACTGCCAATAATTTGGAGTTCATTGTTTCTTCTCTGTTTTTCTGCCTTTCCTTCTTCTTCTCTGTTAATTTAAACAACCTTTAGTTCCCAGGGGATCTTGAGGGGAAGTTGTGTGAATTGGTCAGTCAATTGGCATTTTTTACCTGAAAACAGCTGCTTTTGGTTGTGTGTATGCTCACTTCTTCTTCTCCCTGTTTCTTCCAGGAAGGCTATAACCCCACAGGAGACTTCCACAGATTCACAACTTTCCCCAGTCAACTGCCTTGCTAAGGAATCTGCAGAGGCATTGGTACTTCACATTGGCTAATTTATGAGAAGCCAGGTGAATTCCTTACCCTTAGGGGGTTTCTTGAAACCACAAATCAAAGTGGATAGTAATGGGCTGATTCCATTAAATGCACTGGAAGTTGCATTTAAATTCTTGCAGTTGTTCTGGCAGTCATTCAGTCATGTTGCCTGAATAAATATTTAGCTTTGTGCTTTATATTGGCAATTTGTAAGAATCTGATCTATATATGAATAGCTAAAATATAGTGAAGAAAAGCAACTACTGTGTTCTATCATGTTGAGCATCCCTATGCACATTTATGCAGAAATTATTCACATTAGGTTAAAAGGAATTTGCTCCTATATTTGACTAAGGTATTACAGTGACACAATGAGTTGCCAAGCAATCCAAATTTCAACACGTTTCTATCATATTGTTAAATAATTTGTGTTTCAAACCAAAAAGATAGAAATAGAATTCAAATGAAAACCTTGTATCAAGTCATATAAACTTTGAATACAGGCAGTCCTCAAGGTACAAACATCTGACCTATAAACAACTCATAACTACAAATGGGAGTGAGACAATAAGAAGTGAGAGAAATCTAACCCTAGGAAGGGAAATTTACTTCTGGAAGAGTTATAATGGGGGAAAGGCATCTCGACCGAAGCTTGATCACCAATCCTTGATTCCATAACAAACCCAATTTTCCAAAATCCAGTTATCACAGGGACATAAAGTGAGGTGAAATCTTCTGAACAGGGGCACAGATAGCAAATAAATAGCACATGGATTTAACCTTTCCCTATGCTATCCAAAGCAGATACATTAAAACATGTATCTGTTTCAACTTACATACAAATTCAACTTAAGAACAAACCTACAGAACCTCTCTTGTTTTTAACTTGGGGATTGCCTGTATATATAATCATTATTAGGATCCTTAGTATAACGTTAAGTAAAAATGTATATTTTCTTACAATTGTCATGTGACCACCTTCTTGCCGAAACATTCTTGCCGCTCTTGTTATATGTTGTACAGCTTCTTTGAAAAATACAATGGCAGTACTCTAAGGAATTAAGGAGAACACATTCAAATAGGTTAGTATACTTTAGATGGTATTTTATACCTGCATTAATCACTAATCAATAATTAAACATGGCATTTATGATAGAGGAACAAATGGAGGAAAGAGAGCTAAATGACCATCAACCAAAAAGAGTTTATTTTTCTGAACCCAAACAAAATTTCGATGTATGAGTCTGTTTTTAAAGTTCAAATCAAAATCAGAGTAAAAGAAGGGATATATTCCAGCAGGATACTGTGTCATCTCTGCCCCTTTTCTCATATAGACATCATTCTCTTTGGCAGTTGAAGCATCTTCTATGCAGTACAGGAGGAGAGAGATTCAGCATAAACTTTTCATGCTGGGGTGTCAGCACAAAGGAGAATTGCATTCTAAAACAATCTAATTTTTAAAAAATAATAAATATTAGCATTTGTAATTCTCTCAGTTTCTAGGCCATATCTCAACTTGTTTGTCTAATTAACCTACTACATTTACATGTGCTGGCACTTTGAACTAATGTGTTTAAGCTGAACATATGGAATTTTTAATTTCTTAAAGCCTAATTTAGAATTTGTGAGTTACCTCAGGCTTTTGAGACTGCATTCTCAAGTAGGATTCTTCTAATATCAAAAGAAGACGCTTCTGGCTGGTAACATTTCTATAGATTCTCTTCTCCACAGGTGTATTTGGATCCAGAAAATCCACAAAAATAGGTGAATCATCTATCATTTTTTCCTTTGTCCATGAAATCTATAGATATAACTTAATTAATTATATAGTAATTGAGGGCAATTTCACACTTTCTATAATATTTTTACAACACCTATACTGATTCCCGATTTGCTATTTCCCGCTGTGATATTTTGATCATTCTATATTCAGTTATCTGTCCAGAAGGCAACATTTTAACATCCACTCTTTTCATGTTCAGCACCGTGAAAAGAGTGGATGTTAAAATATTGCCTTCTGGACAGATAACTGAATATAGAATGATCAAAATATCACAGCAGGAAACAGCAAATCAGGAATCAGTATAGGTGTTTTCACGTTCAGCACCAGGAGACCCCGGTGGCGCAGTGGGTTGAACCCCTGTGCCGGCAGGACTGAAGACCGACAGGTCGCAGGTTCGAATCCGGGTAGAGGCGGATGAGCTCCTTCTATCAGCTCCAGCTCTTCATGCGGGGACATGATAGAAGCCTCCCACAAGGATGATAAAAACATCAAATCATCCAGGCGTCCCCTGGGCAACGTCCTTGCAGACGGCCAATTCTCTCACACCAGAAGCGACTTGCTCCTGACACGACAAAAACAAAACAAAACAAAAAAGTTCAGCACCTTCTCATGCATTTTTCACTCATGTTTCTCTGAGTAACCTTTCTAGATCTCCAACCTCTTTCTTACATAATCCCTGGTCCCAGGACACTCTGCTCTGGCTACCCAGATGTGGTTATAGGGGAGAGTGGAGATGCAGAGTGATCTCTTCCTTGGTTAATCTGCAGGCTGGGACTGGTCAATATCCTACAGAAAGGATTGTCCTCTGACCCCTGCAGTACCTATCCTAGGACTGGCATCAGTCACTCATCAGTGACTGATCAGTTCCTGTGTGAGCAGACAATAGTTCCATTGTATAAATTAAATTATTAACTTTTTGATGGTATAGTGATCTTATTTAGGTAACTTGCATACTAGGAGGTATTAACTGTTTCAGAGGAAACGTATAATGTAAGCTTGGTCACCACAGTGGTACCAAGGGTTTCTGCATTTTTTGGGTTTCTGCTACAGCTGAAGAATATCTTGAGAAGAATCTGTAGATTTTTTTCGTTGCTACTGTAGGGAATAGGTCTATTTGTAGGATTCCAAATATTGAATTAAATGGCAGATTGCTTGACTATAATCTCGAGTCAAGAAGCAGACAGTCTTTGACTATTTCAATGCCCTCACTATCCACTTCAATGTTATTTTTCTGTGGTTATTGCTTTTTTTTCTTTATATTTAATTGTAACTCTGATTTTAACTTTCTTCCTTAACTTTCCAAGTTCTTGTTATTTTTTGCAAAGGCATGGTGTCCTCTGCATATCTTAAACTGCTTATGTGCTTATGTGTTTTTCTCCAATTTCCATGCTCCTTTCCTCCAAATTTAATTCAGCATTCTGTATGACATGTTCTGCATATATATTAAATAGGCAGGGTGATAAAATCCATCCTTGTTTGTGGCCTTTTCCAGTTGTTGACCATTCTGTTTCCATGTATTCTGTTCTTAGAGAGGCCTGTCATCCTGTCTAGAAGTTATGCACCAGTATGACACAAAGCTGTCACTATCTCATCCTCCTATATGGGTGCTATTGGATTTTGGAATATTTCTGAATTCTGGATAAGGGATGCTCAACCTGTATTACCATAGGTGTTAAACATACTATAAAACAAAAGGGAATTAATAACAAATACCTAAGATATGCAAACAGAAATTCTCTCTCTCTCTCTCTCTCTCTCTCTTTGTTGAGGCCTGGTCTGAGGAGGGGGACCTTTTGGTGGTGGGGTCTTGTGTTCCTGAATTGGTGCCTGAATTGGAGTTCCCTACTCCTGTAGTGTCTCAGGAAGAAAGTAGCTCTCCTCTGGATAGATCTGTGTTTAGTGTGAATGTTTCCCAGTTAATGCTGCCAAAGGTGAGGGAGGTGGAACATGCTGGATTGTTGCCTATAACTCCGCGCCTCCAGTTATGGAAAGACAGTGCCAAGCAAAGGTTTTCTCAGGTTTGAAAGATAAACATTGGGATGTCAAGTGTTGAACACATAGTGTCTCCATGGGAATGAGTTTGGTTTTTTAAGTTAGCCACTTGAGTTGTTCTGTGTGAGAGCACCTTTGAAGTTTCAAGGGAAAGTCACTCTTTTCTTTAATAAACTTTAAATCAGTTGATTGATTTCTGTTGGCTGATCTATATTTGTACTAATGAGCTCTTCATTTTGGATGAAAAGGTGTCACATAGGTGGCTGGGCTGCAATACTCTCTCATTCTCTCTCTCTCTCTCTCTCTCTCTCTCACACACACACACACACACACACATACACACACACACACATATTTAAATAGACTTACTTTAAAATAATTATTGAGCTCATTTGAAAGAAACTGGTAAAAAATCTCTTTGTCTGCAAAATCTATCAGACGATCATGAAAAACCCGGGTTGATTCATGCACAAAAAACAATGCCGTTGTTTCTTTTGATACAATCACAGACGGATGGGCTTGGAGCAATCCTTGAAGCAGCTGTTAAAAATAACAAGGAAAATTAATGCTTTGGACTGAGAGAGTGCCATCTTAACACATGGGCAGCACTCTACTGACTCATGTTCAACAAAAATCTCTAGATTCTTTTCACATATAGTACTGCTGAGTCGATCACATTCCCGTACATTTTATTTTTGTGGTTTAAATGTAGAACTCTGCATTTGCCTCTGTACAATTTCATCATGTTAATTTCAGACAAATTTTCAAGTTTATCAAGGTCCTTTTCAATCAATCAATCAATCAATCAATCAATCAATCAATGATTTATTACGGTCTTTGACCAGCACAGTATAGAATGGGGCACCGGTGCCCAAGGAAGGGAATCGCAGTTCCCAAGTAGGTCATGTATAAAAGCAGATTAAAAATATGTTATAAAAGAGACAAATTAAAATAATAAAACAGACTAAACTTACAGTTTAAAGTGCATGTATGAATCCAAAATAGGGGGTGGCTAATAACAAATATCAGACAAATGGGAAGCTCTAAAAAGGGGTGAGAGGGGAACATTTACAGCATTTCAGTTATTATAAATCATTCTAACTATATTCCCGGCAGGAAGTTGCCTGGTGGAGTTGGTCATCAGCCGTCTAATGTTAATTGCTGCTGTACAGAACTTGGCAACACTGTAGGTTGTCGCAGAGCAAGAGTCCGAGAGCAACAGGGAGGTGTAATATCTTTCAGTGCGCCCTGGATGTTTTAAAAGCCATGGAGTGATGAAATTAGCTCTAATGTCTCTATAGAATACACATGGGAGGAGCACATGTTCAGTTGTTTCAATGTAGCCAAAAAGGTCCTTTTGAATTCTGTTCCTATTTTCCTATGGGTTAGCTACCCCTCCCAGATTTCTATCATCCACAAATTTAACAAGGATTCCCTCCACCCCATTATCTAAATCAGGGGTCCTCAAACTTTTTAAACCGGGGGCCAGTTCACTGTCCCTCAGACCGTTGGAGGGCCGGACTATAGTTTTTTTAAAAAAATAAAAATTCCTATACACATTGCACATATCTTATTTTGCTGTGTGGAAGAGCCCTTAGAGGGGGTTCTTTCTAGCCCTCTTTAGGCAGTAATTCCAGGAGCAGAGAATGGGAAATCTTCCTATTTCTAGTCTGAACAAAATCTGGCTACCAGTATTAAAAAACTCTAAAATTATAACTGTAAATAAAGAACAACACTCAAACACAGGGGAACTCCAGACAAGCTAATCACCTCTCAACAAAGGATTCTCCCTAAAAACTGTCAGGCTATGAAATGGTAATCAAGGTGGCCAATTGAAACATTCATACCTACCTCCAACAGACAAGAGTTCTTTCTCCCACCCTGGATCTTCCACAATTTTCCTAGTTAAAGGTTTTCCTCTGACATGAAGTCCAGTCATGTCTGACTATGGGGTGTGGTGCTCATCTGCATTTCTAAGTCGAAGAGCCGGCATTGTCCGTAGACACCTCCAAGGTCATGTGGCCGGCATGACTTTATGGAGCGATGCTGCCCATCGGGCCCGATGGGCAGCGTGAGCCTGCCAAGAGAGGAGCAGCCCCGCGCGGCCTACTTGCGTGTAAAGCACCTCGCAAGGTGCTATACGCGCGAGTAGGCCACACGGAGCAGCTGCCCTTGGCTGGTTCACACTGCCCATCGGGCCTGACGGATAGCGTGAGCCAGCCAAGGGAGGCGCACTGTGTGGGGGGTTGGCGCTCCTTCTCCATGGGCCAGATAAGTGCCCACACGGAGCAGCCCTTGGCTGCCCATCGAAAGGGGCCCTTTTTTTGTTCTTCGAACGTTTTGTTCATGATGGCTGGCTCACGCGCCCATCGGGTCTGAGGGATAGCGTGAGCCTGCCAAGAGAGGGGCACTGTGTGTGGGGGGGGGGCGCTCCTTCGCGGGCCAGATAAGTGCCCTTGGCGGGCCGGAAGTGGCCCGCAGGCCGTAGTTTGGGGACCCCTGATCTAAATTATTAATAGTCCCTAAACAGAGTGCTGTGGACTTCTACTTGGACCACTTTTCAGTTTGAAACACAACCATTGATAACAGCTCTTTGTCACTGTTTTTCAATCAATTCTGGTACATCTGGTGGTGTTTTAATCTTTCCTGTTGTCTAATCAAAATATCATGGGAGATCTTATGAAAGGCTTTTCTGAAACTCAGAGAAATAATACCCCTTCCATTCCAAATATCTACTCAGTGAGAAAAAGATATAAGGTTCGTTTGACAGGATTTGTTCTTAACAACCTCTTGCTGGCTTCTACTAATCATTACGTTGTCATCAAGATACTTCTAGACAGACTCCTGTATAATTCTGAGTCCCCTCCCCCCCCCCTTTTTAAAAAAAAAGACAGGAGCAATGTTTGGATACAGTCTTCAGTACTCTGGCATCTCACCTATTTCCAGGCTTTATCAAACACAATGGCAAGGAGCTATGTGAATATGTCAGCAAGTTTCTCTAATACCCTGGAATACAGTTTGTCTGACCTTGCAAATTTGAACTTATTTAGATTAATTAGGTGATTCCAAATCCTTATCAATCTGGATTTGCAACATGTATTCCTTGCTATGGTCTCTTCTGAGGCATGTCCTCGTTTGGAAGGAAAACAAAGCAAAATAGATATTGAGCAGAGCTTCCATCTTATTCCTATCAGTTAGCAATAAAAAGCAATGGAACAATGAGTTCAAATAGCAGAAAAAGACATTCTATGTAAGCATAAGAAAGAGCTGTTAAGCAGTGGAATATGCTGATGCCTCCAAGTGTGGTGGTTTCTCTGGAAGTTTTTTAATCAGAGGCTGATCGGCCATCTGTTGGGAGTGTTTTGATTGCATTTTCCTGCACTGTAGGAAATTGGATTGGATGGCCCTTGTGATCTCTTCCCACTCTATGATCCTATGATCTATCATAATAAGCTGTGATCTGCCTTGAGTCCCCTTCGGGGTGAGAAGGGAGGAATATAAATGCTGTAAATAAATAAATAAGCTGAAACATTTTGTGAATTTAACACACCTTGAAAAGATCTCTCAGGTTAAAAGTATAATGGCATTTAGCTGGAGTTGGGCGCATTTTATTAAACATTCTATAGTACAAAGCAATAGAGGAACATGTTAAGTAGTCCTTGCATTTCTGAACTTCAACCATGAATCTTTTGTTGAAAAAGTATGCTCCTAGACGCACCTACAAGAAGCAAGACACATGATTATTAAAAACAATCTATTAAATGTTTAATTTCAGAAGGTAAGCCAATGTAAATTAATCCATTTTAGATGTTTAGAAATTAGTGCTTTCAAATACATATACATCACCCCAACAATTTTTTGTATCAGATAGTGCACCTGTTAGGTGGTTTTTAGTCGCCAAATCATATCTCAATAGAGAAACACAGCCATTCTCCTTGTTCTGTTCATATTTGACTAATTCTGCCTGGAACTAATACGTCATTTTATTTCCAGTAATACAAACATGCACATGCACCCACATTCTAATACACATAACTTAGACACTATAAGTTATGCCTTATAGATTGTACTCTTATCTGTTTTATGCCTTAACTCAAATTTTACATGCCTCAACACTGACAATGAAACCTAATGTCAACCTGGAATGTTCTTGGCCTTAGCTCTTCATGTTTCCTAATTACAGTATTTCTGATCTCAAGGTAAATGATTAATCCTTGCTCTCTGCTTTCTCAGCCCTGGTTTCTGATAGTTTCCCACTCCACTGCTAGAGATTGCAATGAAGTCAGAGCAGGGTGTGGCTGCTCAAAATCATGGGACCCCTGAAAATGCATATTTCAGAAATTTGGAAATCACATCTCTAATTTTATCGGGGGGGAGGGGGGGGAAGGGGTTATATACCAAGGCACCTAGGTGGAAAGAACATACTAGCAAAGGATTGCTTTGCAATGTTTTATGCATTTTTCAAAGAATTTTCAAGATGCTATCCATGAATTGATGGAGTAGCATATAGACATAAACTCAAGGAGGCCAAAGTTCATATTACTGTTTGGCCATGGAAACCTACTGGATTACTTTGGGCAAATCATATTCTTAGCCTCAGAGGAAGTAAATGGAAACATCTCTGAACACATATTGACAAGAAAACTTCACGTCAGGTTTGGGTTAGGGTTGCCATAAGTCTGAAATAACTTGAATGCACACAACAACAAATATGGATCAACACACCACTTTTCTGTACTTTCTTTATTATTTCAACAGAAAAAATAAACATAATTAATTAATAATAAGTAAATCAATTTCTGAAATATAATAGTAGAAAATAATGAGCTCATAAATTATTAAAAATGAGTGAATTAATTTCATTCAAAAAGTAACATTTCAAGCTCTACTTTTACCTGGAAAATACGCTGCAAAGATTGCAAAGAAGTTGAAGGCAAACGGAATGTACAAAAATGTGTCAAAAGACGGGCACTAATCTCATTACTTCCTTCACTGGGAGGTATACAACTTGCAACCAAGGAAACATCCTGAACATACTGTTTGGAGAAGGGAAGGGAGTCATTTTAAAAGACTGGATGTAAAAAATTTTGAATGATGCTTTATCAGTTTAGGAAATGGTGATGAACTCGACAAATTTTTCCACATATTTTCGGAAAAATTGTGGAAAAAAAGAAAATACAATGTGTAACTAAGAACAATTAGAAGGACAGGTTGCTAACCAACAACTGTGTTTCTTCAAGTGGTCATGTGTGAAATTCGCACATAAGGGTCTTCTAGTGCATGCACAGACAGTTTTGGAATTCTCTAGACCAGTAGTTCCCAACCTTTCTAATGCTGTTACCCTTTAATACAGTTCCTCATGTTGAGGTGACCTCCAAACATAAAATTATTTTTGTTGCTACTTCATAACTGTAATTTTGATACTGTTACGAATCATAATGTAAATATCTGATATGCAGGATGTATTTTCATTGTTACAAACTGAACACAATTAAAGCATAGTTATTAACCACAAAAACAATATGTAATTATATATTGTGAAATATTTATTTCTAATTACAAATAAATTGATTTTTTTTGTCTTGAAGCATGGTGTAGCATGGGTAACAGTCTTAAGATAACAACAGTAGATTATATTGCTAAATTTTGCGATAGTATGTCTAAAAAGCCAATGTCAGTGCAACGGTTGAAGTTGCTTCTTTCTCACCAGATCAGAAATTCTCAGGGGAGAAATGAAGAAATGAGAGAAAGAAAGGGTGGAAAGAGAAAAAGAAAGAAGAGAGAGCTAAAGGAAGGAAGGAGATAAAAGAAGGAAGAAGAGAGAAAGAGAAATTAATGAAGGAAGGAAAGAGAATGAAAAGAAGAAAGGAAGGAGAGAAAGAAAGAAATGAAGGAGAGTGAGAGAGAGGAAGGAAGGAAAGAAAGAAAGGAGAGATGAATGAAGGAAGGAAGGAAGGAAGGAAGGAAGGAAGGAAGGAAGGAAGGAAGGAAGGAAGGAAATCCAGGTTGAAGAGGCTAGTGTGGCTATGTGAAAAGGCCAGGAGGAGCCAGGTGCTGAGCGGAGCAATCTGCCTCTAAAACTGGTAACAGCTCCAAAACGGACTCTGGAGGTCTGAAAACTGGACTACACAGAAGACTACAGGAAAGAGAATGAGAAGGGAAGAACTGTACCTTCCAATCAAGGTGCTGAGTGTCATAAATTCCTCCCAGATCTAGAAGCTGTCGGATTAGCTCAAGTGGTGGCTGGGATCCATATTCCTCTGCTACTGGCATATTCAGATCATCAATAAAAAGTAGCACCTTAAAATGAGAATATCACAAAGAATACATGATGTACACTAATAAAAATATTGAATATACAGTCAATTCTTATACATTCCTTGGCCACAAATAAGGACCATGATTCAGTAAACTGTATAAACACATACGTATGTACTCATCCAAAGGATGTCCTGGACTGCACCCAATACCCTTCTTCAAATAGGCAACTGGTAGTGACAAAGACCTTCTAGGTATATTTATCTGGACTATGTGGTTGTCACATTGCCATGCCCAAAAGGTGACTACGTGCATTGTATAATTTTACTAGAGGCACAACAATGAAGACGTGTATATCACTACCATGGCATGCAACCATTCAACCTACCACATCTGTGTAGGTAAAAGTAAAAAGTGTAACTCTGAACAGCCATGTTATTTCTAGGACTGTAATAAAACAAAAAGTGATTACGATTGGATAGTAAATGAGGGACTGTGTACTGCAATACTGGAAGGATAGGTGTCTTGTTCATTAACCTCAAATGTTAGAAAGAGTCCCCGAAAGTAGAAGGATACAAACTTATTTTCAAGAGAAAAGTGGATTATAAAAGTGATAGAAGTAGCAGAAATTGATAAACGATCTTGTTTGATAATAAGGAAATCAATAAACACTTTTAAAGTGATTGGAAACCTTAAATGTCTAATATTAAAAAGAAGGAAAATGTGAAGACATTTGTAGGGTTGGAAGAGTTTTAAAATATTATTGAAGTTATAAAATAGAAGAAGATATTTTAAATAAGGTATGAAGTGGAATTATATATAACTTTGTATTTAATAGGTCTTTCAGAAGGCAAGAAGTCAAATTTAACTTTTAATTTATATTCATTATAGGAGAAGGGTGAAGGAGAAGAAGGATATTTGAGAGGGAACTTCAAATAAAAATGTGTAACTAATATTAGAAATGTACAAAGTATGAAAATAATGAGATATTTAAGGAAATGCTGGTGAGGTTAATTGTGAACAAACTCCTAGTATATTTCCAATTACATTCCCCCAATAGTTGGTGTTGGTTTGTTTGAGGGTTTTTTTTGTTCCTTACCTGCTTAGATTTTGGAGCACCCAAGATGTCTTTATTTTTTAGTATTAATTTCTGAATAATCCATGCCTTTGTTTGGGCAGCACTGGTATGGGCTCCCAGTTGTAGTGTGGAGATAATGGCACTTCTTATACTTTCAACAGGTTGCCTTTCTAGATCAGGTTCTTCTCTTGGTGAAGTCAGACTCACTAATATATCACAGTAATAACATGTTATTTTAAATGTGTTTACTGATAACAACCATTAACAGAGCAAATATATTCTGCCTTAACTTTCTTTATATACATTTTAAAAAAATCAAATAACAAGGTTAGGAGGGACGGCTTGAACATGGTGGTGAGACTAGTTGGAGAGATTTATCTGCTCCAGACAACAACAATCACTTAAAGGGTCAGAGAGGTCACCTAGGCTAAATAAATGGTCAAGGGTTATGTGTGAACTCTTTGATCAGCGGTAGATGCACAGGAGTAGCTGAAGACCCACAGAATTCCCCGCAGGAAAGATACAACCTCTCCAAAAAGCAGTGCTGCTGGGAAAGAGAGAGAATGGCCCATATGTTCATTGTTGCTGCTTTTTCCAGCCAATATTGCTGACCGATTCAACAACTTTTTATTTCTTTATTTATGTAATTTATTTATGTTTCTTTACAACTTTCACACCCTTCAGAGTTAAAAGTCCAATTAACGAGAAGAAGACAAGAAATCTATGCCCAAGGAGGAAAAGGAAAAAGGAGAGGAGGAGAAGAAATAAACAAATTTTGCATTACATAATTAATAGCAAGTACCAAGAAGAATGACTTAACGAGTGAATGACTTCTATTCTTTTACCCTCAAAATGCACATATTAAACAGTTAGGAAAAGGACAGATCAAATTAATAAATAATTAATAAGTAGCTAAGACTATTCAGAAGCTTTAACAACATGTGAGAAAAGAGAAGAATGAGAAAAAGAGACTTTTAAATTGAAATGTAAAGGGCAGTATTTTCTTTTAAGAATTTAACCATTTATAAATCTAAGGCAATAATACTTGTAAGCTACCTGACTAAAGAGAAAAGACTAAACTGATTCTGGAGAACATGACCTTGAAAAAATATTATTGGGTCAAAATACATTCCATTCTATTCCAAACAATGACTTGTTTTTAACAGAAAATTATTTGATAGATAACAGAAAGATGACATCTAGTAGACTAAAAGAGTCTCATTGTTCTTCAATCAGTTCAAACGTTTGACATGATGACCAACTGCAAGGTTCAAGGCAGTAACAAAGAGAGAGATGACTGCATACAGGGCCGTAGTCAGAAAAAAATTTCGGGGAGGGTTGACAATTTTGGAGGGGGGGTGAAAATTTCGGGGAGGGTTGAACATTTTGGGAGTGGGTGGGGTTGAAACCTGCCTCCTAGCTCACGCTGAAGCAAAGAGCACAGCAGGGGGCAGAGCAACCTTCAATAGCCTGCAGCTCCACCCCTGTCAACCACCTCCACCAAGCCTGGCCCCCAACTTGGTTGCTTCACTACATCTGCTATTGCTGCAAGTAATGACAGTGTGAATAAACTGTCAATATTTGCTTAAGATAGTGCTTACAGTTCTGGAGGGACTCTTGATTTTTTGCATCTCATAGACTTAGCATGGGGATTTGGTTAACCAGTTAAAATTCATGAGTAAACCAGGTTTTTTTAAAAAATCTGAAACATTTCGGGGGGGGGGGTTGAACCCCTAAAACCACCCCCTCGCTACAGGCCTGACTGCATACAATCCATGAGGCTACAGACTGAAATTCTGAGTGAGTATGTGAACAGTATTAATAATAGGTTGGACATACTAGATAGCATCTCAATTAAGATTCAATCACTGGACATCAGGCAGGAAAATCAAGTTCATGAAGTTGATGAAGAAGATGATGCAGCAGAATGTGAGGAAGGAATCAAGTGACAGAGAGGTAATGGAAGATAGAACTGATGACACACAAGATCAACATCAAGTAGAAATGGATCAATTGGAACAACAGCAGAGTGATCACCAGATAGGAGTCCTGCAAGGAAAAGTACAGCCGAAAATGGTTGGTTAGTTTGCATGTGGTCTCAAGTCAGATTTGGATGCTAATCCAAAATTTCATGGAGGGGCTTGGAATGGAGGAATTTGATGTGGAGAAACAGACAGAGCTGGAGAAGAAAACAAGAAGAACATGGAATGATACAGAAAATATGACTATTAAGCTTGAAAAATAGAGAACAATACTATTCCTCTTTTTGTCATAGAGGATATATGCATTTGTTATATTTTTAATACTTTTAAGGAATGTGCATAATGGTAATAGATGAAGGATTGGATTTAACAAGCATAATTTTGTATAGTATCTTTTCCTCCATCCCTTCAACTCCCTGCCTCTTCTCCAGCGACATACTAGATATTTGTAAAGAGTTAATCTACTAAGTCCATTACTCGACTGTTCTATTTTCCCCTCTTGTGTGAAAAAATCTGGAAACATTAATAAAATTATAAGAAACAACAAGGTTATATAAATTCAACTATGAAATTACTAACATACCCTGCACCTTCCCCACCCATGACCTAAACAGTTATTTTCTTTGTTAACCTGCTAACTTTTTGTTTATTTATTCTCTTCTCTTTTTAGCACCTGCCAAACACATCGATTCTAGGACATTCGGTTTTAATCTTGATTATATTTTTATTTGCCTTTTTAGATGTTGTATTATAACTCTTGTGTTTCAATATTATGCAGATTTGTTTAATCTATATTTTAATTGCTTTTAAAATGGATTGAATCATAATCATAATCATAATACTTTACTTGTAACCCGCCTTCTCTCCCCAAAAGGACTCAGACTTTTATAATATAAAATAAGTAAAATAACAACATGGTGCCTTTCACAACATAGATTACAATAGAAAATCTAATCCCAAATCTTTTCCTCAATTCATATAGAAACCAAGAATATTTTACCTAAGTCTTTAGTTGTAGTCGTTGTTTTCCGAGTACGAAATGCATCTGCTCTGAGGGAGCTTACAGTCTTCAACAAGCTAGATAGAAAACATACATATGAAGAAACAGAAATAATAATCAAATAAGTTTTGTTACAAAATAATCATTATTGTATTACCATTATTGGCTGCTCACTAATATATACAATAGCCACAAAGCAACCTCGAATAAAAAGTTCAAGCAGGTTTTTTTAAAAAATCCAGGCACACTGACATATTTGTACATATTTCGTGTTACCAGAGGGTGCTTCCATTAATGGGGAAAACCCATGCCAAAGTGGATTTTAAAAACCCACGTCAGCATGGGTTTTTGTCCCCACACTCGGAAAAAAGGGCTTTCCAGGTTAAGTGTCCCCATGCCATCCCCGTAACTTCTGGGATGGCATGGAGCCACCCAAACACCTCACAAAAAGCCCTAAAAAGAAGTAATTATATTAAACATATAATAGAACAATCTAAAATAAAAGTGGACTTTTTGTTTACAGCACAGTTATGACAGCTTTTTTGAAATCCACAAGCATGTGGACAATTTCAACAGAAAGGAAGAGACCATGAAAACGAGCAAAATCTGGCTACCAGTATTAAAAAACTCTAAAATTATAACAGCTAAACAACAGAGAGGAAAAAACCAGGCACAGATTAACACCTCCCAGTAACAGATTTTCCCAGGCTCAGGCAGGCCTTCAAATGCTAATGAAGGTGATCAGCTAAACATCCACACCTAACTGCAGCAGGGAAGAGCTCCTTGCCCCACCCCAGCCATTCCACAGATATATAAACCCATTGTCCTAATTCCAACAGATCTCACACCTCTGAGGATGCTTGCCATAGATGCAGGCGAAACGTCAGGAGAAATGCCTCTAGAACATGGCTCTATAGCCCGAAAAAACCCACAAGAACCTAGTGATTCCAGCCATGAAAGCCTTCGACAATACAGCTTTTTGGAGAGTTTGGTGATAAACAATTAGATGTCCTATTGATATTCTGGAAGCTAATTATCAAGTCATGTTGCAGTCAATTCAAAAAGCTGCTATGCTGTATGGAAAATACAAGCTGTAATAAAAAGACTAATCTTCATGAACATCCCTAGAATGGAATATGAATTAATGATATATATGTACCCAGATTAGATGTTAAAAGAGCATAGATATATTTAGCTTTACTGTCATGTTTCTAATGGCATCACATTCAATGTAAATCAATTATGGAAAATTTCAGATTAATTACCTTTCACTATAATAAAAGACATCTCCTAATATTGTTCCCATTCTCATATTTAATCCACCTTGCTTCTGAAGTCGTCCAAGCATATTCTCTATCATAGTAGTCTTCCCACTCCCTGGATCCCCTAAATGTTAATAAATACATTAACAGGTCAGTGGTAGTAACAGTAAACAGACAGGTTTCTGTTATTTGTTTTTTTTTTCTTTTCTGAGCTCTATCAAATTATAGTTCCAATATTCTGGAAGCTTATATTGTCTGTTAATTGTTTTATATATAACTGATTAATTCACTACAAATATAATATACTACAAATATAATGTAGTTCAAATAGTGAGCATACTAAAGACTGTTTTAGGTCTATGCCCTACAGAACACGAATATCTTTAAGGGATGTGCAAATGTTTTTAATGCTTTAGTTCTGGCCACAAATCAGATTGAGTTGGCCCACACATTAAAAGTTCTTGATTTGTGAACTACAATATATGCAGCAAAAGACATGCTCTTATCCCCTGAATAACATTCATTGTAATATTGTTTCCCATAGGCTGTAAATTATACAAGTCAAAAAGTGCTTCTACATCAGAAACTTGTGTTTTTTGAATGTAAAGTTTCACTGCTCTTGCCACAGCTAGCTTGTGCCTTTTCAAAACCTAATGGATGTGTCTCTTTGCAGAGAATAAATTAATGCTGACAATAGATCCAACCTTTTTACCTAAAACATTGTTTGCAGGATGAAGTAGTACGCATTGCTGCAATCAATCTTTTAGGTCAAAAGGCTGGATCTCAACGTTAACTTATTCTTTGAGATGTCAACGTTAACTTATTCTTTGAGATATAACACAAGCTCTCATTAATAAAGCAGTCCGTCTGCTTTGAAACCCATCTCTCAGAGTGATTGCTACCAGCAAAATCACCTTTAAAGTCAATACTCTTAGAGAAGTTTGATAGTGGTTGACAGGGTGTACCTGTAAGCATATTGATTGCAATATTTAAATCCTATACTGGAAATCTATGCAAAGTCCATAGTGCTTTGCAAAGTGTTCCTTTCAAAATTAACTTTACATGTTAATGATCTGCTGTAATTTCTTCTTGCCAATAGGCCAAATCTTATTAACACCAGCAGATTACATGCTTACATTATGTGGGTGCACCAAAACATGATAAGGTTTTAGGAAATTTCACAAATTCTTTGCCTCAATTCTTCCTTTGATGCCAAGATCATTTCTGTCACAGGATGGAAGTACATAGTAAAATTAATGAAGTTTGACACTACTTTAACTGAAATGGCCCAATGCTGTGGGATCATGGGAGTTGTAGAGGACCGGTGCTCTTTGGCAGAAAAGACTAAAGACTTTCTCTGCCAAACTACAGTCTTCATGATTCCATATAACTGAGCCGCTGTCATTGAAATAGTGTTAAAATGCATTAATTCTATAGTTTTTTCTAAGCAAGTATTTCTATCAGTAGACAAAGTTAATACAGCTTAAATAATTATAATGCAAATATAAATCACTTTTATTTTAGCAAATAATTTTCACAGTTTTTAATTTTATATTTCTTGTTCAGAATGATCTTACCTATGATCAGAACTGGATGTCTATTCATTAAAAGAAGACTTGTTAGGAAACTATGCCGTATCGTATCAATATTGGGAATAAATGTCAAGCTCTCTGTTTTCTTTTCTTTGTTTTCAGTCATATCGAAATCTGAAAGGTTTGAAGTCTCTAGATTTAATATAAATAAAATGTTATTGTTTCATAAATGTGGAGTATTTTCCTCTAATATTCTAAATATATTACCCTGACAGTTTAAATGGATGAGCTAAAGGGAGGTAAGAATCTACTAGTAGATCGCCCAATTACACTATGTAACAAAATTTGAAAAATGTTCTGTTCCTGGCCTCAAAGTATTATTTCCTGTTTAACTGTGCAATATTTACTTTGCAAGTGGTTGTTATACTCCCAAAACATTGTTGTGGTTGCTGCAGACTATGTTGAATTGGTTGAGACTCTATAAAATAGTCATTGAAACACTATAGCAAAATGTGCTGCAGGATGTTCTGCAAACACAAAATATTTGCAGTTTAATAAACTTTTTCCATGTTTTTATGACAGACTCAATTAAGACAAGATATTTATAGTCCAGGAATGAAAATCATGTTACATAGTGTTATTTGTAGTAAGTGGGTAATAGCTGACTAGCTTTTTATCATATAGCCATGTAGACAAATATTAATTGGCCGCTACAATTTTTGATATGTAGTAAATCAGAAGTAAATGTGTATTTGTAGGTTTGGGCTGTGCAGCAAATCTCTAACACATTGTTCACATATTACTGTATTTGTTCTTACTCAAAAACTGCATACTGTAGGTATATTTAGTGGATCTTGGTGATGTTGCAAAACAATCACCACTACTACTTTAAAAATCTGAAGTCTGCTTAGGAGGGTCACACAATCATATTAATATGTTTCTTCAATTTCTTTTTTTTTTACTGCAACAGGGGTGTTTTTTAAATTGTTTTTTTCTCACCACCTGCAATCTGATCTCTTTTGCAAGGTCCCTTATTTGATCTCATGGAAAGATGGGAGTGATATCCTGATGATCATCCTGGGTCTCTCTGTGGCTTTGGATAGCATTGATCATGGTATCATACTAGACCAATGCTACAGAATGAGGGTGTTAAAGCAGTTCCACTCCTATCTACAGGGCTGATTCTACAGTATGGCACTGGGAAATTCTTGTGGTCATTATCTAGGTTCCAATTTATCTCCTGAGGTGTTTAATATCTACATGAAAGAAGTCATTAGAAATTTGGGTGTCAATTGTATGCTGATGATACTTAGCTCTAATTCTCCTATGACCTCATCACACTCACCTAAAAAAGCGTCCTAGGACACTTTCACCCTGTCATGGGGACTGAGCCCTATGCTGGACATCACACTACATCATCTGACTTCTGGTTGAGGCTGCACCCCCAACCAGGGCAGAAGATTAATTGGACACTTCCCCCCACAACATGGGAGGCCTTCTGTATTGTGCTGGCTTCAATGGATCCTTGGCACTCAGGTGATGCTTCCCATGTGTGATGTGGGAAGCACTGCTGAAACGGAGCTGCCTGCAGGGTGACAGATTCGCCCACTGCACTTCTCTTTTCACCTGACCTTTGTGATGAGGCCACTAATCAGAATCTTCTGAAGTTTAATAAAATGTAGTCCAGTGTACGGATGCTGTAATGGGCCAGAAAAGGGCCAGTAAGTTGAGGATGACTCCAGATTAGATGTAAGCTCAGTGCATTAGTGAGTCTTGAGATTAGGACCTGGTTAATCTGTCCTAAATGGAGTTGCACTCAACTAAAAAACAGGTGTTTAGCTTAAGAGCGCTCTTAGATCAATCTCTGTCACTAGAGGCTCCCATGACTTGGATTGGACTCTTTGGCCTAATGTACTTGCCACTAGCTTCATTTGCTCTACCAGCAATTTTTTTGCATCAGGTTAATGTAGCTGCAGTTGTTTATGCACTGGTTCAGGCTAGTGTTACAAGCAGTTTATGTGGGGTGGCCCATAAAGACAATTAAGAAGCTGCAGCTAGTGCAAAAAGAGCAACTATATTATCTATGATAACATCACACAGAAACCAAGTAATGTATTAAAGTAATTATACTGGCTGAAAACATGCTTCCACTAAGAATTCAATATGCTAGTTAAGGCGTTTGAAGCTCCAAATTGTCTGGGACGTTGGTTCGTCAGAGAATATCGCAAATGTGCCCAATACTTCACATTTGCCTTATTCGCCTTTGTGTCCAATCACTGTTGTGTGTGTCTGTGTTTGATTACTTCTATGGTATCCTGCTGTGGAATACCTTCCTCATACAGGCCATATTTGTACTAACACTGGGGCAATTCCAGTTCCAGGTATTAACATGTTTTCATTGGTTTCAGTAAATCCTTTAGACCTAAACGAATTCATACAAAGCCATACATGTGTAGATTGGTGTAATTCTATTTTAGTGTTTATATGCTTTAAATTTTAAATTGTATACTGTATTGTTTTTAGGATTGTTTGCCGTTTTGAATCTCTTTTAAAAGAAAAAGCATGAGATAAAAATTATAATAACAATATAATAATTATAATACTTTCAAAATGCTGTAAACTTTTTACATTGGTTTTAAGCAGCTTGATTATGAGCCCTTGAATTGTTTAATGCATTTTTAGTCAGGGGGAATTCTCTTTTTCTGTTTTAAATAGCTTTAAAATAGTCAATCTGATTTTCCTGTATGCAGCCTTTTCAATATAGACAGACTATAAATAGTTTTAAAGTAAATAGTAAAATAAGTACTGCCATGAAAAACAAAATAATGTTTCACAGTAACTCTTCTTACCTTTTTGAATAAGCAACTGTGTACTAGGAACTAAATTTCCCCATGGCTCAAATTCTCCTGTTTGCAAATCCACAAAATAATCAAAAATAGTCTTGTCTCCAGATGGAATCTGAATATCTGAAAGCCAGAAAAAAAGAGTCCCATGCTACTATAAATATGAACTAATTCTGATGAAGCAGACACATTGGCTTTAAAGTTTATGGAGAATATAATTTTTGTCTTACAGTTGCAATAAAATGATATGTTAAGTTGAGATTCAAGGGATGTTCTTGCACCACACAGCAAAATAATCCTCTTTTATTTCTTTATTTTAAAAAAAAGTAATCCTATAAAAAAATTTTGCAGCCAGCAAATCTGAAAATCTGAGCCTTTCTACATTGCCCTAAATCCTGGGAGGAACCAGGTTATTTAAACCCCGTTCTACCCGGGATTTAATCCTCACACCCTCCCAGAATCGTGGGATTTCCCTGGGGGGTGGCTAGATGCCCTCCCAGGTCAACCAAAGCTTGACGTGGGAGGACATCCAGCCACCCTCCAGCCTCCCATTTCCCCCTCAAAATAATTGGTTTTTTAAAAGGATTTCTTTCCTACCCCCCCCCCCCACCCTTTGACGCATCATTTTTGTGCATCAGCAGAAGCAAAATGGTGAGTGCCATCACATATCCCTAGGCTACTCGAGCCCATAGAATATGGGATGGACATGTAGACAGTTGCAGCCTGTTATGACATAAAATTATAGAGTTGGAAGAAACCACACAGGCCATTCAGTTCAGCCCCCAGCCATGCAGGAAAATTTTAAAAATTAAAGCACCCACAAAAGATGGCTATCGTGCCTCTGTTTAAAAGCCTCCAAAAAAGGCACCTCCACCACACTCTGAGGCAGTGAGTTCCAGTGTTGAACAGCTCTTACAGTTAGGAAGTTCTGGAATATATAGAGATTTGACATCACATAAATATCTAGTTAAGGGTATGTACAAATTTGGTACCTTTTACTGAAGCATTTTAGAAACATAAAGAAAAAAATGGCTGACCACATTATGTTAAAGGGATTATACAGAACTGCTCCGAAACTGTAATAAACCACAGTGATTAAACATAAACACATATACACAAATCTAGAACTATTATGTCCCTAAAAGTTTGATGCACAAAAGTTTGTTATATAAAAACAAACTATGGCTAATTCCTTTCCTTACCCAAATCAGAATTTCATTCTGCTTCTATAAATATTTAGTAACAACATGCTAGTATTCCTCAAACTCAGTCTTTCCAGCTAGAGTTCCCATCATCTCAAGAAGGCTTGATCAATGGATAGGGATAACTGGAGTTATGATAAAAAAAAAATCTGAAAGAATTCAGCCTGGGGGTGATTCCTGTGTGTTATGGGATCTCTATAAAAGTCTTCAAGAGATGGTTCGTTTTCCAAAATATGTCAATTACATAATACTTTCCTCCTCTCAATTCTATTATTCTATAAAGCTTTTAAGACTTCTGTGTATTACTTAAAATAACAATATACAATTACCACATTGAGAATAGGGCAAAAATGCAGCACTTACTAGCAGGAGGTTGACTTTCAAATATCTCATGAACAAGGTCATTGAAGTCTCGTGTCACATTTGCAAGATCATCATGGCTGGTGTCTATACCAATTAGAGTCTCACCCTCATCCTCTTCCTCTCTTCTTAAAATCCCTCCAACAGCCCAGGTAAACGCAAATATGAACAATTTCCCTAATAACACCATCAGTTTATTAGGTTGCTTCTCCCAAAACCATTTTGGACCTTCTCTGAAATTAAGGAGGAAAAAAGAGATTTAGTATTCTGAGCAGATCAGATTTGAGTTTAGTCTTGTCATTTCTAAACTTAACAACCAGCACTCTTAGCATAGAGAGCATGCATGGTGTAGTGATTTGAACACTGGACTATGAGTTTGGATATGAGGTTCAAATCCCCACCCATGGAAACCCTCTAGGTTACCTTGAGCAAGTCACACACTCTCAGCCTCAGAGGAAGGCAAAGATCAACTGAAAATTTATTGCGAAAAAATCCCACAATATAGCCAACTTAGAGTCACCATAAACTAGAAAGAACTTGAGGGCACAGGACAACAAATGCTCTGGACTTAGAAAAAAATTAGGTGTTAAATGCAAAGTATTCATTGTTCACTTACGTTTTCTTCTTTACGGGTAGGACTATTCCACTAGATGAAGTGGCTTTATTTGAAAATGTAAGAGCATTGTTCTGTATCATTGTTGAAAAACTCACTGAACAACGTCCTCTTTTCCTACCTTTAATATAACAGATCAGATAATAGTTTTAGTCCTTTGGAAAATAACAAAATATTACATTTGTGAAGTTTGTTTTCAAAAGGTACCAAATGAAAACAAATGAAAAATGAGTTATAGCTGGCAGCTCATTGTTGGCTAGGATTATCAGAATTTTATGTACATATCAAAACTATCAAAATGTATTAAATCACTTTGGTACAGGGCTTGGAAAATTGCAGTTTCAGCACACTATTTTTCAATTTCTGTAAAATTTGTTCAGATGGATTTGTACTTTTGGAAATAAACCCCATATTTGAAATAATTACAGTTTCAGATATAATTACATTTAGACCTTTATCATAATTTCAGAACACACAAAGCTTTTGTAGCTGTCAGAAATTAACATTGCAATCCATCCACATGTAAGTCTCACGAAACATTTAATCATTATCATCATGTTAGTAAAAGCATTCACTTGTGAGGGGGGAAACATGGGTTCACCAAAGATGTGGAGCAGGCAACAACTTCTGACAAATAAACCATAAAGGAAATGTCCAGGACAAAGATCCTCAAACTTTTAAAACAGACGGTAAGTTCATGGTCCATCAAGCTATTGGGGAGCTAGACTACAGTTTGAAAAAAAATGCATGAATATGCTCTGCACAATATTTAAAATTAAGAACACACAATAGTGCCTCCTGATGCCCAAGCAAGAGTGTCTCCATACATGTCCCGTGCATTTTATTCATTGTGCCTTCTGCTTGGCTCTGTCGCCACAGTTGGCCACCAGGAAGCTGAACTTATTGATGCACCACTTGGCCTCACTGCTGCCCCCTAAAGAGTCCATCTCCCCAGCCTCATCGTTATCTTCGACCAATGGGGTGCACGGCTCAGAGTCCATGCCACTGGAGTGGGCCAGGGCAACCTCAGCAGCCCCCTTCTCATTCTCCCCACCTCCACATCCTCCGCTTTGGCTCTTCACCATGGGCAGTACCCTCAGCATCATTGAACCCAAGGTGTCATGATCCCTCAGGAACGCTCCCCACAGACTATCTGCTTTACCATCAGGCCGACTGGGCATGCCCATTGCTGAGCCATCCTCACAAGTCCACCCCTATGCTCCAGGCATTGCTTCATGGTGTACGGGATGGACGCCACACACTTTCAGTCTTACATTGTTTCAGGGCTCTCATAAATGAGAGTGGGGTGGGGTAAATGAGGGAAGGGGTGGGTGTATAACCTTAGAGGGTCATATCTGGCCCATGGACTGTAGTTTGAGGACCCCCTTGTTTGGTTCAAGTCTTGGATTACTAATCGCTTTGGGTTGTTGTCGGTTTTTCAGGCTGTATGGCCATGTTCTAGAAGCATTCTCTCCTGACGTTTGGCTTGCATCTGTGACAGGCATCATCAGACCTCACAACCTCTGAGGATGCCTGCCACAGATGCAAGCCAAACATCAGGAGAGAATGTTTCTAGAACATGGCCATGAGGCCCGAAAAACCTACAACAACCCACTGATTCCAGCCATGAAAGCCTTTAACAATACACAAATCCCTTGTTCCTTCCTCTATTTTTTAATGGAAAATTATCAGTGATTTGTTGGTCAGTATATTGAACAAAGAATTTCCCAGCAATATCAGGTTAATTGAAGTCCTCCAGGACAACTGGTGCTTGCATCTTTGAGATTTATCATTATTTTTTATCTGGAAGGCATTGCCCACCACCTCTTCTTGCTTTGGTGGCCTAAAATAGACTCCTATCACAAAGTCGCATTTAGTTATATGTCCATTTATTTTCACCCAACAGGTTCAACTGGTGCTTTCTGATCACTCTATGATGTTCTGTACAAATGAATTTGTCTTTTACATACAATGCTAATTCCTGTCCTCTTTGTGGCCACATCTTTCTTTTTGAACAGGTTAGATTCTTCAATTGTTATATTCCCATCATGTGAGTCATCCTACTAAAGCTCAGAGATCATACTGCTTTCAATATTACTAAGAGCAAAACTGACCCACTCTTAAATCAATGTTATATGCTGCTGATATATTTCCATTTCAAATAGCTCTGGTCAATAATATATCAGTGGTCTCTTATACACCTATGAAAAATAAAACATTATAGATTTTACACAGAATCCTATAATCATTTTTTACTTATCAGTCACCAAGTGGAAATCTAAAAGAACAGCCTTATGCTTGGTAGTAAGTTCAGTTAAGTTCAATAGGATTCACCCCAACATAAATGTGTTTAAGATTTTCTCTAAATATTACAATTATAATTAGTTTACTTACAGTATTGTAATCCTTGACTTTGCCAAATTATGTTAATGAATGAACCAAGAATTCTGCAAATATTCATTACAACTCCCATCTGTTGTACAGAGAAAGCTAGCATTTTCTTATTTTTATTTAGAAATTCTATCCCTCTTTGTATACTGGAGTGAAATAAACTTTCAAGGTATTCAATATCATTTTGTGCTATCAGGTCAGAAAAGTCTTCCAGCCATGACTTGACATATGGCTGCCATCCTAGATCAATGGGGTCCTACAAATAAATAAAATGGAAGAATCCATTAAAAATATGTATTTCTAATTCCATGTAATTATAACTATGTTATTTTAATTCTGCTCAAAAAGTATGAAATACAGAAAAATGAAATATCAGGTTTTCATTACCTTCAATGTCAGTTTTTCATCAAATGCCCCATTGGGGCCCAGTATTATTAATATATGAATGACAACCATATTTGTGACGACATTCTACTTATATCCAACAAAACTGTTTCAATTCTAAACTGATGCCTATCTTCAATAGTGAATTGAACAAGGCAAGCAAATTGAAACTGAATTCAGAAATGAGAGAGCGGTTCATAACAAAAACAACAACAACAACAATTTATTTATTTATATTCCACCCTGTCTCCCTGAGTGGACTCAGAGCAGATTACAGTATATACAAACACAAACACAGGCAAACATTCAATGCCTTGGTACAATTGACAGAAAATCACAGAAAAACACAATGGTAGAGGCTCATGGGTCTGTCAAAAGAAAAATCAGGGAAAGGAAATTCAACGTGTGCTGAATATGGTTACATTATCCCTGAAGATGCAGGCCCACAGCTTGAGTATACTCCTGGATTCAATTCTGAGCTTTTAAATTTAACTCTCTATAGTGGCTAGGAGTGTACGTGAATAAAAGTGTGCAAGACATCCAATTCAACCATGGCGACAGTTACCTTAGGAACAATCAGTTTGGATTACAGTAATGTATTCTGTGGTTTGAAAAGTATTCTAAACTTCAGCTGGTCCAAAGAACTGTAGTCATATTGTTAACAGAAGCTGGATACACAGCTGGACACAACTCCCTTTTCACAATAACTCCATTGGTTAGCAGTCTGTTTTTATGCATATTTCAAAGTGCTGGTTATATGGCTCAGATCTAAGTTAACTGAAAGGCTGGATTCTTCTATATGAATCTGCACTTGTTTTGAAATGTTCTGATAAATATTTTCTCTCTGTTTCACCACCCTCTCTATCTAGCGTCAACATTGGAACATGGGAGAGGGCCTTCTCAGTGGCTGCTATTGATGTGCATTGGATCTTCCAAGCAAATGTCCTGATGTGCTTCGGATTGTACTGATGTGCACCAGCAGTCCCTGGTCATTGACCCAATGCACACTAAGACTGATGTGCATTCTCAGTGTTAACTTTGGATTCACAATGTTGTGTTCACTTTGGATTCTCAGTGTCTACTTTGTTGGCTTCCTAAGTAATAACAGCATAGCAGTCCCTTGCTAAATATAGACATTATGAAACTAATTGATTCTGTTTGCTGAAGGTGTAAATCCACTTATAGATGTAATTCCCACATTGAATTCCACATTATGTTTAAAACTGGTTTTAATTTTATTGATAGTTATTTATAATTTGAATTTTTCTATGAAGTACATATTTTTGCTATGTTTGTTTTAATTTTTTAATTCACTAGGACTGAGGGAAAAGATGAGACTATAATAATAGTATCAACAATTTTTTTTAAAAAAATTATCAGCCAAATATGGAGAATGGGACATGAGGATTTGGTGAAAACCCAAATGAGAAACATCAGAAAGCTTGGTAACAACAACTATACGAGCACATTGGGATGATCCTTTTACCCCATCACAATTCATACAGAAATACTGAAATATCCACAGTTTGAAATGGGTTTGTCCATCTACTATTATAAGAGGGTTCTTTTGTGTTTCACTGTTCTGCATATACAGGCCAGGTTTAGAACAACAATATGTTCTATTGTAATTCTCCCACATTTCATCTCAAACATTTAATATGCTTTCTTTAATACCGGTTTCAGTCCAGCTTACCTATCCGAACGTATCTCTCCTTATGAACCATCTAGGACATTAAGATCTTCTGGGGAGGCCCTGCTCTCACTCCCACCTTTCTCGCAGATGCGCTTGGTGGGACCGAGAGACGGCCTTCTCAGTGGTGGCCCCTCGACTGTGGAACGCCCTGCCTAGGGATATAAGATCGGCCCCCTTCCTCCTTACTTTTCGAAGGAAGGTGAAAACCTGGCTTTTTGAGCAGGCTTTTCAAAGTACAGCATAGCTATATGAATTCATGAAACGACTGACAATGAAACTGAATAATGACTTGACATGGAGACGCTCGTTGTTGCTGTTCATTTGTTCAGTTGTTTCCGACAATTTGTGACTTCATGGACCAGTCCACGCCTGAGCTCCCTGTTGGTTGTCACCACCCTCAGCTCCTTCAAGGTCAATCCAGTCACTTCAAGGATACCATCCACCCGCACACCATGTGTCTCCACTGTTTTTAAATCTTCACTATTTCTATCTCTATATCTCTTTTTTTCCTTTTCCCCCTTCTTCCTCAACTCCTGTTCTTTTCTTATTTCTCCTTTTTCTACTTCTCTATTCTTATTCTCCTTTTTTATTTTATTTATTTCTTTTATTTCTTTTTATGTTATTATATTATTACACTTCTCAACTCATTTGCACTGTATGTAACAAAAGGAAACTTTCAATAAAGATGATATTTTAAAAAAAGGATACCATCCACCCATCTTGCCCTTGGTCAGCCCCTCTTCCTTTTCCCTTCCATTTTCCCCATGGAGACGCTTACGATAATGTTTTTTAAGGCTTGTATGGTTTTTTAATATTTTTAAATATTTTTATACTCTTATATTGTATGTTAAATGTTTTAATGCTATTTTATGATTATTTTTAACTGTTATAATTGTTGTGGCATTGAATTGTTGCCAGCTGTGAACTGCCCTGAGTTGCCCTCAGGCTGAGAAAGGTGGTATATAAATATCATAAATAAATAAATAAATAAATAAATAAATAAATAAATAAATAAATACAGCATGGATAGTTAAAAATGCTAAAAAGTAAGATTATCTTTCTTATTTAAACATCTGGTGAGGATGACTGCAATTTACATTAAAATTCACAAATAAATTGGATAATCAACACTGAATATTCTCTATTATTTGTACACTGAGGTAGCAAATCAGAAAATGAAGTGAAAGCAAAGACAAAATCACTAGTGCAACCACAGTAGGCTTGACTGATATCTGTTTTTATCTCAACACAAGTTATCCTAGAAATCACAATAGGTAGTTATAACAGACTGAATCAACTTTTTCAGTGACATCCTAGATTAATTTTATTGTGAATTTCTTAAACTAATATTTGTATTATAGAACCCATGTTGTCAGATGAAATACTAATCTGAGTAGAGAACAGCCAACCCAATCTATCCTGGTAAAAAGCCAGGATATATCAGAGGTAACAGTCCTATGAAAAGCTTTGAATTGATCAAATGAATGCAAGATAGCAACATATTTTATTATGCTGTTACTTTCAAGCATAAAGGAAAATAAATCAAACTATCTTTTAAGCAACAAATATACAACTAATCAGTCAAACTCACTTGATATTTTTGCTCAAGGTGTTAAATGAATACACTCACTTATGTGTATAAAATGTTTTAAAAAGCTTTTATTTTCATTTATTTTCACTTACCACATAAACCATGGCACATCTACTAACAGTAGCGGGACTGGCTTGAGAGAGGCTGTCCACCTCAAATATCATTCTAATTCCTGGTGATAAGTAAATTCTTTCACTGTTAGCAAGACATAACATTCTGGTATCATCTAGCACAGAATTTAAATTTTCTATCCAAACTGGATCAACTGGCCCATCCAAGATTATCCATTGCCAATCAGTAATAATTTCATCTACAAACAAAAACAACAATTCACTAGTTTAAGAATTTCCTAGAACTGTATGTAAAACTGAAATACAATTAAACAAAAAGTTGAAAACTTAGAAATGGCTCAGGTACTTGAATTGTTACCCTGAGAAAATATATTTTAAAACCTAAAATCCAATTATATATTTGTTATATCAAGTTGAAGAAAAAAATTGCCCAATCACTTTTCATTTCTGTTTCCATGAAGAATGTTGTTCACTTTTTTCTTAAATACATGTATTGCACTTACTTATATTAGCAGTAAGCTACAACCAGGCATCAAGAAAATGCAGGATGACCACAAAAAATGGTACCAAACCCAAGTTGGCTATGGATAGTAGATGACAGCATACCCCCCCTTCCCTCACAAAAAAATAAATAAAATAAAAGGAGCACTGAGATGCAAAGGGAGAGAAAAAATGCTATGGATATCACCATATATATATACAACATGAAGAAAGGCAAAGTAGCTGATTCAGGGTCCCAGCAGCATCTAGATGTAACAAGGCAACAAGAAAAAATAATGCATTAAAATGAAAATTTAAAAATGAAATTCAATTTCTTTAAAAGTTTTGTAGCAAATTTCTTATTTTCCATAGTTTAGGGGATGATCTCTAAAACTCCATTTGTATTTAGCATCATCATCTGCTGCTAAAGCTGTATAGAGATTAGATTAATTGGTTCTCCTCAAAGTAACTTAATACAGGCAGCCCCCAAATTTCAAACAAGATAGGTTCTGTAGGTTTATTCTTAAGTTAAATTTGTTTCTAAGTTGGAATGGGCACATTGTTAAGGGTAACTCTAGCCAGATAGATAGATAGCTTTGGAGATACACACACCCATATTTACTCGAGTCTGATGCATGATTGAATCTATTGTGCCCTTCAATTTTCAAAACCCTGAAACCAAAAAAAAAGAAAAAAGAAAAAAAAGAAAAGCATTTGCTGGCAAATGTAGTGTGCAGCAGCAAAGGATGCACTCTTTGTGATATGTCCATTACAGTTGCTGCCTGCTTAGAATTCCTTTTTAAAAAACAATTGTGTTAGAATACCAAAGCTTTAAGAAATGGAAAAGAAACCTTGGGTGCACCTATGCTTTAGAATGAATCCACTTTAATTGCCTTTCTTCAGTGCTATGGACTCATGAAGGCTACACGTTTTGCAAAGTATGGAGCCTCCTCTGCCAAAGAATGTTGATGCCTCACCAAACTACAAATCCCAGGATTGCATAGCATTGAGCTATGACAATTTACACATGATATCCCTCTGGGTGCTCCTGAAGCAGCTTCCCCTACTGCTTCGCTCAGAACTAAGATTATCCTATTACATGAACCTAATGCGCACTCTAATTTTGGCAAGGTGGTTTAGCAAAAAAAGTGAGCGTTAGATTTGAGTAAAGTCAGTGTGTGTGTTCAACACACACACACCTCTTTCAGGAGTGGATTTCCCGAGGGGATTTCTCACTTCCTGTTGTTTCAGCATGTTTTGTTTTTTTTGTATATTGTAACTGTATTCTCAGTCTGCTTCTCACGCGATAAATAAATAAATCAGCATGTTGGGAACCTCTCTGCCTATTTTGGCTGTGATTATGACATTTTGAAGTGTTTTCTCATCTGATATACAATTTTTAGATTAGATGCAAAAACACTCATCTAATCAAAATGTTTCTTCTCCTCTAGTGATGCCTTTTTTGTGGGACTCTTGGTCTATGCCGTTATTGCCCTTCCTTTAAAAAGCAGTGACAAAATACTTCACACAGATAGCCAGTCTTACTGGTCTTCCCTTGAAGTGAGGAGTATATTGTTAAAAAGTGTTAACTCTGACAACACATTAGCAAGAGACAGAGTTGGTTATTATATGTTATAACCATGATCTCAAAGCACGATCAGAAGAATTGCTCAACTAATAATTACTGTTGCATAATTTGTACCCACCACTGGAGAAAGAAAAAGAAAAATAAGGAATTATGTCATGCAAGTCATTAAAGTACTTATACTGACAGTTCAAATTTTCCATTGACTGCATGGTTTCCTCAGGTGGAATAGCATCAGCTACATTCATTGTATTCAGCTGAAAACAAAGATGAGACTAATTACATTTCAAATCAGTTCACAAAATAAATTTAGAATGTTAAAAAGCAAATTGACTATTACTTTTAAAAACCTGATAAAACCTTGTTAATTTTCCTATGTGATTTGGTAGCAAGAAACCTCGACAATCACAGTGCCATATGCTCAATTAATTTTGTAGCATAACTATAGAATGCTCCTGAAGTATTAAACCAAAAAAAGTAAGCTTTTCCTTTCCCCAACAAATCTTGAGAAGGCAAATGTGTACCTAAATCTATGTTGGTTCCCACCAGGTAAAGTCGCAAAAATAGTAAGAATACTTATATAGTGGACCCCCGCGCCAATGGCTACCACAATTTTCAAATGCTGAAGCCCCACTATATACAATGCCTTAGTAAAATGATGCCCCTTATATCAAAGAGTAAAATCAAGGTTTGTTTTTCAAATTTTTAAAAAATATATACATTTTCAAGTCATGGATAATGGAATTCATAATGTAGAAGTATATATAAAATTTGAATACTGTACTCTATAGTTCACCTGAGGAACTGGATTGTAATCCAAGCAGGCATGTAGCCGGGGGGGGGGGGGGGGGCTTTAGCCCCCCCCCCCCGAAATTCTCATGGTGGTCCGCGAGAAGGCCTTACTGGTACATTATTTAAACTGTTATTTTTATTCATATCATGATCTGATCACCATGCTCAATATATCCCATATGCATGGGGGTATTGGGGTAACGATACAAAAGGTTTGCTAGGGTAGACCCTCTTTCACTCAGACTCAGCCCCCACCCCCCAAACTCCCCCCCCCCCCCCAAATCAAAATCCTGGCTACGGGCCTGAATCCAAGCATAAAATCTTACTGCAACAAGGAAAGCGAACATGGCTAACACTGAGAAAACAGTTATATGTAGATGAAAACAATGCAGTTTGTCAGGTTAGTCTGAACAAATAAAGATTCTTCAGAAAGTAAACCTGGATTAAATATTTAATATCAGTGGATACTGAGATCACGAATGCAGCTTTTATAAGAAAGAATAAGTTGTTGGACCTACTATGGAGGTTTGTTCTGATATGGTCAGAATAATAACTCATAACTACTTGAGTCTTCCACACAGGTTAACCCAACAGGCATCCTATTTTTGTTCACTTTAAATGACCGTAACATTCAAGTTGCATTTCATAGAATCATAGAATCATAGAATCAAAGAGTTGGAAGAGACCTCATGGGCCATCCAGTCCAACCCCCTGCCAAGAAGCAGGAAATATTGCATTCAAATCACCCCTGACAGATGGCCATCCAGCCTCTGTTTAAAAGCTTCCAAAGAAGGAGCCTCCACCACACTCCTGGGGCAGAGAGTTCCACCGCTGAACGGCTCTCATAGTCAGGAAGTTCTTCCTCATGTTCAGATGGAATCTCCTTTCTTGTAGTTATGTTAAGGTTCTGGCAGGGTTAGTCTTATTTACCAACAAAAACCTAC